ATATGTCCAAGCGTGGCCTTCTCATGGACTCCATGACGCTCAGCGGGCCAGCCTTGGCGCCCATTGGCTTGCCCCTAGCAAGCAAGTTGGCCAAGGCAGTAGCCATAGCGGTAACCTCCTCACTAGCCTCGCCACAGTGGGGGCCAGCTTCCCAGCCTTGGCGAGCAGACTTGGCGACTTTTTTCGTTTGTCTTTCTGTCTCTTAGTAGTCAACCTGTCGAGTTGTTAACCTATGCCCAGCGCAGCGGGCCCTTGATGGGCCCGCTTTCTGGGCATGTACTTATACTAGGGAGATCATGCTGACGACGCATATGTTGCTTGAGGGATAATTGCCACAGGGATGATGAATAGGGGAGAGCTCTAAACAAGCGTCGAGGTCAGGGCCGAGAGAATTCGCCCGCGCCTCAAAGACGCCCATTGGAAGCTGCGGCCAGAGGACAACCGTCTACGTCAGGAGGACGAGCAGCAGCACTACATGGAGGTGCAAATCTTTCGAACAGAGATAGACTCCAAAATCCTCCAAGAGGTAGTGGGAATGGACGAGAACAAGCAACACCAGCAACTTCTTCGCCTCGCCGAAATGTGGTATTGACTGCAAGAAGTGCCACATTGACTGCAAGAAGTGCAAGTGTTCCACGGCAGCGATCACCCGACGGCGCAGACCGCACACGTACTCGACAACCATCAGCGTCTCTTGGACGTCAATATGCACCATCTTCAAGGAACACGAACAATACTGTAGCACGTGAACGTGAACCAGGATCGCCCAGACAAGTACTAGGGCAACGAGTTCCAGCACTTACGAGTACGACTACACAAAAAAAACTTACGCCGACTTTGTCAGAGGATCCTGGCTCTTCTCCTGAGGTGAGACAGAAGCAGGGGAATCAGAACCCAGTTTCATTATCGCAACGAAATGGAACAGCAGCTCGAGGACAGCCGACCAATACGATTACGAAAACTTCTACCACCCAGTCCCAGACAGCGCAGAAGAAACCCGGCAGGAGCAACTCTTTGGTGCAAGACGCTTTGCGTTTCGAGGCTGAAGAAATGCCTCTTGCACATGGCGGAAACAAGGCAAGCTTTCGCAAGAGAAATGTAGAAGCACCTGGCGGCGTGTCCAGGCAGCAAGCAGCTCGTAGACCTGTTTATGGCGGTGGTTCTTTCGACTATCCATTCATTATTTCGTACGAGAGCAAGACTTAGTGGAGTACATTCATTATTTCGATCTCGTACGAGAGCAAGACTTAGTGGAGTAAATTCAGAGCTAGTGTCGATAGAACATCAAGATCTCTGAGAGCATCTGAAGGAGGAGGGTAGAAGTACGAGATTAAAACCTTTCTCGTAGTCGAGCTCGAAGAGTCAAAGTATTCGTCTATCGTATTCGTCTATGTATTCGAATTTGTCGAAGCCTATCCACCTTCGTAGACGGGGCATCAAGTCAGAATATTTCGAGTCGGTCCTACCTAGATTGATGTTCTTGTAGCAAAACTGCAAAACCTCAAACCGGTTGTGGTCGTGCCAGTAGGGGACGAATGTGGAGGGTGTAATCGGGGTCGTGCTGGGAGGTTCAAAACAAAAAAAATGGATATCGGGCTCATTTTTTTTCGTTCCAACCATGATAAACCCCGACCCACCTCCTCCATACACCGTATGACCCAATATGCATGTTGTTCAGGGGTGTAATAAAGGGATTTGCTCCACCATCTGCTTCTACTCGTCTCTCAATGTCAGAACCTTGTGTATATTCCGTCAAAAATTAGGAAGGAACTTCTGGGGTTTTGAGGGTCTTCGGCTCAAATAATCCTAGCGCGACTGTTCAATCCGTAATCGATGAGAAGCTCCTCGGTTAGGAGGTTTTAGACTACACTAAACGTACATTTCGACTTCGAATGCTTAATGCAAACACGACGTTCTTTCTATAGACATTCAACAACAGATGAAGCATTACTGTTATCAACAACTTAGTTAATGTTAATGCTACTGCTATAAACCTAAAACACAACTTATTTTTACACCAAAATAGAACTAGAACTACACAACAAAATTTTTACTAGTCCGCAATAATACAAGTACAACTTAAGTACGTTAGACTATCTCATAACTAAGCACACCCACTACTACTTTCTGCTTTCTTCATTATTCCGAAAGCTCTTCCGACGAAGACGAGGACGACGCATCGTGTGAGTCTCCTGCGCAGACTTCGACGATGAAGGGTGGTGCACCTGGAGTGTACAAGCGAGAGCGCGAACGCGATCGACAGCGTGTTCGTGATGATCGAGTTACCGATCGTGTTGTTGACGGTGAGCGTGGTGGTGGTGCAGCCTCGCGACGTGATCGTGACGAGTGGTCTTCTCGTCAGGTGGGTCGTGGAGGTGGTCCACGTCGTGGCGCTGACGAACGTGGAGCTTCAAGAGGAGGACGGCAAGATGAAGAGAAGACGAAAAATCGCAATGAAGATGTCGATCAAGTGGAAGAAGAAGATGCCCAGACGAAACAACAACGTCAAGCAGCCTTACTGATGCAACAGGCAGCTGCGCTCTTGGGAGCCGACGGTCCTCTTGGAAGCGAAATGATGAGTGAGATGATGGCGAAGTTGAACAAGAAGACATCTACTTCTAAGCAAACTACATCCGATCGCGATGATGATGTTCGCAGTATGAAAAGCAACAGACAAGAACAAGTACAACAAGTTGTAAAAAAGCCAGCCGTTCTAAAAAAAGTGGATACCGGAAATATAAGTACAACTGGTCGTTGTGCTGGAGCAGCTGCAGGTGAGACAGCACATCAGCAGAGCGGATTATCTTCTTCTAACAATGACAGCAGCAATAACTACGACAGCCATAACGATCATAGCGAGGCTCCTCGGTCTCAAAAGGTCGCCCAAAATGCTCGTTACAATTAAGGACTGTAGTACGTTGACCGATCTGTGCGCATATCAATATCTATGGCTTCTTCAAGTAAGAAAAAGAAAGTCATAAAAAATATGCGAGCTAGATCGCTCAACTTCTATTCGTTCCAAACGCTAATACAACTGCCGACGGCGCAGTCGCTCTGGCAGACGTGAACGTGATCCTCAAGCTTCTAAAGCGCCGGTTCGTGCTTTGCGTGCGCATGAGTCTGAATCCTGTTCCGAAATCGCGCGACGACCAACACGTGACCTTGTGCAACAGCTGTTTGGCAAGAACCACCATGATCATCATGAACAACGGCGTAGTACCGCAGTGACAACTACAGCTAGTTGTACCCAGAAACGAGGAGGTGCCCAAGAACTAAAAGCTCGAGATGACGGCCGTCGCCCGAGAGCTCTTACTGAGGAGAGTGCGAGTGGTGTGGAACGTGAGCGGGCACCTCGCAATGATTCACGACAACAGAACAACTATCGTGATCGAGAACGGGATCCGCGCGCTAACTCTACTAGAGATGCCGATGCGAGTGGTCGCAATGCAACTAGAGAAGGTCCGACAAGTAACAGCACAACAACTCGAGGAAGAAATGATCGCGCTACTTCTCGAAGCAGAGAAGCAGCTGCATACAAGAGACGGGGAGATCGTGAGGATGTCAGAAGTTCTAATGATGGTACGCGAAGCCGTAGACCAGAGGTGAGCGAGCCGCCGTCTCTTTTGGAGCTGTACAGTAACCTTCTTCGAGGTGGTGCTTCTACTTCTTCTAAACGAGGCTTGTCTGGAAAGGACAGATCATCTTCGTCTTCGGGTATGAAGGATCATGAGCGCGATCTTGTTGCTCACCCTGGCGCAGCCGCTGGTGTTTTGGGTTTGGCGTCGTTGTTGCACTACAACGAGGCCGCCGCCGCAGCGGGAGCTGGTTTGTTGGATCCGACAATCTTGTACAAGTCTCTTGGAGCTGCTGCAGGACTCCCGCCTTTGATGAATCCAGAGCTTTTACAAGGACTCACCGGAGCAGGAGGACGCGGAGCAGTTGCTCCTAGGGCTTCTCTTGGCAGAGGCCGTGCTCGTCCTGGAGGTACGTCTGCTTCTTCTAGACGTGTGGAACATGAAGATGTTGACGATCAAATGCCAGGCAGACGCAGTGGTCGCCCTGGTTTTTCATCTCGTAGTAGAAGACAGGGTGGTAAAGGAGCAGGACGTCTTGATCATCGTGAAGAGTCGTCGAGAGAAGTAGGAGCAGCACGTCGTGATGATGATGATTCCTCCAGACAACGTCTAACAACTACAACACGAGGAAAAGATCATGAGCGTGAGGATCGTCGTCAGCAACAGCAGCTTCGGGATCATGAACGTGGAACACGCGGGCAGCGAGGTGTTGGCCGTGAGGAAGAACGCCAACGAGGTGTTGACCGGGAGGATCGCCGCAGGCAAAACGAAAACTCAGCAAGGGATGGACAAAACAAGAGAGAGCGCAGTCGCAGCCGGTCTCGTATTGCTGCAGAGCAGGAGAAAAAGGGAGCAGCTGCTAATGATCGCACTAACAGATCTAGTATGTTGGATCGTCGTGTTCCTTCTACTAACGATGCTGAAAGAGGAACAAGAGGAAGTAGAGCTGCACTCGATGCAAATAAAGCGGATGAAACCACATCTTCAACAAGAGGAGGCAGAGCTGCCGAAGAGCCCACATCAAGAAAGGTAGAAGTAAGAGGGGCCAGAGGAGTTGCGGAAGAGAAGAACGTAGAAGGTTCAGGAGAACCAAGAGGACGAGCTGAAGAAGAGCACAATAAGATAGAGAAACTAGCAGCCAACAGGATGGTCGTGAGTAGCAAGTCCTCTGCTGAACAGGAGTCTCGATCAGAGTCGGAGAGCAGAAGCAGTTCCTCCTCTAGAAGCGTGGAGCAGGAAAAGCCGGAACCTTCCAGTTCCAGATCGCCTGATCAGGAGACTATGAACAAGAGACCCGCTGCTCCGGCTTCGCTTCCTTCAGTTGTACAAGAACAGCAGAGCAGCAGAAGAAGTGCCGCAGAAGAAGTGCCTCGAAGCAATGCCAACGAGAACAAGAGACGTCGAAGATCGTCGCCCGCTTCTTCAGCGTCAAAGAGATCATCCAAGAGTAGTCGCAGTTCATCAAGATCTTCAAAGAGCAAGAGTTCTTCCCGACTTTCCTCTTCCAGTTCTAGAAGTGAAAGCAAAGGGACACGAAGAAGTGTGAGAGGAGGTAGAAGAAGTGTGAGAGGAGCCGAAGATCATCAAGGGACAGAAAACAATAAGACTACGATGGAAGACCGCAGGAAAGCCGCACTGGTTCATCCCGCAGAGACTGAAGATGACAAGAGCATGGAAGCGCGCAGGAAAGCCGCGCTTGCTGCGGCGGTGCGCAGTGGTCGGTTGATAGCTCCTGCAAAAATCTCAGCAGCTTCTAGTACCGATAAGCGGACTGGAGCTCCTGCCGATCGCACTACTGGAGCTCCTGCCGATCGCAGTACAACCAGAGGAACTCCTAATCTTATCGGTCGTGACAAAGTCGTGGACTCCAAATCTAATACGAAGGCTCCTGTAGTCACGAAGGGTAAAGGGAAAAGGCTTGATGAAATGCAGCCGCGAAGCCCTGTTGAGGAAGACACCAGAAGAAAGACGACTCAACCGCCTAGTACTTTTCAGCGACGTCCCGGAAGCTGCAATAGAAATTCGAGAAGTCCTCGTAGAGGAAGAAGAAGCGTCGGCGTCGCTCGTGAGGGCCGCAGTGTTGCTAGAGGACGGGCCATTGACTTGAGGTCTCGACAACGCCGCGACGATTCGAGCTCCTCTCTTTCTTTACGATGCTCGGACGAGTACTCTCTTTCTACTACTACTTGCTATATTTATTTGATGTTCTAATTCTTGACCATCTAAGGATCAAAAGCTTATTTGATGTTCTAATTATATTATAATTCGAAAGGAAAATCAATGACAATAAGGAGGGGGAAGTGGATAAGAAATCTCACGATGATGATTACTTCAATACTTGTAGTTCGGCTTTTGGTCATGTTCTTGTGCCAATCATGAGAATTACGTCTTTGTAAAACTTCTAACTCTCTCTTCGATTTCGCGCTCGAGAGGGCCACAGCGAGGGAGGAGTGGACGTCGCGGACGTAGCGGATCGGACAGGTCTAGATCCAGAGCACGTGGTGTAAGGAGGGATTTTGGTCCAAGCTCTCGTATGGAACAAAACCGTTCTACTTCTGTGGCCCGGGGGGGCAGGATGGATCGACCTCGTGGAGAGATCGAGCGACCCTCTCATTAAGGCTCAAAGGGATTCATTTTCGAGGGTTACTTATCTTTCTTTGTGTCCTTCTACTTCTTGCGATCCAACTTCTTGAGAAATGAGCTAAAGAAATGAAAGAATGCTTTGAGCTCTAATCTCAGGCTCGTGCCAGGCCAAATGGTCCACTCCGTTTTGGCGCTAGGGCTGGCAAAGGAGATCCTCGAAAAGAAGACGTTGATGATGAACAAAGCAGGGATGGTCCCAGAGATGGTCCTGAACGAAGCAGAGATGCTCCTCGTCGAAATGAGGGAAGGAACGATGGCACCAAAGGACGAGATGGAAGTAGAGAGACAGCCAACCGTGGTCACGGTCGTGGTGCTTCTGTCGCAAGAAACTACGGAACATCTTCCTCTTCAAAGAGTAACGTAAATGCTTCCTCGAGTAGCACCAGTACAACTGCCGGCGGTAACTCATCATCTTCATCTGCATCGAAAACGCCAGCAGGAGAGGAGAAGGAGAAGCGTCGAAGCTTGGCTGGTATTCCGGAAGAACCTGAAGATAAATATGAGAACAATAAGGACAAGATGAGAGCATCTACAGCGTCGTCTAAGTCTAAGAAAGGAAACGCAGAAGCTGGAGGAGACTCTGATAACAAAAACAAGAACAATAAAACTACTCCAGCAGCAACACCAGAAGCGAAGGCGAATGCCCTTCCTTCCGACTCGCCGCTCAATTCTCCAGCGGTGCGGCATAATTGTTCTAGTCTTGCGTCTTCCCTGTCCTCCTCTCCATCGCTGTCGCAAGACGAAATCCGCAAGCTGCGACAGAAAAACGCTGCAGAGCGACTTTATGAGGTTCCGCATTCCAGCACTTACACGAGCTTCCTCAGTCAGAGAAACCCGCAGCAAATTCGCTTCAATATTCTTATGGCTGTTGTCAGCATTTCGGTTGTTTGTCGTGAACGTGAAGATGTTGATGATCGATGTAGCTCTAGTAGATCATCCAATCTTACTCTTTTTACACGTTGATGATCGATGTAGCTCTAGATCATCGTCCAATCTTACAACTCTTTTTAGTCTGCGACTCCTAGATTTGATCCGATCCTTCTCACTACAGTTGCGTCTCTGGTACCGTCATTTAGTTGAAGATTTTTGCTTAAAACTTTCTTTTTCTTCACTCATCTCTTTCTTGACCCTTTCCATACCCATTGCTCTCCTCTAACGTTGAAATGAAGCAATTGCAAATGCAAGCGAATGGGCAACAGTCAGGTACTGCAAACCCGAAGCCTGCGTCCCTGATTGGTGGCGCGGTTGGCGCCTCCCTTGGCAACTCCTGTGTCGCCAAAAGTCCGCCTGCTCCTCAACTAGCCCAAGAAACGGTCTCACTGGAGACTGGACCACCTCCCGCACAATCCAAAGCGTCTGGGATGCCCATGAAGAACAGAAATGCTAGAGCAGATTCTGGCGCAAGTCCGCTTGTCTCAGATGTATTGCAAAAAATAACTTCAACTTCTTCTACTACAGCAGGAGCATCGATATCTGAAACCAACTCCAGAGCTCCAGTAGCTCCACCTTCTTTAAGGGTTTCCAGATTGCATCCTTCTCACCAACATCCCACCTGACTCTACTTTTTCCAGTACGAAATAAGTCAGGGTGGAGGATGTGCTGAAGAATGCAAAAATGTCGGAACCTCTAACTTCTCCACCGGTTGAGCTAACATCGTCTAAGACCATGCAAGGCACTGTAAGCGACAACAGTGCTGGTGATCTAGCTCCTGTCGCCCACAACAAGGCTGATCAAGAGAATGTGAAGTTTGTTCCTGAACCGGACGCCGCGAACAAACACTATGCCGCGATGGCAGACTACTACAAAAAGAACTTCCCGGAAAAACTTGCCGAACCTGGAAAAGGTGAAGTCGTAGTTCAGGATGATGGTACTACGAGTGATAGCGTTTCTTGTTGTGATTCACTATTTTTTATGTTGAAGTACAAGTCGTGTACTGCTGGTGCGCGAGGAAGTGTAGAACTTCTATGACAATATGGAATTCTCAACATCTTCTCCGGCGTGTTATTTTGTTAATTCCAATATAGATCTACACAAAATAAATGAACATCAATGTCAATCTTCATCCACCATTATATCTGTTCACCAGGTGGCAGTGGCTCCCCATCTTCTGGAGTACTACCCGCTCCGCCGAGTGCGGGAGGCGTTTATAACCACTTCGTAAAGGCCGGAGAGAACCCTGCACAGCACACGAAGCATCTGTTTTCACAAGCGGCAACGGTAAGAGCGTCTGGTGTAGTTCGTGTCACGTCTTCTGTAGATGATACCACGACAACAACGGTTGATGCATGTGCAGATCATTCTGGTGCTGAGCTCGTCAAAGGTCATGAAGAAGAAAACGTTGCGCTTGAGGCTGAGCAAGAGTCGCATGCTGAAGTCGGGGAACAAGAGTCGCATGCTGAGCATGCTGAGGAGGCAGCCCAGCAGGAAGAGGACGCTGTGGAAGATGACGCGGAAGATGTAGTCGTGGACGATGTCCAAGACGCAGTGGATGTCCATGAGGAAGAAACTGGCGAAGCAGGGCAGCAGAATTGCGAACACCAGGAAAGAGTGAACCAGTCCTCTACTGACGAAACGAAGAGCGAGGACGAACATGAGAAAGCTGCAGAGGATCATGTTGCCCATGAACAAGAAGAGGAACAAGGTGATAGTGCTACTGCAGAAGAGCAGGAGGAAGTGGAAGAGGATGGGGAGGAACACCAAGCAGAAGAAGAGCATGTTGCTGAGGCTGCGCACCATGAAGATGAACAAGTCGAACAAGCTGAAGAAGGCGATGAAGATGCGCATGTTGTTGAAGAAGCAGATGCAGATCAAGAAGAGCAAGAAGATGCAGAAGAACACGGGGATGAACAAGCTGCTGACGCTGCTGAGGTCGAGGGTGGTGAACAAGTTGCTGAGGAACATGAGGCTGTTCTTGAAGACGCAGGTGAGCAACGTGAAGATTCTGAACACGCAGAGACTGGACAAGTTGTTGAGCAAGAAGAGCACGAAGAAGATGGAGAAGAGCAGCACAACGAGGACGCCCAGGCTGAGGGTGGCGAAGTGGAGGTAGAGCAAGCGGATGCTGAAGAGGCCCAGCAGGATGACGAAAACGTCGATGCCGAAGTTCAGGAAGATGCAAATGAAAACGAGGAACAGGCAGAAGTTGAAGCGGTTCATGTTGATGACCACGACAAAGAAGAGGAAAAAGAGGAAGTTTCCGAAGAACCTGGAAGCTCGACTTCTTCCGGCAAGGCTACAGACGCCACTGAAGGTCAGAATAAGCGTGAATCTGCTTGTACACCTAGAGAACATGATCGTGCTGCGTCTGAGGAACATGAACAGGAAGAAGCTGGTGATCATAACGTCGAAGAGCATGCTGAGGCTGCGGAGGGTGCTGAAGAAGAGGTTGAGCACCAGGCTGAGCAGGAGGGTGAAAACGAGCATGTCGACGTTGTTGAGGAGCCACAAGAGGAGGCTGAGCAGGAGGGTGAAAACGAGCATGTCGACGTTGTTGAGGAGCCACAAGAGGAGGCTGAGCAGGCTGTCGTCAATGATCAAGAAGAAGTAGCTGCAGAAGACCGAGTTGGAGAGAATCTTCAGGCGGACCAGGAAGAAGACGCTGAAGCTGAACAAGTGGATGTCGCTCACACTGAAGCCGAACAAGAAGATGTTGATCACGCAACTCCAAAGTTAAGGCTCAGCTTTCAATGGTCATTGGGGTTGGTCACTGAGATCCCTCTTGAGAGAACAGGGGAAAATGAAGGAAAAGCAAAGGGAGAGGCATGGGGCCCATTTCTTTCAGAGTCAGTGACCATTGAATGCTGAGCTTTAACAAAGGCTGATGAACAAGAAACGGAAAATGAAGGCGATCACGAGGAACACGGGCAGCAAGTAGAGAATCCTACAGAAGAAGATACTACTTCTAAAGCTGCTGCTGCAGAAGAACAAAGCGCTGCCTCGTCCAAGCAACATCAACATCAAGACGACTCAGATGATGACGAAGAAGGAAGTGAGATGGTAGCAGAGCATCCCATGCCTGCTGATAACGAAGTAGACTGCTCTACTGAGGGAGGAAGAGCTTCGCCACCAGAATCAGCGTCTGCTAAGGCGTCCAGCTATGGTTCCAAGCCTACGGTTTGTGGACTCGATTTCAAATCCGCTCCACCTCTAAAGCGAGTTGGCAACAGGAAAATTCGAGTTATGGCCAAGCTCATCCCCATCTCGCTTCCTCCGCTTCTATCGTCTACTAAAAGCAACACATTATAAATATTTCGAACAAGAACATCAAGATAGAAACATGATTCATACTTCTTGTCCACAACAACCTCTTGTCTGTTATTTTAGTTACATCATCTTTGTTGCTCGAAGATGTGAAGATCCTCTTCCCTTTTGCTTTTCCAAAATGATCTTCAAAATTCGTATTTATATCCTCAATTTTTCTAATCCCTGTGTCCCAGTCGGCGCCGTTCTTCCAGCAGCTGTGGCGAAAGCAGGAGCGGCCAAGGCTGGCGCACCTGTCAAGTCATCAGACAAGTCGACATCCAAGGACGCCTTACCGTTACCTCAATCCAAAGCGAGTGGGCCTAAACCTGTTGCGGCTAAGGTTGCAGCACCCATTCGACCTTTAAGTAGTGGTGGCGTGCCGCCCAAGGCTCAAGGCGGGAGTACGCAGAGTCAGAGGACACAACGCACTGTGTCTGGTGGGAATGGAGGTGGCATGCAGCAAGGAGGATATTTTGCCGGCTCCCAACAACAACAGCCATATGGCAATCAAATGCCGAACAACCAGCATGGTGGTGTCCTCATGCCTCCTGGAGGTAACATGATGTATAACAACAACAACTACAACAACATGGGACAAACTGGACCTGGTACACCGCAACAAATGCAGCCTTGTTTTCAACAAATGCAACACAACAACATGGGAAATAATTACGGAGGCGGTATGGCTCCACAGCAGCACATGGGTAATGGAATGAACAACCAGGGTGCACATATGATGAACCAGCAGATGCATATGAACAACAACAGCATGGCAGCTCGCATGATGCAACAAGGCAATGTTAAGACTGACGATATTTGTAATCCATCAACATGATCATCTATCGATCTCGTCCAGAGGCACGGATAATCTTTCTGACTGTCTCTCTGTTTTCCCCTTAGGTACTATTGAGAGGATGAAGAGCGTGAACGGAAGTAAAGATTTGATAGGTACAACACGTACATGATAACCACTGTCTAACGACTGTCAATAGATACTGACTTCCTCTAATAATGGCTATGCGCAGCACAACAATATGGGTGGAGGGAAGCAAGGTATGCCAATTATGCCACCACATGGTCAGCATGGTAGAGGTGGTAAAGGCGGCAGAAAAGGAGGCGGCAACGGAAGAGGCAAAGGAAACGGAAATATGGGCGGAGGACGTATTATTTTTATTATTTTTGGTTAATACATTTTTCATCAATCAATTTCACTTTTTCAATGGTAGTTAAACACGATTCACGATGTGGAACTCATTGTAGTTATGTCACAATCCTGTTTCAACCGAATAAACACCTTGATGTCGACACTTGCCCATTTTAATGTTGCATAGCTACTACAACCACGATCTTCAGGTCATCCAGGACCAAGTCTTGCGCGTGGACACTATGTTGACCCCAATATCGATGGTGTGCCGATTAGCGCTCCCACTGGTACTTGATTTTACTTTTCACAATGTACGAGGACTCGACTGAGAACAATTTGTTTGACTAGCCTTTGACATCCAATCATCGGATGTCACATGATCCACCACGTTCTTCACGTTTCCCATCTTATTCTTTTCGACATCAAATAAGTAGTCTAGAGTAAGGTAATTAACGGGTTCTGGGTTGCTCGAGTTGGTGAGGTGAAGGGCTTCCAATTCTGGAACGAGTTGCAACGAGTTGCCAGGAGAAGCCCGGCCCATGAAAATGGGCGACGCGGGGCGGTGTGGGCTCAGAAGTGCTTGCTCGGCATACTGGGGGCCGTCTTCGGGACCTACTTCGCAAAAAAAGGCGGGGGGGGCGCTGCCTCCTTCTGTTTGGGATCGATGTTGCTGCGGGTGCAGAGTTTCGAGTCGGGGCCGGGTTTTCGCCCCGCTGTGTTGCGGGGTGAGTGAGGAGCTCTTGCCGGGTTGGGTTTGTGGCCGGCTTGCGGCTGAAGGATGCGGCGACGATATAGAGGAAAACGCGGCGAAGGCTAATGTGGGGGCGGGTAGCGGTGTGCTTGGTTTCACACACTGGTCGTGTGCATCTGGGTGGGCTGGTGTGGTACATGCCACACCCCCCAGGGTCCCCGCGTTGGGTTTTTTTGCAAGCATCCGACTGCCCTCACTTGGTTGTCTCCCGTTGTGAATGCCCCTCCTACCAATCTGGTGGGGCGTTCTTGTTCTCTACTTCATAACACCTCGGCAAGGGTGCGCCCGCAGGGCGCAGCGAGAAAATTTTTCACGAGCAACCCGAGAAGCTGGACCCGATATGGGTCAAAAACAGCCTAATCCTAAAATGTGAATAGAACTCCTTTACCTTGCAGGTGGTGGAGGGAGAAATCGTGGTATGAGCCGAAAGGGAGGAAAGGGCCGAAAGGGGGTGAATAAGCCGCCTCAACGTGGTGCGCCATATTGAGCGACCGGCTCTGCAGTGTCCGCTGTTCGGGTTTTTAGATAGCGGAGATTTTGATATAAAGTACTAGAAAACGGAACAAAGAAGTAAGTACATCAAATATCATTCGCATTGTTGTAATTCTTATAGAAGGTAGAAGTGAAATTATTGATAATGATCATACATAGCATCTCCATCCTGAGCAGCTGTGCTCGACGCACAAGAGCGAGAACAATTTTTACAACATAAAATGCTGAATTCGAAGAAAAGGCATACTAGAGTCAGACTTTGAAATCTGTTCGTCAGTTAAAACTAAATTTTTCTTCACAAATATCTTCGTCATCTGTCTTTCACTGCTTCTACATCTACTAATAAATTATAGGTATATTTCTAGTACTGATTGTTACTATGGGAAGATGAACTAGAGCAAAAATCAAAATAGTTTTTTAACAAAAATAGAAGTGGTGAGCGGTCGTCGTCGTTGAAGACCTACAGCATGCACATGGGACGATGGCCTTGCTGAAAGAAGATGAAGCATCATCTCGACGCCTGAACAACAAATTTCGAAGAAAAAGATAATTTTTGGGATAGGAATATTAAGAATTAAATGTTGTGTCTCGTCGGAGAAATTTTAGTAGTAATTGAAGTTGTTGTGATGTAGATGAGATGAGTTTATTCGTCAGTTTCTGAGGTCGTCAACATCAATGACGGCATCAAGAACTTACTTACTACGCATCATGACAAGCGATAGTGAGTTTTTTGAAACATCATATTCTCGATGATGTGATACGACGTTGATTTCCTCAAGTCTGTATTAAGTATGCATGTCCCGGGCGATCGATATATTATGCATATGCAAATGCAGGCTATCGTACTCGGGTTGTAGCCATATTAATGACGTGAAGTCCGAAATCGCAAAACGATATCCTTCACTTCTCTCCGCTATTGGAGAAATATTAAACATGTCTGTCATCCTTATTCTTGTGATTTTCAATACAGTACCATGTACAACATCAAAAATATGTAGAATAAAAAGAAAAATTTCAAAACTAAGAAAGTATACTTACGCTGGTTGATTGTGCATCAACTAGACTTCAAACATGAGAACATTCCTCAATAGTACCCCAACACGAAGAACTACATGATTTTGCTATCGGCAACAGCATTTTCAAACATCAATTAATCACTCCACGTCCCGAATCCAATATCATGAGTTAAGTAGTTATGAAACGTTAATGACCACTCGCACTCGTTGATTTTTCCATATCCTGGATCCGATTTGCCTAAAAGTATTTCAACACATTCTCGTCATGATTCACCCGATGAAATTTCCTATAGAGCGCTCCATGAACAATCGTTTTCCGTTGCACCCTTTGATAGTAACATTTCCCATAGATATTCGTCCCCCTCGAGTACCTACACCCAAAAATGACGAGGAATCTGCAAATAACCACCATGGTGATCATTATATGAACCCAGCACCTGGCATCCGGACTCGAATCGGATCCCTGAACTTGGAACTTAGAACTTACTATGTCATCTCCCAAATCGAAGTCGACCTTATGCTATACTCAATGCAGTTTCTCCAGGTTTTAGAAAATATAGATTTCCTTATAAAAAGATGAACCGGTAACCGCCATGATTCGGCTAGTAGCACTCTATGGGACAGGGACACAATGATGATGTTCAGGCGTCCCACCAAGGAAGGTGGAAAATTTTTCTGCGGGACAGGGCTCAAAAACCAGTAGTTCATTGGGACGACGATAATGAGAGAGACAGATTTTTGTGATTTTGAGACGAGAAACCAGTTCTTGTAACACAAACGGAAGTAGTTGTAGCTCAGATCTAGCAGTGTTCCTTAAAGTGAGTCAGTGAGGTGTATTTTTAGAGTTGCTGCTTATACAGAGTTGAGACCAGCAGTTGTGAGTACTATCAAAAAATAGAGGAGGAGTGGTCTCGAACGACGAGGCAAGAGCCAGCAATGCACCTTCACCGCGCACCGTTCTTGACTCTATTATAGCTCCCAGAATCAATATGGATATGTCTGAAGGTTTCCCCCAATTTGATGTTTCCCCAGTGCTGGTGCTACTTTCCCGTTATTACAGTAGATGTGATATATGAAACCCAATTCGGATTTTTTCGCATTGAAAATGCTGGAAAAAAGCCTGCTCGGTATTTGTGAACTAATGTTGTACTTGTAGTCACACATCATAATCATTCATTATAGTAATATTATTCCTTAGAAGAGGTTTTTACTTACTTAAATTATGTTTGATTCGACAACAGTTCAAGTTCTAGTTCCAGAGCAAGTGTTTACGTCACATGAGCGTCAGGCGAGGGCAGCTGTACCGCCAGGACGGTGCTGGCCTTTTCGCGAGACGTCAATCAATCTAAGTGATGCCACACGACTCTAACTCAATTTTTCTGCCTTTTTAGAATGAAATAGAAAACTCAATTTGTCATAAAGAGCAAGCATGCGCTAACTTCTATCTTGGAAACAAATATGTCCACCACATTCGTCTCGCTCTCGCCGTTGAATGACTAAAACAAAGGAGACCGCGCCTCTTCTGATGCGGAAGAAGTACTACAACGGAAAAACGAAATATACCAGCACACTTCGATAGAGAGATCGCAAGGGCGAACAAGCCTAGCCAACATGCCCACAGTTCTCTCTTCCACTCTAGCGTTGATCGCTACGGCGGTTGGATCCGGCATCCTCGCTCTGCCATCCACAATGAGCTGTGTCGGCATAGTGTACGGCACTCTTCTTTGCATAGCCGTAGCGTTGTTTTCGCATTGGAGTCTCTCAATTCTGTGTGAGGCTGCGGATGTGGCAGAAGAGGAAGGGGCAAGAATAGCGGTTGAAGACCAGTTCGTTCAAACTGGAGGAGGAAGTTTTGATGCTTGGAGCAACGGACTTGACAAGCCACTTCTACGGTCATCTCTGAGCCATAAAAATTCTCGTCAACATACTACCACCCGTTTATCGAGAGACACCATCTTCTCCGCTAGAGCAGCGTCAGCTTCCTCTCCTAGGACAACTACTACAAATACCACGACTAGTGGGAATAAAAAAATCAGCAGTATAGAGGAGCTATGTGACTTTCATCTGTCGCCTATCTGGAAAGCCATGACGCGATTGTCACTTCTTGGATTGCTGGTGTGCGCGGCGAGTGCCAATCTGATCATTTTCGCGTCGAATATCTGCAAGATGTTCCGGTTGGACCCGGAGGAGTGGTTATGATGTCGTGTTGAAGATGCAAAGTATACTATAATTAGGACTAGCTTCACGTCCACGTCCACGACCCCCCTTATCAATTCCCACGTTCATCTCACCAAGGTCCCTTGATGGCTGCTTCTTTGGTCAGTTTACTTCCCGCAACGTGCCAAACAGAGCTTGGCGGCCTAAGTGGCGTGACAATACTGGCAAACGCTGGGACAGCGTGCATTTTCGTTTTTCTTCTACTCCGACTAGTCTCAGCACCAGCCGCGAAGGACGTTTCTCTACTGCATCCACCTTCTTCTACTGGACAAGCTCCTCCTGAATCCTCAGAATCATCAACGTTCCTCTTGCTAGATATGTCATTCTTCGCCGCACTACCTCCAGTCCTCAGTGCTTTCTCCTGTCATTTCAACATTTTGCACATTCGTGGTGAATTGCGCAATGTGGATGGTGCGATAAAGGACGCAGAGCCTACTAGTACACCGATAGTAGAAGCACAGGAGGAAGCTGCGGGTAACATGAAATCCAGTACATCATCAACGGCTATTAACAAGATCTCTCAATATAATATGAAGAAATTCAGTTCATCTCCCCCTTATACATCAACAACTATGAAGACGGCTGTTGTACCAGTAGAAGTGATAGAACATCATGGACGTTCTTCACCTGAGATTGAGGAACACCTCGACTTTGTCAATGTGGAAATTGCTAGCATGGCCGGATCCTTAGCCTCATCAGCAAACGACGCAGAAGTAGATACGTCCGCTTCCACGACATCTTCTGCGAATTCGACTCTGACGAAGTTCCCGAAAGGGGTCTCAGAAAAAGAACAGATTATACAGAAGCAGGGAGCTTCAGAACAACTTCACCTGCTGAGTCAGCAGATGCACTCAGTGATCCTTCTCTCCATAGCAGCTTTGAGTTGTCTTTACGTCGTTTTTGGCATTGTCGGGTATGCGATTTGCGGGACTGCGGGAACGACTAGTGACATCCTTCTTGCGAACGCACTTACTACAACTGCTAGTACGTCATCTTCTTCATCTTCTGCTACCAGTAGTACTTCTTGGCTCGCAAGCATCGTCCCGATCGGCTTAGAAGTCTCGATTCTGTGTGTGGCGGTTAGCAGCTTGTTGCGGTATCCGTTGTTGATTCTGCCTTTGCGAAGCGTACTGCTGAGCATAGTGGAGGAGTACTTGGGACTGACGATTTTGAAAAAGGTGAGCGAGCTTGTTGTAGATGAGATTATGGTCAACATTTGGTGTCCATCATTCTCCTTCTCGACATCTTGGTCCCCGCCTTTTCTCTTGTATTATTTCTATGAAATGATACAAGGGCGGTAGTAAAGGGGTCAAGATGAGGGGGCCGAGATGCAATCTAGCAGACTCTAATGAGAAGGAGCAGCTGGAGGAGAAGATGACAACATCCACTTCGGAAGACAACAAGAACAAAAGAGACAAAGTACTTCTAGACCAAAACGAGGATCGTCTCTTCTTACAAGTGACAACTTTTGTGATCAACCTTGGATGCGGCTTAGCAGCTTTCGAAATGGGAGACTTTAGTGTGCCACTGACGATTCTCTCTTTTACTGCCGTGCCCTTCGTCTGCTTTTTCCTACCAGGCGTGTTGGCGATGCGGATGGCACGAAGGCGAAAAGGAGAACGAGACGAGGGTTCTCACAACTCATCTGCTAGAAATGATAGTCTCGTCGGAGTCGCTACTGCGGGGGAATACTCATTGCTGTGGCCAGAGGGTGAAGCGATTCCTGTTCTTGAACGAGCTTCTGATCTGTCGGAAACAGTCACGAACAAGACAGCGCCCAATGGAGATTGGCTGTGGTATCAGGGAGTGGCCCTAGTGGTTTTCAGCGGCTTTGCTGCAGGTGGTACGTTTTTGGCAACGGGTAGTGGACTGATGTAGTGAATGATCCTAGACATAAGCTAGATCAATCAAGTAGACGACGAGCTCTTTGGATCGGTCCAGTTTCAACTCCATTTTTCAACTTTCAAGTAGACGACGCGCATTGATTATGAGTATCTGAAGAAAAGCCAAAACATCACATACTCAAAAGGGAAGAGAAGGAGAGATAGAACTCTTCCAACAACATAATTGACCTCTTGCCAGGCACATCAATCAATCAGTCAACTGTGGCTTTCTCCTCACTTTTACGTCATCAGAATGTACTTAGGCCGTAGGAAAAATGCATTTTTATATATAACGTCCATCTCTTAGATGGATTGTTTCGATAGGTTATTCATATGACGCCACACATATTTTTTCATAGATCGTAGTTATCCATGTTTCTCACGCTGTTGCTAGTAGGAAACGCATCAAAATCCCAATATGTTTTTGGATCTGGGTGTATAATCCAGTATACTATAAGATTGTCATTATATTTCATGTGAGTGGTTGTGGTCGAAAGAAGTTGTCACTTCGTAACTACACCTTCGTGCATAGGATTGTACCTGAGGGGTATCGTAAATGTACCTACAGTCATGAAAAAAAATTATGAATCTTCAAGCCCAAGTCAGTGTAACAAAGAGGGGAGGGGCAACGGCAAGACGTAGTGGGCCGCAACGTTTAAAACAAGGGACACGCATGTACTTCTGTGACCGCACCAAATGTATCTTTGTAAGAAATTCTTTTATCGAGAAGTCGCCAAGTGTAGTTGTTGTTACCTTGGAACAATAGACCAAGCGACCAAGCACGGAGGCTGCAGGAGATGAGCTTCAGCAAGGTACGATCGAGAGCGAGGATGACGGCACGGATCTAAGCAGAACGTTGATCCATGCGTAGGCTTCGTGGGCTGCTACTTTTCATCTAGTCAAGTGGAATATGTTTTTTGATCTATCGCTTGAGAATGCAGCTAAACCCTGCGGATGGCGGATCACATCCTAATCCTCACGTGTCTACTCTACGTCTCAGACTTGTCCCACACGACTGCAGTCTCGAGTTCCCGATCTCCCCAGGTCTATGGCCCATTAAACATTCGTTTTTGTAGTTCTTTGTCTTCGTTCAGAGACTTCGTTAGAAGTAACGACGTACACTATTAGCGGATCACTTCGAGACGAAGCAACGCTCGGCCCCGGGTACTCTATTTCCTACTTCAGTAGAGACTACAGCATTCTTGTCATTTAGAGTTACATCATTCCCCAACGACCAGCGACTTGCAAAAAAACAACACAATCATAAAAGATGTCCACGATCTTCACTTCCACGTTTGACATGGTGCACCTTTACCGACTCCTCGACGAGTCTGGTGAAGAGTCGTGCCTACTCATCTTTAGTAGTGCAGCGACGTCCACGTCGACAAATCATACAGTCGGAGACCTCAAGAAAACACTTGGGTGCGAAAAAGAATTTCCTGCGTCATTGCTGATGCTGAGAACGTTGCCGAATGAAGAAGAGAAAGAGAATACCGGTGAAGATGGACATCATGATGGTAGAGAACTTGTTGGTGTTGCGTCTTCATCGTCGTCCGACGTCGCAGACACAACAGGAGACCTAGACGAGCACGAACAAGTACTGACAGATGACGCCGTTGTTTTGAACAGTTTCCTAGCATTTGAGGATCATACCTTGGTGTTATCGGAGCTAGAGAAAGGAGCTGCAGCAGGCCCTCCAGACGATGCAGACCTGTCGTATATGGTTCAACAAGCGATACTGCAGATGTTTTACAAGCATATGCCAGGTGGTGTCGTTGACGGGGAAGCTCTACCTCCAAAAGAGGATGCAATTGGCGGCGCTGGCGAGGACGATGCTTTCAGCCCAGCACCAAGAGTAAAGCAGCCAGCGGATCCAAACGCACGCGACAAAGATAGTTTGACTGGTAGTAAAACATCATCTATCCGTTTCCGCGTTTACTCACCTCTTCGTTTGGCGATTCTCAGTCCTGAGAAATTCAAGGGGTCTCAACAGCCATTGCACGATATCGAACGCCTAGGCCCTGTCGGATGTGAGGAGTACGTCGCTCTTTGCTACTACCGCGACCATGTCCAGTTTTCGCCAGCTTTTTTCAACCTGTGCGCGTTGAGGTATTTGCGAGACCTAGCGATAGCGTTGGTGAGGCATCCGAAGACTGATCCGAGACTGTTAACTTTCAGCCTCGACGATGGTTTTGCGCCTGATCAGGTGGACGAAATCTTATCGACCCTGGATGAAGAGTTCTACTTCAACACTCTGCGGAACTATTGTCGGGACTTTGTGACGTCGCCTTTGGGTGCAGCATATCTGAGTGGAAGCGACGAGTTGTTGTTGGAATTACTTGGTAAAAAGAAGTGGCCATCAAATAAGTCACAACAGATGACAGCACCTTTGTTGGCTGGAGGTGAACATGACTGGTCACCTCCAGTGCAAGCATTGCCCTTGATCGGAACTACAGGAGGAACGAGTACTGCAAGAAATGCAGGTTTTACGAGTACGAGAATCAATGCCAAATTACTGCTAGTGGATGATCCTGGGACTCTAGACCAGAGTGAGTTGGAGCAACAGGAACAGTCACGCTCCTATGGACAGCAAAGCCCAGCGTTCCCACCCAGTCCCATCAACACCGCTACGCCTACCAGTCCAATTCCAGGCACACCTGCCTTCCCGAAGCAACCACGTGGCATATCAAGGGAAATTTCAGCATTTTCGACGGAAGCGATCTCGAGGCTTGTGTCTGCTGAGGCAGATCAGATGAATCAAATAGAGGAAAGACGGAAACTATCTTCTTTGGTCGAAAGTCAGATTGTGCCAAGGCTGGTGGAATGCTTGTATTATGACGTTCAATTAGAGGCGGGGGACGGGGAGGGCGAGGGAAGTAATGTTGAAGACTTTATTGACGAGCACGCTGAAGAAGAACGTGCTAACGATGCCGAAGGCGATGCCCAAGCAGTCGTAGCTGAAAGACAGAACTCCGACAATTCAGCAAGCTCCATAGAAGAAGTCTCCTGTCTTCTCGAATCCTCGACAGTGGCAGATGCTCTTCGATCAGTGGCCATACCGTTTGTTATCCTCGAAACGAAGGTGCCGAGGGGCAGCTTCTATGAAAGTGCTGGTGCGAAAGGGATAGCTTCTACGAAAGGACTCTCCTCTTGGTGGAAAAATGCGTTGGAGAATACCCTGTGTTTGGACAATAATATGAGGCAAGGTCGTAGTCGTTCTTTTATAGGAAGTACGGAACAAGTCACTCCAGTGAAGATGAATAGAAGCCTTTCATCAAGACCTGCTGCAGATGAACAAGCAGAACAACAACTCTCTAGTCCGTCATCGTTACGCGGTCCTCTTACCGAGCTAGTCACTTTCCTCGAGCTTCAAGGTCACGAAATAGTCGATCGGAAATTCGATGAAATGGGTGAGGCGATCGCGGAGTTCTTGGATGTTGACGGCGTAGGACGTTCATCATCCAGACTGTCCAGACATCGATCTTCTAGAAGTACACGTCAGGAACAGCACCTCTGCAGGAACAGCACCTCTGCTCGTGGATATGCTCATAATAGAGGTAGGAATCGGAGGAGAAACGATCAAGAGCATGCTGGCTCATCCTCTAGCCGACGAAGAAGTAACTATGAAACGAAAATCTGTTATATCATTATCAAGTTTCTGAAGAAGGAAAGCATGATGATGATAACAGATAATTTTCTTTTCATAGTAACAGCTCGAATTGTTCTGGTGCACCTGCGCAAAGTGCGAGCGCAGCGTTATCTAGGAACAGCAGTACTGTAAATGGCTCAAGAGCAACATCGCGGATTCTCCCGTGCGTCGTTGATTTGGAGAACTACAGAGGTCCAGGCCAAGCTTGCCCTCAGCACTTCACAAATGACGCAAACGTAACGGATGAGGTAGCCACCGCATTGTGTGGCTTGCTTGGCTACGTGGCTGATACTGCCGGGGGGCATCATCCTCAAGCAGGTAATAATCCTACAAGAACAAGAATACGCGTCGAAAAAGTGGAGATAGTTGGAAAAAGTCTTAATCCTCCAACGTCGCCAGCATCAAATACTTCGCCACTGATAAACTTAAGGCTCAACTTTCATTGGTCATTGAGCAGGTTAGTCACTGAGATCGAAGAGGAGACCCCTGGAGAGAACAGGGTAAAACGAAGGAAAAACAAAGGGAGAGCCGTGGGGCCCTTTTCTTTCAGAATCAGTGACCACTGACTGCTGACCTTTAACAAACGGTAGCATAGGTTGGAGAACGAGAAGTGGAGCGCAATCATCACGACCGAGAAGTCCTGCTCCTCAGAGCAGGGTAGGACATCACGAAGCTGACAACGAGGAGGACCTGTACCTCGTCCCGACCGATCTCCTCAACGGCAGGGAAACCCTTTAAGGGCGTAGGCTTTAGGTGTTCCTCTTATCATTTGTTATCTGGCTCTCCTAAGGGAGGGAACAGGCATAACAAACGGGAGCAGAACCCACGAACACCAAAATTTGCCTACCTCGTCTAAACGCTAGCTGAACGATCCTCGCAATCCATCACGAACGCAAACCAACTCCGCTTTCCGACAGAACAGGAATCTCTGAACTGTTCGCTTCTAGATTTGGCCATGACAGAGGAGAGAGTGAATGTGGTTTTGGGCATCCTGAGTCGGCCAGATCTGAATTCTCGCTTGATCACGCCGCTGCTGTATGAGAAGTTAAGTGTCGTTGTCGTGAGCGTGACTAGAGGTAGTCTTGCAAAAATGCTGTTTTAGACGTCAAATCACAGGAGGGCGCCTTCTTAGCTGCTCTAACGTTTGCCTTCCGTCAATGCCTCGAACGCGGCTTCGCTATACAGGGTCGCTCTTCTTTCTCCTCAAACCCCACAGCCCGTAGGGAAAACGCAGATGGCCTCGACGCACGGTCCGATACTCGTGTCTCGACATCAGCGGTCTTGAACCTTCGGCCACCTCGAGGCTTCAACTTGTGGCTGCGAATCTGCAGGTTATTTCAACAGAAGAAAATCCAGGATGAATGGGTAGCGGAAGAAGTAGTGGAGGAACCAAATAGAAGCAGTGGAGGCAACACTAGAAATATAAGGAGGAGGACGGCTTTGGTAGTGTCTATCGCGACATCATCATCTTGTTCTTCTTCTTCGTCTGGTCCTACTTCTAAACTAGAGAAGGCAACGACATCAAGAACCACAACCACTTCATCACAAGAAGAACGCTATTTCCGCAGAGGTAAGAGATTCGAGGTCGTCAGCGCAAATGCACAAAGCAGGTCAGTTGCTCAGTACACAGACGATGTGCTGGATGCGGTGGAGGGGTACATGGGAATCCGCATCTTTCCTAGAGAAACTTCTTCTGGAACTAGTGCCTCATCTGCCTCTCTTCAATCTCAGAGAGACCATGAGCTATTAAGGGTAGGTTAAAGGTGCTTTTCTTACCGCTTTTTATGCCTCTCTCCCTTAGGATGAGAAAGGCATAAAAAGCGGGGTAAGCGAGCCCCAAAAACCTACCTCTAAAGCTAGTATTCGATACCAAGTCTCTCCGCTGTCTGAAAGCCGAGTACTGGCGGTGGAAGCGAACTGAACGGCCAATGCATGTTTTGGGTGCGAATTGTTGTGGGGTGGGATGGGCCTCAGTGACATGTGAGAAAAGAGGGTGTTGGATCGAGATATCAAGGAGTGAGTACTTGAAATATGTAAGTTCTGTAGAGGTTGTTTTGGAGAAAGATCTTCTTGTGTGAGACGTTCCAAGGTTGACATGTAGGTATAGTTCGAGTTTCCTCTCGGGAGTGCGGGACCACGCATCAACACGAGATTGTCGCAATATTTTCGAACAGTATCGTCCAACTCCATGACGCTCGGTGGAGGACACGACGAGTTGAGTCAGAGCAAGGGAAATCCATGATGTAGACCTGCCTTATGATCAGTCTGAGGAATATATGTTCGAATCTTCAGAATTTCGAGAGTACAGAGTCCCAAGGGTATCGGTATCGATTCAAGACCAAGCGTAGAATCTTCATGAGTAAGTGATTCTAAGAGTGATTCTGATTGAGGTAATAAGAAGATAAAGAACGTTTTGATCGGTCGGTATCTGCAGACCGCTTGAGTTCATATTGTGGTGTCTAGTGTGGCGCGTCTTTTCTCCCGAGAGAACCTCCATCCCCATACTCACCCACAGTGCTTGGCTCACCTCCTCGTCCGTTCTCGTTAACCCCACAGAGCTAAGTATACGCTTTCCTGAGGTGAATTTAGTGGTTTCCACGTCCGCACTAAGCATCATCTACTTGTTCGGTGACGTCTGTAAACGCGATCACGATATCGGCAGCTCCTTCTTAGAAAACATTCTTTCGAAAACACTTTACTCATCGCCATCTCCAGTAAATCAAGAGTATCAACAAGTAGAGCTTCTACATATTAGAGTTTCGATCATATAGCAGGTCTTGGTCTTCTCCAGACCCCCAACGTTAATCAGCAAAGATGGCACTTGACGGCGTGTTTCGCATGAAGGGCGCAACGCCCAATGCTATGAATGAAATGGCGACTAACGTCATAAACAACGAAAAACAATACCTACCAGCACCGCGAATCGGCTGTGTGCCTGCCATCAATGCGGCGAAGTTGAAGAAAACTTGGGTTGAAAGACCGCCGAATGTCAGGGTACTTTTGTTGCTCTAGTATTTAAACTTGGGTTGCAAGACCACCGAATGTTAGGGTATTATTGATGCTTTAATGTATGCAAGCGTCTCGTTTAAGTAGAGGACAACTCTTGGGTGATACTTTCTCGTCTTGATCAATTTCATGTGGACCGATCAACACAGGTGCATCTGTATGACCAAGGAACATCACTCCCCTCATCACAAATCACAGCACGACGATGCGGTCCTCAAGCAGTTGACCTATGGTTGTAACAGCAAAACGCAAGTTCGAGAGCTGCAGAAGGTTTATCAGGGGAGAGCAGATCACAGAGATAAGAAGCTGACAATAGGAAGTCACTTCACGGATCCGAGTGGTACTATTTTCCTGGAAGTGAGTCACTTCACGTGGTAGTTGATGTTTTGGGTTTTTGAGGCAAACGAACTCTCGCAGGTGGAACAGTAACTTTATAAAAAGTTTCTTCCTCCTGCACCACCTCTATGAATATTGAATCAAGCTACATTCATGGGCTCTACTATCAACGTTGTCCCATTCACTACCAGATCCAGCCATGCTCAATCTTCAAGACGAATGCGAACAAGTCCTAGCCAAAGGAAAACAGGCGAATGTAGAGCGATTTGTCCTACCGCAGACATCAGCAGGAGTCGTCGGACAACTTGCAGTGAATCCATTGGATCCCAAGTATTAAACACAGTGGTTTTTATCATCCTATCCTAAATACTGACTTTATTGAAAAGTCCTAGGTAAATCTCATTAGTATCCTATCCTCTCATTATTATCCTATCCTATCCTATTAGGTTTTTATTAATCCGTTGGAGGAGCCTACGTTATATTCCTTGCAGTGAATCCATGATTCGTGGAGCCAAGCTTTTCTTCGTTCTCTTCCGACGTATGATGAATCCGATGTATGATGAATCTCCATCTCCTTGCTGCATCATCCTCCCAACCAGGTGGCGTCGTTCCGAAGGTCCAGGTCAGACATGGCGCTTTCCGAAGGACGAGTGCGACATCGTGTTATTCGGCAAGCAATACTACGAAACTTGTGGTGTCAATATGTTCTCACATCGAGCGAAGGAACAGCTGTTTGCGGGACAGCCTCAATAGGGTCGACGTGGAGATCATTTCAAGGACAAAAAACACATCATGCAGTACATCATAATCATTTTCAATCGCCGATTGAATTTGACTCTGAGCTCGATGATCTGATGAAATTGCATCGTCGGAATGGTGAAACTCGTGCTTGACTGTTCGATCGATCGATCGATCCTCTTGTGCCTTGGAGGAGAATAAAGAAAAAATAACACCGAGGAGAACACGTCAGCACTAATTTGTTGTTGTTGGCGTCGAACACGGCACTAGTATGTTGGCGTGGCGAAGAACAGATGAGAATTGTATGCAGAGCTTGTGTTGGAAGGGAGCGCAGGGATAAAAAATACCCGAAGCAACCAGCATCATCAATGACTTCACGCTATAGTTTATTTTGGTGACGAAACGAAACTTCAGAATCATTGCATATCAAGAACGTACGGGCAGTACCAGAGATATCTCTATCTGATCTATCTCTCCGCGTTCATGATCTATCTCTGCGCGTAACTTCGCACGGGCACATGGCTGCACAGTTTCCTGTCTAGTTGTTAAACGGTGGTGGTAAGGGTAAGAGTTCCGTCGTAATATTATCTTTGCTCACTTCCTCCCATTTATTTTAAGTGGCACGCGAGCTGGAATCATAATCATGTTGCATGCTAGCATCACACGAATCAATGTCATCAAAGATGATGGGTGGCTGTATTAAATCAAGCTTTTTTTTCTTTATCAAACAGGGCTGAGGTGGTAAGATGAAAAAATAGAAACCAGCGATGCGTCTGTTTTTTGGAGTGAAGTACTTACTTGGAATTATATATAATGAAATCGAATTCGAGATGCATCATCCCCGAGCAACCCTAATTTTGCTTTTAATGTTTTCATTTTTTGGAATAACGATAAATCTTAATCTTTGACAACTAATATCTATCCTTCTTGGTAAGAAGTTCATCCTTGTAAGAAGTTATTTGTCTTCCATCCCTAGACCTAGATTTGTACTAGAATGTGGAACCGTAGACCTAGATTTGAACTAGACCATCTAATTCTGCTCGATATTCATTGCAATCGCAACAACGTAAGGAGCCTCCTTCATTCTAGTAGAACAACCAAACACGAGGAAAAATGGCGTCAACTAAAGAAGTTGTGGCGAATACAGACGCCACCAAAAAGCTGCTCGATGCGCAGATTGAGCGGGTCCTGTCCATGAAGGTCCTCAGCCAAGACGAAGTCAAGGACGTAGCTCATCGAACGAGGGTTCTGCTGACTGGGGAAAGCAATTTATGGTTGAAGTAAAAGTGATGATAGTACTTCTCTTATACATAACAGTCGTGTCTGCTCTAGTTCTTACACAACTGCTGGACTGCTGGATGTTCTTGTACTAGTAGTACAAGAAAAATGCTTTCGAAGTAGAAGAGTTAATATCAAGGTCATCTTGTAGGAGATTATAGATTCTTTTCGTTATAGGAACAAACATTCGCAAGAACTTTCTTGTTCTTACAGTGTTCGTCCTGCTCTTCTAAGGAACGCTCACCCCGTGAAATGCCCTGTTACCGTAGTTGGTGACATCCATGGCCAGTTTCCAGACCTGAAAGAACTTCTCAGGATCACGGGCGGACCACCAGACAATAACCTTCTTTTCTTGGGTGACTACGTGGATAGAGGACGCTTTTCAGTACTCACGGTGTCGCTGGTTTTCCTGTACAAGCTCAGGTATCCGGATATGGTAACGCTGCTGAGAGGGAATCACGGTATGTTAGGCTGGATCTAACTAGAAGAAGTATTTAACTAAAAAAGAGGGGTGTAAGTATAACCGAGTAAGTATAACTAAAGGGAGGTCTAACTACAACTAGAAGTATAACCGAGTAAGTATTGAAAATAAGGGAGATACTGACAGAAGAGGAATGTAGTCAAGACTCTCTTATTTCAGTCAGTAGCTCGCTTATTTTGAGTTTTCGAATAGAAGCATAACCGAAGAGTGGCGCTGCTCCAGAAGATGGCCAAGTTGTCAAGAACAACTTCTTCATCTAGAGTAATCATTCATAGGATTCCAGCTACAACACCCTAGTGATATAGAGCACCCCGATGGTTGTAGTGCAACCCCATACGCCACCCGCCCATTTTCATTCCCCAAAGCCGGCAAGTCACGCAGGTGTATGGTTTCTTCGATGAGTGTGTAAGGACCTACGGCTCACCCATCGTATGGCGATACTTCACCGAAGCCTTCGATGCCCTACCACTCACAGCCGTAATCGAAGACCGCATCTTTTGTCCGCATGCAGGCTTGAGTCCTAGTTTGGATACGTTGGATCAGATCCGAGAGTTGGACAGGCACATGGAAGTCCCGCATGAAGGACCGATTTGTGATTATGATGTGATGAGTAAGTACTAGTACTGTTTTTTTCCTGATGTTGTTCGTTGTATTTACAGTAGAAGTTTTCTCTTCTCCGTTGTATTTACAGTAGAAGTTTTCTCTTCTCCTGTGGGTGCCTTAGACTCAATAACAAACACTAGAAATGAATTCAGTACCGGCGGTTCTAAGTAGTTACTAAGAAAAGAATTATGTTGAGACTCATTATTATTTTACTCAACATCCTCTAACGGTCCATCCTCTGGAGCGACCCCGATGAAGTGGTGGGCTGGGGTATTTCGCCGCGTGGTGCCGGTTACATCTTCGGACAGGACGTCAGCGAGACCTTCAACCACACGAACAAACTACAACTCATAGCCAGAGCGCATCAGCTGGTGATCGAGGGTTACCAATGGTGTCACGAGAGGAACTTGGTCACGATTTTCTCAGCGCCGAATTATTATGGCTACAAGATCATAGAACTCCCCAGGACATTATCGAGAGGTGCGCCCCGGGTGGGAGGCGGAAAGAGAGAACTATAGTCCCCGGTTGAAAGTAAAGCTGTGCTTTGTTCTTTTTTTTCGTGCTGTGCTTTGTTCTTTTTTTTCGTGCTGTGCTTTGCTTTTTTTGCTGTGCTGCGGTTATTGTTTTTGGCCTGAAATAATGTTCACTTTAGATATAATATATGCCATGTAGTAGATGTGGCGAATTATTATGGCCACAAGATCATTGATAGAAGACACGCTGAATTCAACCCCTTACCTCTTCTAACCCCCCTGCGGTCGTTGCGGCAACACGGCTGGGCTCATGGACATTGACGAGCACCTACAGTACACTCTCCTCCAGTTTGAGGCTGCACCACCAGAGAAAGACGAGGATTTGCAGAATATGGTCAAGGGTATGCACCAGGAAATCTTCGGTGGCGGCAAACAACACTTTGATGCTGGAGAGGCAGGTGCGATCCTAACTGGAGGACCAGCGTCAGGAAGAGGATTGCCGGACTACTTCATCTAGATGTAGTACGATGACTATGATCACTTCTACTCGCGTCTCATCTTGATCATGCCTTCAATATCCGTAGTAGAATACCGAGTTCTTGTAACGTAGCTGTTGACCATCAAAGTCTTTTTACCTGATGTCATTCACATTCTTGAACTGATGCAAGTTGGAAAAAACTGCTTTGTGTCTTGTAGCAGAAACGAATCACAAGCATTCGCAAATGAGTCTTTTATCTCTGTTTATGAAAATGATTAAATGTTGGCAACGACCTCCTTCTATTGTGTCTAACAAACTCCAAAATGATTCTCCCAGGGTGAGTGGTCCTCGATCTAGTAAAACCTAGCTGGGGGTATTCGTACGAGCGTGATTCCCCTTTTTGGCTCGTTCATTTTGCGATTACAACTCCTGATTTTTGTGTTTCACCCCCCAGGGAGTCTGCTGAGTGGTCATCCCAGGAAGGCTATTGTCATAGCTTGTCCAGGCGTAAATCTCTCTGCAAAAAGACGATATATCTTTGTAGAAATATAACCTGAAACCTATGGCATCCGCACTGTACAATATTGATCTTCTTCCCTCATAAAAGACTGAAAAAGTTGTAACTCTGGAGCTGGTGCATCTTGCTCATCCATGTTGATCGCACCGCACCGTGTAGGTGCCTAATGTGATGTGTGATCGGCGACCGAGCCAAAAATGAACATTATTGAATGATAGCATTGGAAAACAACAAGTCTTAACTCTCATATCGATAAGGCTTAACCATATCGGGTCAGTAGATACCCACCGACCTTCGAACCAAGTCCTGCAATGGGAAAACATCGGTAATATGTTGTGTTCCACTTGTTGTGACGATAACGCTGGTTATTAAAAGAAAAATGATGCATCATCCGCTTCATTGGACAGCCAGTGTTAAACGCAAACAGTCAGTGTCAGGGCAAGACAGGAATAGATTCAACTTTTTTAGTACTCAAGAAACGCTTTTTCTATACTTTCATCATTGGTTCCTAAATTTCGCTCTTTCAACAACTACACCTCACGACCAACATGAAGGATCGTAAACCTCCGTTCCCTTGTGCCCTTCTCAGAGCGTCACTCTCCTGGCTCGTCGTGGGCAGAGTAAACGGCGCAGGAGCTGTTTCCTTGTCCTCTCCGCCACCGCCATCTAGGGGCAGAGTGCCTTCGTCGCTACGAGCAGAAATCCACCACGAAGATCACGATGACAGTGGCGAAAATACTAGGTCATCTCCTGCTTGCGCTTCACCCAGTTCATCTAGCACAAAGAGTAGCATTAAGCGTAGCAATATAGCGTGTACTTCCAGAAGTTCTTGTAAAAGAAATTCAGCTGGGAAACTTCTTCTCTCCAGTTTGCCCGCCGCCGCCACCGCGTTCGGCTTAGGTACGGGAGGCACAGCTTGGAGCAGTCTGGCTGCTAGCAGTGTACATCCGAGTCCATCTCCAGCTTCTAACAGGGTACTAGAACTGCAACGGCCATTTCCAGTGTTTTCACAACTTCAAGATATCAGTTCAAGTCTCAATCTGGATGATACAGGTAGCTACAAGAACTATGAGACACCTGGTGTTGCCAAGATGAACCCTCTACAAGGTGTCGGCGTCGAGACAACACTAGGACGTTGGTGGCGCGCTCAGCAAGAAAAAGAAGAAGATACTAAAACAGGGATGAAGCAACAGCAACAGCGAGTGCACGAACAGCGACATCAAGAACTAGCGCGACAAGAGGATATTCTCTCACCAGAACCTGTTGTGTCTCTTCTCTCGCAGCAACTCAACACTCAACAACTAGCACAGAGAACCACGTCGCAGCCACGGCGAATAGTTGAGCGGGGCGGCGAATTCCATGGCACTTGGTTAGAAGAATTTGACGACAACTACCAGCATCAAACAGGAAGAGACGGTTTGCCCTATTACTACAACGAAGTAGCGACAATAGGTTAAGGGTAGGTTAAAGGTGCTTTTGTGACCGTTATTTATGACTCTCCTAAGGGGGACGGCAATAGCAAACGGTAGAAACGAACACCAAAAACCTACCTCTAAATAGGAGAAGACCCTTCATCTCGTTTGCATTATCGTGACACACTAGGCCGTATCTCTTGGGTAGAGGACTATCCCTTGCCAGAGGAGGAATACGGGCGTCCGAAGGAGATTTCATTTGATGAGTGGATGGCACGATCCGACAGAATGCAGTTCATGAAACCAGTGACTGAGATTGATCATCTGTAGGTCAGCGTCAGTGCGCTAGGGATCAGGGGGCATAATTGTTGTAAGCATCAAAAAACACAGTTCAATTCTTGCGTAGGTCTGTGCATCAAATAACATTCAGTTCTAGAGAATAAAGTTCAGTGGCAATCATTTTTGTGATTCAAGAATGAACATGAAGAGTTGTATTTCGTTTTGTTGCTCTAAAATTATAGATTTCGTGTCTCATAGGCTAGATTTTCATCACAATCACAAAACATAAGTACCTCTAAACACCAGTATGCGGCATACTCATACGTATTACAAGCGAAAACGTTCGCGAAATGCAGCAGTAGTTTTTAAGCACTAACTATACACAAAATCAGACAACTCGTGTGTAAAAGCGGCGAAGTTGTCGTTCTTCTGACGTTCTTGAGTCAAGCACGACTCTCACTTTATCTCTTACGACGAACCTTTTGTACATCTTTTCGACGTGGAGAAGGAACATTTTCGACCAGCAACCTATCCGGTATGCTATCCCACCGTGGGAAGATGACAAAGGAAAGCAAACTCAAGCGCTGGACACTGATTTGGCGGTCAACTGCGTGATTTCACTTGAGGGAGAGCGAGTTGATCGACCCCGAATATTCCCCCACGACATGAACAACTCAAATGATTGGATGTCATCACCTATGTATTTGAGAATATAAAACACCATGGGTCAGCACCTAAGCCTCTTCGTTGCTGTCGAAGTGCTCCTTGCGGGAGCCTTTGACCCGCTACTTGATGGCCGAATCCGTGTGCCGATTCAAGACCAGGTTGTTGTGGACAAACAGGAAGGATATGCTAGTAGCGTAAGTAGCCAAGAAGCAGAACGAGAAGTAGTACCTGTAGAAGATGCTAGTGGTGCTGCAGCAAATATTCCAGAACGAGCATCAGAACCAGAGGAGGAGGACGATGACAAGCCTATTCCAAGAGGTGGCTATCGAGGATACAAAGCGTCTTCTAGGTCATCGACGGCATCGAGTAGCTCAAGCTCTTCCTCCAGGAGTCCCCGTATGATCTCGGCTCAAGACCCTGATTTAACACGCAAAATCATCGAGAATATAGGACCTGAAAGCGCACTCTACCACGTGAAACCAACGGCATACTATTTCCGGGATGACCATGTGGATGGATGGCTCTCTCCCGATTTTGAGACGATTCATAGAAAATTGTACGGCGTTTCGCCTGAGGAACATCATGTGGTGAAAAATTTCACAAACCCCTACGGCCTGCCGCCGACATTTGGCAAATTCCCGCATTCGAATTTGATGCCAGAATTTTTCCTGGAACATGTGCTGGATAGGTTAGGCACGAGGAGAGAAGGACTGTACGAACACTTGCCGAAAGTGAACTTTATTGTCGAGGTATTCCCTGATTTTGCTAAGGTTTGGTTTGTTATCCGATTTGGATGTCACTAGGGTTTGGTTTGTTATGCGCGAGTATTAATGCTTGCCTCTCCTGTTGCTGATCACTCCTGTCGCTAAACTCTTACCAAAAATAACCCTTCGATGCAAGTCTTGTTCATCCTTGTTTTCATCTACATAAATCGATGCTCCTTAGGTGGGCTCTTTCCAAGGGCACTCAGCAGTTTTGATTGCCTCGATTCTAGACAGTATCGCTGGACTGGAAGATATACCAGTTCTGTGCATAGATCCTTGGACGGGGGATCTGAATATTTGGGCAAACCGTGAGTGGGACGCGGATGTGCAACACTGGGCATCACCAGTTAGGGATGGGAGGTAAGTAGCATTATATGTGTGGATCTGGAAGATGGTTGCTCCTTGTGTGCTAAAGAACCATTGTAAGCTCAAACTGAATTTCGTACCTTGTTTGGGAAATTTCTAAATTTTATCCGTTCAGAACTCCACGTCAAGCGACTACAACAACTGCCAATTAAACAACCACTACACGACACGACTCTACAACCAGGTCCCTCCTCTTCGACCAGTTTATGACCAACGTCCAGTTCAAAGTCTCCAAACACTTGTCTCCGAACCACATTCTCCCCTTCCACGCTACTTCCACTGTCGGAGCCCGCTTCCTCAAGGCCATGAAGTGGCACCCTGAGGTGATATTCCTAGACTCAGCGCATGAAGAACAGGAGACGCTGATCGAGTTGCGGTTGTATTATGAAGTCCTAGCTCCAGGAGGGATATTGTTCGGAGACGACTTCAATTGGCCTGGAGTGAAGAACGATGTTTTGACCTTCGTAGCAGAAATGGGGTGGGGACGGGATCCGGAAAGGGTCTTTGATTTTCACATACTGCCGGCTACCACAACTAGTGGTGGATCAGTCCTGCTGTGGCTGTTGCACAAGGCCAAGTATGTGTGAAGTCGTGACGGGCAGATCACCACGAATTACTGTACTCGTAGAAGTTCTACTAGTTCTTGTTTATTCTAAGAAGTTCTTGATGTTCGTTGTAGTTGTACTTGTAGACTTTCGAAGAAATCGTATGCGGGCATGTTAAGGCACTCGTGAAGAAAAGTTGAAGAATGACCACCATCAGAATTAATGGAGATTCTGCTGTCGGCCACCTCTGAACAAAATACACCGAGTAAAGTTCTCGTTATCCGCTCCTTCCTCTCAGAATCACGACATGGTCGGTTTCATCTACTAGTCAATGATCGGTATTCTCATTCGCTCGTGCCCCCGCTGCTTCTGTTGCTGCTTTTGTTGCTGCTTCTGTTGCTGCTTCTGTTGCTCTGTTGCTTTGCGGGCCAGTCCCTCGGTAACTCCCTCTCCGAATTCGTGTGTCGAGTAAACCTTTCCTTCCTGCTGTATATTCACTTTTTCCCTTAACTACTTTTCATGATGATCATACAGCAACATATCCCTGACACGATGACAAAGAAAACTACATGATAACAAAATATCGAGGATGATTCACGAGCAAGAGCAACAAAATGCCTCTCGGTCTTCAAAGCATCGTCGCATCGATGACCACAGATGATATTCACAGGATTATAGCGCCAATCGACACGCTCCCAAGACGATCACATCATCAGAATTTTGAGGTCACAACGTCCTTCGCCCGCCGCATCCCAGGGTACGAGCTGAGCAACATCAACTGCCCAGAAGGGGATACCACAGGCAGTGTCGACAATGACGGAGTCGACATCGCAGAAAACATCATGGATCGCATTTACATCGAGCAGAAGAACACACTTCTATTCGGCGTGTCGGGTTGTGCCTTCGCGTCAGGAATTGTCACGGCTTTCATGTTGAGGTTACCAGGATTGTCGAAATACGATAAGAAAGGTGGTAGTGGAATGGACCAGGAAGAAGATGACGATGATCTTATAGGAGGACAGAGTGGACGAGGAATGAGTCAGGGTCCACCGTCAGCTGGAGGTAGTTCCCCTGGTTCAAATCTTTCAGGAGATGCAGAATCTGTTGATGACGGGTGATTAAGTAGATGATTGCGTAATAGCACTAATTATCTTGTGATGGCGATGACAACTACCTCTGCTGTATCTTCTGACACTTGCAGCAAGTCCTTGCATCTACCGACCGAGCTAGTACACTTCTTGATTATGAAGAAGATTCTCTTGTATTGAGTGCCGCTGTTTCTGTTGAAGAGAGCTGAAAAAGCAAAAAGTGTCTGTTTCTGGAGGGAAACAAAGAAAAGAATGATAGCTATAGAGTACGGATTCCTGCCTGAGTGTCTGTGTCTGAATCCCAATCAGCATCATGATCATGTTTGACTCTGTCACTTTGAGCGAAACTCAACATCCGCTTCACCACCTATTGGTCATCTTTGCGAAAAATGTCTGTCGGAGAGCAGCGTTAGCAGGAGAATAACCGTAAATCCACCTCCACCTTGCACAGTTTTCAGTAAGGAGTCTTCGTCTAATACTTCTAAACGTTTAATACCCTCATATATAATCTTTGAAAAATTTTATTTTTTGTTTTTGAGTAACTGTATGCTCAATGGATTCATTTCCTCTGGGCCTGGTCTCAAAACTGATTTGGTAGATCAGGTTGGAGACATATGACATGACATAACGTGTATTTACAATCTGGGATATGGGATTTCATCAAACGTAAAAAACAATGACCCAAATGTACACCTGTATTGCATTTTCCTCTGAGGAGGATATGCAAAATTTCTCGAAACGTAGTGAATTTCTAGATTGGGTAACAACAGACTTCGGAGATGAAGTAGACGCTAATTTGATGAATAAGAACACCAGTTTTGATGTTTTGACTGAAAAAATGGATAATTTTTATGGTTGTGTTTCACAAAAGGGTAAAGACGACCCGAAGCTAAACGTAGAAAATGTATGCTGCACTATGATCGCGAGCAGCTGTAGATCGAAAAACATGGACTTCCAAGAACGTCCTCTTCTTTCCGACGGTCGTTTTCTCCGAAATTGTACCCTAAAAACCTCTATTCCCGAACAAGAGGAAATCGGATTCGAAGTACTGGTTTCCTCCCCATGTCCTCTGCCGATACGGAGATATGGGCGTAACGAGTTGACTACATTCATCGATCTTCCTAAAAGATCTGATGAAGCTAGTGGGTTTAGGGTTGCAGAGATGAAGCAGCTAGCAAAGATTAGCGCTGCTCAACACGCGGAATCCTTCCACAACACTGGTCTCTTGTTTTGTGAGAAACCTTTATCACCGAAGTTTGTCGAAGCAATTGATAAGGAAGCGAAGAGGCGGATTCTAGAGATTGAAGAAGCTGTTAGGAGATTGCAGACTACTAAGCTACTAGGAGATCCAGCGGATCTGCTCTACTTCAAGGAAGTATCCTCCAGAGAAAAAGGTCGCTTTGATATGAGAATGGATTGCCTGAGGGATCGGGAGGAATATCCGATCTTGGCGTCGCTAACAATAGCCTGTGGTCGTCCATGTTTGCCTTGGTTACCTTTGATTCGAAAGATATTGGATGTCGAACTCGAACTCCATGTTGATGTTGAAAACCAGAACCCTGACAAAGAAGAGGACGAGGATTTACTGGCTTGCGACGTCTCCATACTGTACACAATCGGTGGTCAGTGTGGGGATCAAACTTGGCATGCTGACGGGCCTCATATTGGACGCGGAGAAAGCCACTTTGGCAAGAACGATCAAGATTCAGCTTATGGCGTGTGTTGCTTCGTGGCATTGACGGATAATGGTGGTGACGATGATTCTGGTGCGTGCAAGGTAGGCGTGACATCATCCTATGAACAAGGGGACGATGATGCTGGGAGCTGCGCTTCTTCCACCACAAGCGCAGGAATGGATTCCACCACTAATCCGAAGAGTTGTACTACTACGGCATCACACGACGGCAGCTTCGGTGGTACGGAATTTTGGCCTGGATCCCACAAAGAGCCAAAGCTGCTTGGCTTCGGTGCCGTAGGACCCTCTCTGGAAGTGACTCTTGATACGTGTGCTGCTAGAAAAGGAGATGTAGTGATGTACGATTACAGGTTGCTGCATCGCGGACTGGCGAATACTAGACGAGATGGCGAAATGAGGCGTGTTTTGCAGTTGTTTTACTACAGAAAGGATAAGTATAGCGAAAAGCGGAACTACGGACGGGCTAGCGTGTTTGACATGTGATTGTGATCTCGGGCATGTTGTTGAACAGATTAACGACCTGTCTCCCATACTACAGACGACGTCCATCGACTGATCTTACAGACAAACTCAAATGTTTTTCGTAGCACTAGCAACGCTGGTAGACGACAAAAATAGAAGCGCCTCAGGAAGAGACGAGGCCAGGTGTGTTCCTGAAAGCGTGAGCAAAAGACAGGAATAGTAGTTTTTGTCGAACGTTAACTTCAGCCTTACAGACTGACAAAAGACAGGAATAGTAGTTTTTGTCGAACATTATGATTTAAGTACTCCACTACTCTGCACAAGGAACTAACACCAACTCCCACTACACGTTTCAATATAAAAATGGTCAATGTCTTGATCCTAGGATCTAGCGTCGCTGCTGGCCAAGGCGCACTGAAGAGCGGTTGGGTTGCAAGATGGGCACAGGCATCGAAAAGCGCCTCCAGTAGCAAGACCAATAAACATCCGATGGCCACCCTTTTCACCGACCTCATATCGCCTCCTTCGCAAAGGCCACTCAAAATCGTCAATCATGCGGTCGGTGGGACCACCGCAGATTATTGGTTACAAGCAGTCAGAGAGCATGCTTTTTCTTCATCAAATAACGCGACTTCGATTTACCAAAACGTCGACTGTATTGTCCTCAGCCTATCAGCAGCAAACGAGGGTCTATCTCTTGCCCAAAGGCCTGAGGACTTGCGGCTGGTAGAAGAAGGGTTCGTAGCGCAGATGCAACAACTGATTTCGTTCTTTGCAAAGCAAGCAGAGGAGGTTCGGCCAGAAGACAAACAGAGAGAAGAAGCGAAGCCAAAAGTCCTCATTATAGGTGGCCCGTACCCAAACGACTCTTACCTAGCAAACGTACATTTGCCTGTTTTGTTGCGAATCAGGGACCGCTTGCGGGAAGCTTGTAAGGACATTGAGTTCCGAACTCAAAGCAAGCCAAGCAAATCTGGTGAGTCTTCCTTCCGTATAGTTTTCATCGATTTTCTACGTCCCGACTTCCCATTGCACGATGGTAAAGGGTGTTGGGGCACAGGATTAGCCTGTGATCCCAGCCACCCCAATGACAAAGGACATGAAATCATGTGGGACATATTTCGAAAAACTATACTTGAAGAGATTGAAAATGGACAATCGCGCACAAGCACATTTGATCAGAATCACGGTGCATCTTCTTGCGCGCGACGGTCAGTACTATTTCCCATTGAAAAAACTCTTCAAAACCACGTGTTCATATGTATCATTTTTGCCAGCTTTTGTCTGAGACGTAAAAGATGAAAACCATGAAGATCAATATCAATCTTAGCACGTGAAACATGGACGTGATCCTACTCCGGTCTCATGATCCAAAATTTGGCACACAGAGAGATCCAGAGGAATCTGTCACAGACAAGATCTCGTAGTGAAGTCCACAGGGGTGACAAGTCCACAGGCGTGACAAGATCCACCGAACACGAAATTGGACACTATACAACGAAGTAGCCTTGCTGATGAAAGAGATGATCTAACTCAACGACCTGCTTATATCACTATGTCTAAGTAAGCAGAGTACTTAGAAAAATAGAGAATCTTCACACAATCGCTGGGAATCATCAAAAACTCAACAACATCGCTTGAAATTCTGAACTCTTGGTTGCACCAGGTGTTACTTTTATTTAGTCAGGGGACGCATAGAGATCGAGTTTACTACACGCAGAATATTAGTTACATGATTTTCCTTTTGTTCGATTGAATCGCACGACTAAGACAAAATGGCGAAGAAGAACAATCTCGGCACACGCCGTATGCATAAGCAGAAAGCGATAGAGAAGGCCAAGGAAGATGCTGCTGCTCTCGAAAAAAAGCGAATTGCGAGGAAGGCGAATGCAGCTCTTGTTGGAGGAAAGGAATCTTCGGAAGCAAAGGATGGTAAAGAGTCAACATCAGCTTCAGGAGCATCAAAAAAGACATCAGCTTCTGACGACCTTAGCATCTTCGCACAACTCAATAAGAGCATCTCCAAACTTCCCGACGCCAAAGAAGTCATCCCAACTGCACCTAAACCCAAATCAACTTCCACGGCCATCGTCGTGAACAAGAGGACGAAGTCCAAGATCGTCCGCAAAGGCGTTAGCGACCAGAAGAAGCAGATGGCTTTGAGGCGACAGAAGCAGGTCTTAGACTACAGAGCTGAGGTTCATCGCAAGAAAGTCGAGAAGGACAAAATGGAGAACATGGCAAGTGACTCTGAGGATGAAGGAGAGAATGCAGGGAGACAATGCAGTGGAGAAGATGACAAGTACGCTTTCCTCCAGAAGGAGAACCGACCGACTGAACGGAGGCGTGACGTCAAGGTGCGTAAGCGTGTGGAGAAGCGGGAACGGAAGGGACTGGCTTACGTTACAGAGAGCAGGGAAAAACGTCGCAAGCGTAAGGTGTTGAAGCAGAAGGAGAGACTGCGTGCCAACAAGAGGAAGGTTCCTGGTGTGGTAAAGAAAACTGTAGTGAAAAAGACTGGGGAAAAGAGGCTGGGGGCGTAGATGAGAAAAGGATATCGCTTAGCAGATAGCTTTTCAACTCTTCTCGAAGACCTTGACAAATATGTGATGCAACTACAATGGCAATGGGTCAAATGAGATGGAGTCTTTGAACTGTATGGTCGAAGACCTCACAAACAACGCTGCAATATAAGAATGATTTATACCCCATTGTGAGAAGCTAAATGCTGGTCTGCATCAGTTACGTGTCCCCTCGATTGACTTGATCCTCGTCAACGAGATCTGTAAGCTCTAGCCGGTTATGAAAAATATTCGGACTCATTTATCGTGCTTTCCCTTGAGTAGATATTGACTTGTCCTTGTCGTCGTGTCGTTGTAGAATCGGTCGAGTAGTGAAGAAAAAATTTCCCCGAATCTTGGTCTCGGAAAAATGAGGTGATTCGGATGAAAAATCGGACATTGAAGTCCTATCGCACCCATAGTTGTACTTCCCTTTTCCCTGTTAGAACAAGGATAAAGACGATCAAATTGAAAATCGCGCATGGATCAGCTGCGACTTCGGTCCTTCTCCAGAAACTGACTTAGTTAATGGTGATGAAACTTAGTTAATGGTTAAAGATTAGTGACTGGTTTAAGTACATTAGTTGAAGGGAAGGACGAGGACCTTTTTAATCTAGAAGTGTCCTGCAACGACGCATCAAAAACTGGTTATTTCGAATCATCTGCGTCGAGTGCTAGCGCTCGGGGTGGCCTAGAAGAGACTCGTGCTAGGAGGATAACGCTTCATCTGATCGTGGTGTGCAGCACTACGTTGTGAGGTCCGTCGACTTCTACAGGCGTCTGAAAGTTATCGAACGAGTCCTCAAGCACAAGCAGCTTCAGCGTCTACGGGAGCGTCATCTTCTTCTCTGAAACAACTACTGAGCACTAACTCCCAGCGAAGAGACCACATCAACATGAGTTGTTTCGTGGTTTGCCTTGGGCAAGGTCGAATGCCAGTCATAATTGTGTATGGGGTACCAGAAGAGGGCGGAAAGAAAACAACGATATTCGATGGAAGGAGATTTTTTGAAGTAAGGCTAAATCATTCTATTTGTACGCAGTTGGTGGTCTATCTCCATTCGTACTCGTCTGGACGACAGTAGATGAAGTAGTCGACGTTGCTACCCAGCTACCACGTAGAACAAAGATGTGCATACTCCTAGTTTGTAATCATAAGAGAAAACGTCGACAGTTTCGGAACTACACTGATCTGGGCAACATTCCACTCCAAGAGATATGAAAGTACAAGTGCATGTGCAGAACCGACCACCACTCTCCCCTTCTAATCAAAGCTGAATACTACAAGATCAATAGAGCAGCGCATGAGAGGAAAAAAAAGAAGAGGAAAAGTCAAGGCTCTAGCGCAGCAGATGTTGCTGAGGGGTTGCCATCTGGCGCATCGTCCTCTGATCCAAAGCCTGAAGGAGATGGGTCAGGAGCAACAGGAGCAAGTGAGGAGCATCCTGACGAGAGTGATCATGTTACGTTGAGGAAAATCAAGAATTCTTTGATCATCTGAGTCATTAGAACCACGTCGTAGCATTCCTCGCATTACATTTCGTCACTCTTCCTAATACATAGACGTGTAGCAACGAACAACTGAGTCATTAGTACCATGCCGTAGCATTCCTCGAGGACAAAAATCTTATTTTGGTGTGACGTAGACGTGTAGCAACGAACAGCTGAGTTATTAGTACCACGTCGTAGCATTCGCATTTTTAGATACACTTAGGTTTTGATTGTCACTCATCCACCCGCCTTCTCCCACCTTCATACTCCACGAAAAACCCCTACTCCAGCAAGACGTGTGGCCGAAAGAAGAATTGTCCATTATTCCAGCGGACGCTCATCTTAGCAGTGACGACGATGGGTCAGTCAAAGGCGGGAAGGGGAAGTTAAGGCCATAACATTGATAGTAGTAGTGGAGGACCATTTATTACAACTTACACAATCTTCTAGAAGAAGTAAAGTTGTTGACCACAACGAGCATGAACGAACAAGACCTCTTAAGAAAGAGAAAGCTTTTCTGCCGGAGCCTGTTCTAACTCTCGCTGACGGAGCCGCAACTGCCGCAGAGAAGGGCAGCGCTGACAGCACACACGCAGACTTGCCTTCCTCATCAGCAGCACCTGAAGGAGAAGCTGAGCCAAAAGCGGACATTTACATCAGTGACGTTGTGATTATGACGGGATGACATCTGTAGTAGATGTGACATCTGTACAGTAGAGGTTTATTCTTTAACTCCGTGATTATGATGTATGATCTTGATGGCTGGATAGCACCATTTTCATGTCCCTCCAACATCAGTTTCTATTTTCTTTTTCTCAGATACTTCATACTTACGACAGATACCACATGACAAGTTCTCAGATACTTACAACAGATACGACATGACAAGTTCTCAGATACTCACGATAGATACGACATGACAAGTTCTCAGATACTTACGACAGATACGACATGACAAATTCTCCCTTCATACTGCTAGAAACGTCGGACGGACCAAGAGTGAAGCGGGATTCGACAGGCGTGGGCACCAGTGCAACTGGCGATATGCACCATCCGGATCCACCGTCTTCAGGACACGAAAACTGAAGTATAAAGTAAAAAACATTCTCTTTTTAGTCACAATTTGCGTTAATATCTCATGCACTTACAAAATTTGTTTTTCTTACTAATCATTTAGATGTAGATCTTTCTAGAACTACTCTTACATCAATCATACACTGTACTGAACAGCTGAACCATGAAAATGACAACTGAAAATGAAAGTTTTTCCCCTGAGTCTCAGAACTGGGTGAAAAATGGAATTAGTTGTCTTCCTTCCAGAATTAGAATGATGACCCCGCCTGTATCTTCCAGGTAGTTCCACTCTGAGGCCCGTCGTGATCAAAATTTATCCCGCCAGCAGTGCCTTCAATTTCTAACGACCAGAACTATAGTGTTTTAGACATCTCATTTTCTGCACCCTAAAACTAATCAATGCGTTAATGCTAAGCAAGAACTTCTATTAATTTGGACGACCGACGTATTTCTGTCCACTCTCAATATTTCGAAGAATCCGCTGCGCACAAACAAACAGAAACATCTTTTGGTATGTTGAGCATGCATTAAGAAATATGGAGAGGCAGGTTACTTCTTGAAGTTGGGAGGAGGCATCAACTCGCCGCATCTGCAGGCGATGGCGTCAGTATCTTTATCACATGACTAAATGCACGACTCATCTGTTAGTCATTCGGAGGAGTTGCATCTTCCTTGTCAAATACCGAGAGCAGAACCCTCCAGGTACAAACAATTCTGCAACATCAGTTACAAATCAGATGTATCGTGGCTAGAAAGAGATTGAGATCCCATCCTAGAAATGAACTGACGCTGTTGACCTGAAACATGATCCAAAATCAAAATCATGACCAATCCTGCTCCGCCTCCGGATGCGTCTGACGCGGTCCTAACAAGAACGTCCGTCAATTCTGCTGACGGTTCTCAACAAGGCACTGACGGAAATGGTCCTCGTCTCGCACGTCTGTCACCCCAGGACAGGGCTGATACGGTTTTACGTCACCTGCTCGGGAAAGTGGCCCCGTTGCCGGCAGCTGACAGATCAGAACACTTGTTGGACTATAGCATGGTCTTGATCGTGCCGAACCCGGACCACCCCGATTCGGCATCCAACTACCCAGTCACCTACAAAGACGCGCACGAGGTCTACCAGAACATTTTTCCGATACAGAACAGGGCGTTGGATTATGGCGTAGTTCATCGTTGTGGAATCACAGAGGGAACTACTAGCTAAAAGACCTCGCCATCTTGCTACACAACTGCTTCTAGACCACGAGGAGATCATACTTAGAAATCAGATTTTTTAGTGATAGTGATAGAAGTTGCTATCTTCATCTAACCTCCATCAGCATTTATGCAAGCATGGCACACGTTATCGGACTACGATCTGAGCCAGATGTCGGCTTTAGACAGGTTAAAGTATGGCTACGTGTTTAGAAAATCGGAGACTGCTGGAGCGAGTATTGGCTCTACTACGATTGGCAAAGATGGAGCTGCAACGTCGAAAGGAGATAAGCCTGACGAAAACAGTGCGGCACTCGATATCGACCACGCACCTGAGACAACTACGAGCCTAGCGGTACCAGTGCAAGGCCAACACGACGAGAGCGGGAGTCCTCCATCCGATTTTGACGATAGTGTCGCGGCTGATCGTCCTTCAGGGGCAGGATCGACATCAGGTGCTGCGCTGTCCACTACAGGAGGGCCTGGCGTGATGAAGGAAGGAACGCATGAAAGGGTGCTAGAAGTAGCTAGAGGGAGGAGAAAAAGTGGTTCTTCTAGTACTACAGGTAGCGCTACTTCTAGTATTGAAGACGGCTCCGATTCTGAAGCTCACCTGGGGTTCTATGAGATAGACGAAGGCTCTTCTTCTAGTCCTAGTTGCTCATCTCCATCTGATCGTAGTTCGGATGACGATGACCCACACAGAGGATGCTCTCGAGCACGGAACAAATTGCAGCGTGTCCTACCTCACAACCCATTCTCAAACCATCCACGGCTTTCAAGGCAGAGGATAGAGCTGCTGTCTGCAACATCCTCTTCTTCTTGTCCTTCTTCTTCCTCATCTTCTACTTGCACAGGAGCACAGCCAAAGAAGTTAGGCTTAGGCCACATCGTGGAGGTACTAAAAGAGGGCATCTATGATCAGCAGGATGAAGGTGCTCATCAACAGGAAGATCATCTCTTAGACATGAATTTCATAGATGATCAAGGTGGAGGTGGACGTGGGAGCAAGAGGAGTAGTACCCGTAGTTCTCGCGGATCGAAATCCAGTAAGCGAGGATCCGGAACGACATCATCTTCGAGAGTCCGAATGTCCCTCACCTCTGCCAGAGCAGCTGCTGGTCACCAGATTAGTCACACGAGATCGGGCATCGCCTCTCGTGTGGCGGCGGAGACGAGGCAGACGATCGTGAAGCATATGCAGGCAATCGATTTTACCAGGCTTTCAACGTTGCGGACTCACGCAAAAGAAGAAGCTGAGAAAGTGCCACCGAAAAACTTCAGTCGAGGAGGAACGTTACAGAAGTTGCCGGATGGGAGCTTTAGTTAGGTTGACGGCTTTCTTGACGAATTATTCTACTCCCTTCATATGTTTACTGAAAAGAAATCAGTGTCCTCTTTCGAAATCGAACCCCCACACGACTCTTCCGCCTCGACGATCGATCGAGACTCAATCCTCTAATCCCTACACTCTTCCGCCTCGATCGATCGAGACTTTAACCGCCAACGAAGAAAAAAACGCAAGAAAAGACGCGAGAGGAGTGAGGATCCTGATACGCCTGTTAGTAATGCGGAGAAGCATGAGCAGGAAAACATGGAGGTTTTCGAAAATTGGAATTGTCGAGATCTGCTCACTCTTTTAAGGCCTGCTCACTCTTTTGAGGCCTGCTCGATTTTTCCTGTTTCCAAAGGGACCACGGGAACAAGCTGAGGCTGGTGATGGATTTCTGGCAGGTCTCTAAATTTTGTGCGGAACACCATGGTCTACTTGCTAGTCTACGAATGCGATTTGTCCGTGGACTTGCTCTTCAGTCCGGACTATCGCTGCATCTACATCATGGTCGTAGCGGACAAATTCGACGTGGCGAGACAAGCTGAGAATAGTCGTTTCCTGACCAAGATCCGGTGGGACCGAGTCGACACTGAAGGTTTCGAACCTCACGACGCTAGGAATAACCTCTGCGTAGACCGCTTCCTAGGCGATCGCGTCGTGTACGAGTACTATCGCCAAATGGTAGAGGCCTTTGAGCGGCACAAAGCCACTGTTCCTGAGGAGATAAGGAGGTATCATCGTACGAAACTGACAGACTTGTACGCGTTTTTGATCGCCAAAATACGGAAGGAGGAAGAAAATTCTGCTGTTACAGACGGGTCTACTGCAGCTGAAGCCCCTAAAACCGGCGATCCACGACCAGGTGACGCAATAGTTACTACTTCTTCTTCCAACCGTGAATCCCGCGACAAGAAAGTCCTGAAAGTTCTGTACCTCAAATACTTAGAAAGGCGCACAGCTGGCATGACCTCGTTTCGCGCGATGTTTGAAGTCAACCGTGAATTTAGGTTGAGGAAAGATCACGAACGCCATAAGTTGCAGAGTATCTACGATCGTTTGGGTTGCGAAGCAGGTCCATTGTGGGTGGTGCATCCGTATGAGTCGAGGTTATCTGGACAAAATGCGGCAGTGAAGATACCATGGGCTAAACATCAGTTATGAGACGATGAGAAGGAAGTCGAGAATCGTCATCATGAACATCAAACAAGTTTTTCAATTTGTTTCATCCTGCACTTTCTAATCTGCGTCCGCAACGTTCTCGGCAAAAAAGTCGCTGTGGACTTTTCTCCCGCTGACCGCTTAGAGTTGATCTCCCAGACGATTGAGAAGCACCTCGATCTAGCCGACATGTTGCTCTATCAAAATGGGACTTTTCTCGCAGACTATTTCCCGGTCGATGACTGGAGATTGAAGGCTCTAGCCACAGTGCCTTTAGAGGAGTTACTGCTCAGAGGAGATGACATTCCAACGAAGAGGGGGTCTTACCCGGTGGGTAGTCGCTACTACGTCGAACCCGACGACGAAGAGTATCTCAAAGCCAAACGACTGGTGCTCAAAAATAGAAAAGTGGAGAAAGCCCATAAGGCATTGTTTTGTTGTCTCTGTTGTCCCAAAGTCTGTTGTTGCGGTGGCTGTCCTAAACTAGTCGACGAAAACCCGCACAAAATCCCAAGGTCTCATGACTGGATATGCGAAGTGGGCGGCAAAATCGAGATCTATGGGGTCATAGACGAAGACCGAGAACTAATCATAGAAGAGGCAGTGAAGTTGCATAAGGAGAGGGGGACTTGGGATATTTCGGAAGACGAAGAAGAGCTTGGGTCGAGGCAAGTTCAAAGAAATTCTAGTAATCTGAAACCTCCGATTGTAGCTGCAACTGTAGTTATGGGTGTAGGAAATGCGACTCCAAAGTCATCTGGAGAAAGAATATATGAAGGAAAACGACCCAGATGATCTGTGAGATGCACTCCCGATACCTCTAATGTAGTGCAACAAGAGACTACTCGTGACGCGGCTGGCACTTCTGGTACAACAGACTCAGGAAGTGTCGCAGCAGCGAAAGGGAATGTGGTGCGTTTCTCTGGTGGTGCACATACGGGAAGTGGATATAATGCGGGGAAAAATCAGCCTCCAGAGCAGGAAGACCAGGTAGTGACAGGCGAAACACCTATCCCAAGTGAAGGGAAACACGGAGCGGCTCCAAGCGTCGAAGGGGAACATGGATCGGCATTGTCACGCTTCTTCTCAATTCTATCCTCGACGGGAAATAACGAGACATCAGAAGTAGAGAATCAGGACAATGCTCAGGCAGAAGCAGGCGAAGCCGCTGGCACGCCTCAGCATGGAACAGCACCCGGAGATGGTGGTAGTGCAGACAGAAATACAGCTGGAGCAGACGACGCTGCGAAAGAGAAGGAGAGGAAGTCAAAATATAAATTGAACGTTCATACTAGCAAAGTGGTTCACTCAACATCTGGTGATGAAACAATACTACAAGTAGCACAAGAAGCGCAAGATGATCAGGAAGCAGCTACTTTAGATGAAGATCAGCGTGAAACTACACCACTCCAGGATGATGGAACTGAAACTGATGCTACAGTACAGCCTCTTTCACCGAAGCGATCAGCGCTAGTAGTTATCACGGAAAAGCCAGAAGGTGAGCCACCACAAATCTATATCAACGACGACAATAAATCTTCAAATACTAGCGCAAAGAAAGGTAAACCTCGACCCGTATCCAATACTTCCAGTCCTCAGCGCATGTCAACTGCCGGAAAGCCTGTTTTTCTCTCACCCTCTGGCCGCGAAACACCTCCACCACTAGCCGATGCGCACTCAAAACAACCTGGGACCTATCTAGGTCTAGTGCCCCGTCGCACGCACAGTAAAAGACGAAAGTTCTTACGTCAGGTGTCACATCGCATGAAGAAAATCCGGGTGGAAGGAATGAAAGCCCCTGGCCTGCCAAACATCATGGAAAAGATGCTGTCTCTTCGCTCCGAGCATGCCTACTATGGACAGAAACTCTCAGTCTATTGCATGTTCGTCCGCCATTTAGCTTCTGGTCTGCGTGTAACAGCTGAATTTGGAATCGCGGTGACCCTGTTTCAAATGGTGGTCTCGTTTTTGCCATCAGCTTATCAAAGCGACGTTCTCACGAGTATAGCGGGCACTGGCGTAACTCTCGTGAATTTAAGGCTTTCCCTAATCTTTTTGAAAGACATCGATCCTGAAGAGTCCGCTTTTCAAGGGAAAATCAAAATGCATGGGTAGCATGGAGTAATAATGATGGCACGTCGACGAGGTCGAGGAGATGGCCTAGGGTGAGATCTAATGTGTGCTGTTTTTCTCGCCTGGTGGGGTCCGAGTCACATCGCGAGCTGGGAAAGACAACAGAGTAGGAAAATGCTGCAACTCTTTGGGATGATACCGGGAACATACAGTATGGCAATGTGAAGAGGACATTGGAACAGTAGATAGGTAGTAAGTTATAGGTAAGTATACATTTACTAGTACATTTTTCACTAGACGGAGAACTTGATATCTTTAAGTGAAAAACTTTTTCATCCTCCACCTCGACCTCCATTTTTCTAACCCTTAAACCGACAACAGCAAAAAGTCTCAGAGAAAGCGGTTTCACGGCACCAAGCAAAAGAGCGCTGTGACAGGAGAGTACGAAGTAGTTTTTTCGCATAAAGAGGCAGCGGCACGGGTCCTATACTCGAACCTGTGCAGTGCGCTGATGTGCATGAGTGTGCTGAGCATAGTGGTCTTGGTGTTATGGTGGATTGTAAAATTAGAATGTCAATAACTATAACTGCATCTAGAACCCATCCAACAAACTCATGTACATCATGTATTTCCCGGACTTCCCTCAACTCTACGAAGCAAAAGGTCCACCCTCCACTGAGGCGTCCACCCGCTTTCCACCTCTAACCCTCTCCGGCATCCAGTTCGTGATTTACGAAAATACGCAGCTCAACTTCGGCTCCTTCAAATACAACTACTCTCTCGAGGTGATTGGTATCCTCAACGCCTGTGTAGTTCTCATGTTCAACGCTATCTACAGCGTCGTAGGGCTTTCCCTGACGCAATACGAAAACCACGCTACCTACGACTCCTTTCTTGAGTCTTTTGCGATCAAAACATGTGCTTTCCAGTTCTTGAACTCGTATAGTGCTTTGTTTTATCAAGCTTTTGCGCAGAAAGTGCTGTTGCGGAGGATAGACCGGCTATTTGGCAGTGACAGAAGCGACGCCTGGTATGACGAGCAGTATAAGGAGATTTGCCCCGATCAGGGTTTGATTTTAGGAACAACCTGTGAGATGGCTACGACGAATCGAACATTGGTCAGTTTGATCATTGTTTTTTGTTTCCGGAATGCGATGGAGATCGGACTGCCCATGTTGGAGCATTGGTACTTCGAAAGGGCAAGAGCTCGGAGAGTGGCGCAACTAGATCAACATCGATTTGCGCACTTGCTGGATTCGAAAGCGGGGAAAGCAGTTGAGATGGGAGAGAAAGCCTTTTTTTCAGCATTAGCGAAAGTGGAGGACGGAGGAGCGGAGCTTGGTGGCATGATGGGGAAAATGATGGGGGTGAGTACTAGGTTGGCACTTTCTACTGGAGCATCGAGGTCTAGCGCTTTAGGCGGTGATGAAGTCCCTAGCCCTACTTGTACAGGAGCTTGTGCTAGTACAAAAGAAGAAGACATGAAACTCAAAGTCAAACTACTAGTGCAGGATAAAAAAAATGGTCATGTTGCTGAAGAACATAGGTATGCTGCACGTGCTGGTGTAGGTGACGAAGCAGAAGCGCCAGCGCACGCGGAATCACCACTAGCAGCCAGTCCACGAGGAAACCATCATCAGCATCATAGTCCACGACCGAAAGGAGCCGAAGGTGAAGCATCACCACATCACCTCAGTGGACCACCAATAGAAGTAGTCATTGACGACCTCTATCAACCAAAAAATAGAAACTCGAATTTCGAGGCCGCCACCGGCTACTCTCCTGCCGTACCACAACCACCCAAAATCGATCGTCATGGTTCTTTTTGGCTCGGTGCTAGTCCAGACCCGATGCACTTCCCCAAGGATCATTCTACTAGCGAAGATGAATTGGGGTTGCTGCCGTCAGCGAGTGGAGGAAGTCCAAGTCCTAAAGCAAACCGGAGATCACCTAGTGGAATACACATTAATGTTGTCGACAATGCTGCTTCGTCGTCCAAAAATTCCTTCTTAATTTTGGAAGAAGGCAGTCACAACGCCCCTCCTCCAGCAGCTCCTGGCCAGGATGTAATGAAATCAGCGCCACATGATCAACTAAGTCATTCCGCATCCAGAGTCATCTATCTACGAGACACAGACATGATGAAAGTGCAGATCGGACCGGCAGGAAATTCTACGCAGCGCTTTAGAGCTGCCAAAGCCTTCTACGACTTAGTGGAGGACGACTACAGGGGCATCGACCACGGTCAAGGACATGAAATCCCCGACCATGTCAAGTCCCACCCGACCTTACCCGCCTGTTGCCTAGATGAAGCTCTAGTCGAAGTTCCTGACGCCAGATCCGCAATGGCGCGAATGGATAAGAGTGGTGGCGCGGATCTGGCTCTCGACAAATCGAGTTCGAACCCATCCTCGAAAGATTCGGTGCATAGTGGAGACGAGAGTGGCTCGGACGTGCAGAGTTCGAGTAGTAACGCTGCGGGGGCGAGTGATATATTGGAGGATTTTAGAGTTATGACCCAAAATGATGTTTCACAGAACTACCCACTAGAAGAAAAGCAGTATGAATGTCTTCTACCTGTAGTACTTTTCTTGTTAATATGTTTATAACATAAGACCAGTGAAGACATCCGCATCTTCTAACAACTTAGCCACAGCAGCAGTCCAAGCCGAGATTTGGCGTGATGGCCCTGGTTACGAATCAACACCGGAAGCGATACCCCAAGGTCCTCAGCCCTCTCTTCCTTCTATCCTTTCGCTGCTATCTAGATCTAGTCTGTCCCCACTACAACACGCTGAAGAAGAGGAAGCGGCTTTGATGTCGAAGAACCTTCTAGCGAACAGTTTAGGAGCCAAAGTACAGATGCAACGATCGGAGACGCCGTATGGGACACCGACATTCGCTTTTGACGGGACAATCGATGATTACAGTGAGCTGTGCGTGATGTTCGGATTCCTGATGCTCTTCAGCATAGCATTGCCGCTTGTCGGGGCGCTGATCTACGCGGCGTGTTTGTTGGAGGTACTCACTTTCTTTAGCCTTCGTTCTGGAATGTCATTTTCTGGATGATCCTCTTTCTGTTTCTGTTTCTGGCACCACATTAATCATCCAACCACACCATGCTTCTTCTACTAGGTCTCCGTCGACAGTTTCAAGTTTCGCCATGTGATTAGACGTCCCATGCCGAAGCAAGCCCTTAACGGTGTAGGGGTTTGGATTTCGATTCTAAAGTCGATTGCGTGGGTCTCGGTTCCCACCAATGCCTGTATCCTGGTTTTGACAGCTCAAATTAACAAGAGCGATGAGATCGTGGAAACAGTAGGGAAAAAGGACGTGGCTGCGATCTTCTTTATCGCTTTTCTTTAAGGCAGACTTCTCATTTGCAACCAATGCATCATCGTTAACCAACCAGCTAACACACACTTCCTCATACATTTGACGATTTACCTATGTATTATAGCATCTCGGCGTCGGCGTCCCGTACCCATTCTAATATTCCCTCACCTTCGTCAAACTCGTCTCAGCCCAATACAACAGTGTGAAGGATCGAGATTTTGGCTTGTTGATACAGCGCATTGAATCCTGCATGACCCGCCTTATCCTAGCCCATCAACGGGGCTCAGACGGAACTTTAGCTTTAGGACACGAGCAAACCGACTTCCGCATTCATCAGCCTTACGAATTTGATCGTCGCAGGAAGTTGCACATGAGGGGAAAGGTGGAAGGGTCGCCGGGGGTGCTTGGGTGAGCCAGGTTAATGCTCAGTAATCGCCAGTTGATTCCTTATCGTTAAAGAAATTTGAATTTCAATTAGAGCAGTAGCAGTGATTCGAAGTTGAAACAATTATGTTAAATGAATAGTTTTACTTGTGCTTGAGCTTGTGGTAAAGATAAATGAAACTTGAATATGATCGAAGAGCAAATCGTGTAGAAGTGACTACTTAGCTTCACGAAGATACTAATACTAGTGTAGAACTCGCCAGACCTTGCTTACAGATTGTATAGAAACGGAAAGCAATTCAAATCAAAATTTTGGCTATGCTAAGTAGCAAGAAAAAGATGAATAGCAACTCATCATACGAATTTGCATCTTTATCTTTTCCGTTCGTTATTCAATAAATTCTTAGAATTCTCTACAACTTAGCTATAGCTGGTAGTACTTAATGACTCATTTATTTTTGGGCAGACGCATCAGGGGCTTTCAGCTTCGCATACCATTTACGATGACAAGCTGTGAAGGTTGTACTTCTAGAAGTGTAGTCTCGGAGGCAGGTGCTTTCCTCTTCGTAATGTTGGGGTGTCATCGTTTTGCCGGCTGTGGGTTCACGAGCGAGCGAGAGAATCTTTCAAAACCTTACCACGTGATTCGGGCAGGATAGTGTATGATTCACGGAGCAAATTGGGTTTGGGGATCTGCAAAATTTTTGAGGTGTTGCTTTGAAGGAAAATTCATCAAGAAGTAACTTGCTTTCTTACCTTGCATCTTCTAAAAGAACATAAGACCACTGCGCATACTCGCTTAGACATATAGCTATTTATAGAAGTCTAAGTGGAAGAAACTATACGATAGAATTAGAAGTAGAGTAACACTAATACACAAGAAGATACAACTTTTTTTCACATTTCCTTTTTGTCATTCACAGCATAAGTATCAAAATCATGGACGCCCTCCTTCATGTACTTGGTGCTGCTGCCGAATCATCGGCTCAGCCGATGTTTTCTTTTATGAGTGGAGGGTCTGGCACACCGACGAGCAAACCGCAAACCTTATCAGGCGGTTACAACTATCACGAAGGTGGTTCATCGTCGTCCACATCCGTGCTAGCTGGCGGAAGTGGAGGCGCGTCTGATTACAACATGATGAACGCATATTCGGCTTTGTTGGAGGATATCAGTTCTTATGAAACCGCGAGAAATACAAGCTGTGATGCAACAAATAAGCTACTATACCTCTACTACAAGTACGACTAGATGATTTATTGATGACACTACTAGTGAGCCTTTGCCTTAAATTTTGCAACGTACCTCTTCGTCTTCTAATTCCTCTCCATTCCTTCCCTCCTTCCGACCCCCACCTCTTGGGATGAGAGCATGTGGTTCCGGTTGCTGCTGTTGTGCACAGTAGAAGCTATTGGAGTAAACCGGCTTTGGGGTGAGCGTGTGCATAGACGATGTTTACACCATGTCGAGAAAAACGTCTTTAATCCGAGCAAGAGGCCTTTTATTAGGAGTCTGAGGGAGTTTGGACCGGTATTCTTTATCTTTTTTAAGGACTTGCCCTCTTCATAGCCATTTTGGCTCAAGCGCTCCACTGACTTAATAACTGCGCTAGTCTTGAGCCGGGCGGCCTTTTGCTAATAGCAAGCTGAAAAATGGGCTGGGGCTGGTACAGTCTTAGCCCGAAAAGAGGCCGCGTTTGCTCGACGGCTGACCTTTGTGAAGACTACCCGGGAGAAGCCCTCGAGCCCGGCGACGCCAGCGAGCCCGAGGGGAGGAATTTGGTGGCGGGGAAGCGGTCCGCACCGGGCGGCGCGGGTGGGGTCCTTAGATCATTGCGTGGGACGCAGGAAAGCGCCGCAGCTTGCCGCAGTTTCGCGTTGGGGAAGAACTGTAAGGGCCCAGGCTGGAAAGTAGCCAAACGCAGCAGAGAAACGGCGGCAGCACGCAGCGGCGCCGCCTCAAGCTGAAGGGAGAAAACGAGGAACAGGCGGGCATAATCTTTTTTCAACAGCAGGCAGCGCGCTGCATCTACAACACCGGCGTCTGCGACGAGAGGTGCGGGCCCCTCGCCCAACGCAATGCCTGCCAGAGGCGTGCAACTGCTATGCGGCCTTTGGCGTTTCTGTGCTGGCAGTGGCCTAGGTCGCAGACTGTGTCGGCGTTCGTGGCTGTGCTTATTTATTTTGACCAAGCTGCCACTGCTGCCCCGTCGGATCGATCTCGCAGGATGTGAAGCATTAGTTTCGACTACGGCGGCACGTGGCCAATTGCTCTGGTTTGTTTTAGGAGTGTGCGTCGGTTCTTCTTCTTGGTGGGTGTACGTTCGTGGTGTATGTTCGTGATGGGTCATGTTGATTACTGTCCAGGGACCACTCCCACTTTTTCAGCAACGACCCAAAACATCCAGGGCCATACTTACTTACACCCACTCGCTCCAGGCGCTTCTCGTGGTCGTTGACAGAGAGGCCAGCTTTCCCCCGTTTGGGTGGTAGGCATGCGTGGTTGATCTGTTAGACTTCCCGCTTAGGCTTGGAATTGCTGACAATGTTATTCAGCTTTGCTTGATGTGGTGATCATTTTCAGATGGAAGCCCTACGTTCGTCATGAAAGACGGCATCACAGGCACATATATGACACAAGAAGCACTATGTTGCGCATTTTTTTCAGAAGACAGAAGATCTTCAGATAGTTCATCAAATATCATCGCATTCTGTGATTGTCTCTGGCATAACATCCAGGTAGTAAAACACCTGAAAATCCTGCACAACTTGGACCTTCGATATGGTGATCGGGTTGCGGGAGGTGGCAATCAGTGGTCTATCATATGTAAATTGAGTGTGGCGCAATACAGTCCACGCGCGACAATATACTACGACTCAATGAACGAAGAAACAAGGGAGATTGTTGATCGGATTGGTATTTTGTCCTTTTTATCTATGCTTGTAGCTTGTAGATGTACTTGATGTTTCATCCGATAATTTGACGTAATTTGATGTTGATCATTTCTCTACGTTTGCCAGGCTCCGCAGTAGCCGAAGACCTCTCTTCATCGAACTTATTGGGCGAGCGCATTCAACTAGCGCCCAAGAGCAGTAGTTTTAGAGCTTGTATTTTGCGGTATGAGGGGGCCGACGCGGAATTCCCATGGCACTACGACACTGAGCATCCATCCTGCTATCGAGCGCTTTTCCTGTTTCATAAAGAAGGTAATGTTTACACTTAGCTTCAAAAAAAGGCTCTACAACCTGTGTCTTGTGTTCGAGTCACTTGGCATCCGCGACATTGTTTTCCAAGAATCTGAATCTTTTATCACTCACTGCTTAGATCCACCTCATACAACTCCACCAAGAATCCTCCATCCGTCCGTTTTTCCCACACCTACCAGGTTCCATCTCCCCTCTCCAGTATCTCGACTCCGATAAGCAGTTACACACGCTTCGTTTGGCTGTTGGCGATGGTTGGGTGTTTAAGGGCACAACGACGTTGCATAGAGTGCCTCGGAATACAGATCCAAATTCGAAGCGTTATATGATAGGGTTCCAATTTACGAGAGCTTCAAGAGACAAACAAACTACAATTAGGAGTTCTACGAGTTCAAATGTTGATAGTGCCCTGGAAGAAGCAGGTCAAGACGTCGATGAAGATGACAACGCAGTAGATGACGAAGAAGAGGTAATTATCCCAGATGAAGAGGAAGAAGAAGTAAACCCAGAGCATATTTCCATCTGCTCTATGCTTCGACAAGCAAAGCCAGCCCACATACTGTGGGAGTTCCTTCCGGGATTCTTTCTGTGCTGGTTCACAGTGCTTTGCGGTCACACTAGTTGGCTCGGCGACGCTTTGTTTCATAAGTGGATAGGAGAGGCGTCTGCGCAGTACTTGATTAAGGCTCAAAATATTTCATATAGTTTTAGCAGATAGCAGGATGCTTCAGGATATACTGGTTGATAGTTACCCTTTTCTCTTTTCTATCTTCCTCTGGTCTTTCTTTTTTCTAGTTAGGTCGGCTCCACCACAATTTCTATCAGTCATTTCTCGCAATTTTCTTCTTGAGAATCTGTCTGAAGAAATGAACGCAAGAAATTAAATGTTTTGAGCTCATCTAACTTGAGGCGGACTTTTTTCGCAGCGAGCTGTGGCATGCTACTGCTAAGCACATTTTTGCCTGGCTTGTTGGCCACGAGATTTTTCGTTGGAGAAGGCTATTCATCAGAAGGAGAGAAAATAGAAGACGAGAATGATACGAAGAACAAGACGATGACATCAGCATCAGCTGCGACATCATCAGAAGAGCTGAGCGAAGTAGACGAAGAGGTAGGAAGATCTTCAAGAAGTAGAAAAAAGACCCTGGTCGTACAAGGAGCAGGATCGTCTGACGACGATGAGGAGAAAGCGAAAGGAGCCATAGCAGCCGAATTAGCAGGTGAACAGGCAAGAGGACAACTTCTATCTCGGACGCCTTCGAGCGATAACGAATTTGAAAAAGAACAGCTCAGGCCAACGCTTAGCACTACATCAACTACCGCATCTGCCAGTACTGCTTCACTCGCATCATACAACTTCCCTTGCTCTAGGACCACCTCGGTTGCTGCATCGGGCGACGCCGACTCATCGTGTGATGGAATGCTAGTCCAAGAGCGTGCTAGTTTTGCTTCCGTGGAGAAGATGGAAGACGATTGCTCGCTCTCAGGTATAGGAGACTCCAATGGCAGAAGCACGGAGGAGAGAGCTGTGCAGGTGAAGCGATCGATGGAGATGACGCAGCAGGCGGATGGAGACGTAGTAGAGCATGCAGTAAAGGGCAAGAGGAGAAGATATGGCGTAGCTAGTTGTGAATGAAGATTTGAAGCGGTCTCAAGGTGTAGGCGTTGTACTTTTTCTGGACGACTATACTGGGATGATTGCTTGTTGCATGCCTCCTACAAACTTCGCATTGGAATTTGACATCAACGTTTTCGCAACCAACAACTCTCTAATAACTGCTACAAGAGACGGAACGACGCCCTTGGATTGGCACCGGGATGAACAAGAGTTCAGGGACGATCGCTAGACTCTATCTTGGCTGTATCCTTTCCGCACTGGACTTTCAGACGGGCTTCTATTTCATGGCGTATCTTCTCGCTACGGAAATGCTGCTACCGAATACCTTTGTTGGGTATGTTTGAGTAAGCAACGTGACTTTGTTTATGTCAAAGAAATTTTCCTAAAACCTTATCTAAATCTTCAACCTTATCTAAATCTTCTAGGGCAGTCTTTGTTGATCGACATAACTGCTCTTGATTTCGCAGATTGACTAACTCAATATACCAGATTGATGAAGCCGACTACATTTTTGAAACTTCTTTTCATGTTGATTTTACATTTTCCTCGGAGATTCGTGTTAAGCCCACATATTGTCGCGCAGAGAGCCAACATAAGAATGACACCGTTATTGAATAAATAGAGGACGATTTTCTACGCCTTCCCCTGGTCTTTGTTTTTCTAGTTAGGTCTGCCCCGCCACAATTATAGGACGATCGAAGCCACTCTATTCTTGTCCTTTTTTTTGATTCATAGCAACCGAGCAACCTAGCATGAAATGTAACGATTGGTAGTTGTGTAGAAAAGACCCTTTTCATGCATACTTAGCGTACTAGTTGTTTAAGTTATTATTTCCATATCTTTCGCCTCTCCTGCATCCTCGTCAAGAAAGGTGCTGCTATCAATGTTTTGGCGAAACAATTAGATTTCCTCCTCTTGAATTAGGTAGATGATTGAGAAATGATGCGCAGACTATGATGCTGAAGAGTGCACGCGGGTGAGGGTGAGATCCACAGTAGATTTTTTTAGACTACCATCCGCATCTTCGACAATCTCGATGAAAAAAATCGAGTGCCACTCCATATGCGTATCTGGATCGTGGTACTACTTTTCATTGAGGAAATTGTGCATCACGGAATGCAACAACTGATTAAAAATCCACGGTCAACCGAGTAATGATTTTTATGAGAGACCTTGCGTTTTTGTCTTTCTCTTTCATACTGCTCTTGCTTCGGCTTTTTTTTTCTTGGCGACAACAGACACATGTAACGCGCACAAGAATGGACACTACGCCATTCATAGATGTGGTCATTGATCTGCCACTACTTCAAGTTTCATCCTATCTTTGCTCATAAGCTGTCCTCACGAAGTGATTGCTTTGTGGGTGTTAAGTCCACGCATTGAGAGTTCGTTGAACTCCACGAAAAATAGCGATCGCTGAGAACTGTGGCAAGAGCGAGGGGGAAAAAAAAGTAAGCCAACGCAAGGACATTGATCACGTCATCTTGTGTTCAAAGACAAACATTCAGTGTTCGAGCAACACTGCGGTAATTGGCAGGCATGGTTCTTTTTTACCCGGAAGTAAGCCCGAAAAGCTGTTGAGACGAAAATGTGAAGATGAAGATCGTCTTATTGTTCATTATGAGCACGAAGATACTTAGATCCGTGAGTATCATGGCTATGTCGGTAGTGACGTTTTCTGAGCCCAGACTTCTGGAGCCCTGGCCGCTGCCTGTCGCAAGCCAGAAATCTCTTAATCTTAATCTGTGGCCGTTGAAGTAGTCGGTAAGAAATAGGTGAGAATTCGTTAAGATGGCATCTTCCTCCTTAGCTTCTTCCTCAGCCTCGAGAATAGCTTCATCTCGACGCTCCACCAAACCCAGAACGGGAGTTATCGACCATTTTGTTCGACTAAAGTCCGCGAAGCAACTTCCACTAGCAGAAACGCTGAACAGCTCTCTAGCGCTGTTGCAAACCTCGACGCGCAGCTCGCATCATGCTCGAGCCTTAAAAGCCTTAGGTGAGATTGGCTACTGGCGATCAGCCGTTGCGGCGCTGTCGTACTTGGTGGTGGAGGCGGAAGTTGCCGAGTCTTCTGCTGCTGCTGGACGTGGTCTTGGAGTACTAGAAGATCATGCTCGACATGTTGAACCAAGCATTCATGCCATGGTCTGGGCTGCTGCCTTACATGCAGTCTCAAAAGCATGTGAATGGCAAATGTGTGAGAGGTTGTTGGTGGAACTGGGTGGAAGACTAGAAGGAAACGACGACGGAGAAGCGTCCTCTGCGGTCCCTGTTGACTGCCACAACGCTCTTCTCCACTCCTCTGCGGTCCCTGTTGACTGCCACAACGCTCTTCTCCACTCCTCTGCGGTCCCTGTTGACTGCCACAACGCTCTTCTCCACTCCTCTGCGGTCCCTGTTGACTGCCACAACGCTCTTCTCCACGCCTATGCCTTAGCAGGACAAGCGAAAAGAGCGATTGAACATCTTCTCGGCGACGGCGTGGTGCCGATGCACAGGCGAACTCCACAGAGCTATACATGCGTGATGCAAGCATGTGAACGAGCAAAGAATTTCGTGGCTGCAAGAAGAATATTCGCGATGATGTTGCGTGATCAGGATGAAGGGGCGGGCGGAACGAGTGGGGTATCGTCTGCCTCCGTGGGTGGAAGTGTTCTATCAGAAACAGAAAGCAGTTTAAGGGTAGGTTAAAGGTGCTTTTCTTACCGCTTTTTATGCCTCTCCTAAGGGAGAAACGCATAAAAAGCGGGGTAAGCAAGCACCAAAAGCCTACCTTTAAGCAGTTCGAAAGGTGGCAACAAGAAGGTGGATATGGTCGCTTTGACACATATGATATCAATTTGCGCTAAAGGAGACAGCCCTGAGTACGATACTGCGATAGAGCTGTTCGAAAATGCAAGGAGGAAGACAGCTCCAGCCGCGCCTGGCGAGCGTGCTGTTGAGGCAGATCTGGGCTGCGTGGATGGAATGGTATCTAAGCCACCTTCAGCTTCACCCACAGCACACACACAGCGCTTAGATCTTCCCGCTTTCCAAGCTATGCTCACTGTATGCCACCGCGCAGGGAAATGGCAAAAAGCCTTAGATATTTTGGACATCATGCGGAAGGAAAAAGTCGATTTTTTCGAACTTAGCAAACGCGGAAAGACTCCCAAAAGTGGCCTTGCATCCTGTTTTTTCACTTGTATAAGCGCCTGTGAAGCAAATGGACAGTATGTGACGTCAGAAAAACTGTTCCAAGAGATGTGGGCCATGCGATTGGTCTCTTTGAGAGCGGATGGGAATGGGATGTGGGAGGAAAAAAGCAAGTCTAAGAAAGATACGGATAAAAATTTGTCTCATCGCTCTCTAGCAGGCGTTGCGGCAGAAAACGCTGGAGAAGGAGAGGACGACGAACCTGTTGGCCGTTTTACCTTTGGGAAGCCTGAGCCTGATGTGAAGACTGATGCTCAACAAGGGATTTCCGAAAGTAGTTGCAAGCCAGAAGAGAATATGAATATCTTTAGTGCTTACGTTGCGGCGCGCGGTCGTTGTGACAAGGATACTGAAACCGCTAGCCAAATAACATCCGAAAGAGGTTGGCTTGAAGCTGTTGATGACGCTCTCTTAACAAAGATACCAAAGAACGAACATTTCGATTGGGAAGACATTAATTTTTTGCAAGAACCATGTGCACCTGCAACTACACAAGAAGCTCATTCTCATCAGGAATATGAAGCTGATTGTTCTGCTCCGACATCAAGAACCTCGGAGATGATATCTTTAACCTCGAAAAGAACCGTCGACCTGCATGGGTTACCATCAGCAGCTGCGCGTGCGGCCGTCCGAGTAGTGCTGCAAAGGGAATGTGCGAAGATTATAGCTTCGTCGTCGTCTAGCGCTAAAAGTGGAATAAATGAGGCCTGCAGCAGTGGGACCACGACTAGCAGTTCAAGTGATACGGCCGATGAAGAAACGCCTGCAATAGTGCCAACAAGTAACCGCTCGATCATATTCCTGACCGGAAGAGGTCATCATAGCAAAGTGGAGACGCCGATGGGAAATAGGTTACAATGCGTTGTAGAGCGCATGATTAGAGAGGAATTGGAGTTAGACTGCAGCCCCGTTCCTCATAACAATGGCGCTTTGATGATCACTGAAGACGCGCTCAGAAGAAGACGCGAGCTAAGTGAAATGAGAAGGAAAAGCGAGTCAGAGAAGTAACTACTAGCTTTACATGAATCATACGTAGCACCAATCATGACGCAGACGCTTGTTTACCAATCATGACGCAGACGCTTGTTCTTTCATGAGATACCTTACTGGGCAGTTGCTTTCTTCCGTAACCGGTTATCGGAAGAAAGCAAGAACAAGAGCTGGAGTGTGCTCATCACAGATGATACATTTGTGAGAAGACTCGTGAGAAATCTAGCGAGTAGAGTCATGCTACGAGAACGTGAGATCCTAGAGAGGTAAGGTGGTCGGAGCGTTACCCATCTTCCTAGACAATCATCTAATTGTTCTTAAATTTGAGTAGATGTCTTCAGATTAAGTTCTAACCTAAATCACGATGGAAGAATACAGCACGGTGGATGTTGTAATGGAGTGTCAATAGCATCATTAGTACTTAGGACACCTAAGGAAAATCTAGAGACTAATAAATATGCATAAGCAGAGTTTTAACATGTCTCACATTCTAGAGACTAAACATGAGACGAGTCTTCGAGGCTGAAGGTTACAACCAAGTGCACCACAACAGGCTACAAGACTCCTCTCTTCAACATTACGCTCTGTATCTGAGATGGATGCTTCTGGACCCCTCTTCCAGGTCTTCATCGACTTCCAGTAGGACTACTACAAATTCTACCAGTACTTCTTGGACCACGCGGTCGACGTCGAATTCATCAAAGCAAATAGGACACGCTAACTTACGCGGTGGCGGAGGAACGCAGCATCCTCCTGAAGCAATTATCTCCACCTGTTGTACCAGGACGAATACGAGTGGTTCGGCTCTTCATAGTACCTCCTCATCGAGCTGCGGAAGTATCAAAACAGCACTAGGAAGAACCCCAATCCCAACTACGCAGTTGCCAGACGCTATTTGTGAGCGATTCATATCAAGTAGTGGAGAACTCGGAAACAGCAGGAAGATGTTTCAGTCATCCCCAGTCGCAGTGGCTACGAAGATGCTAGAGACCCTACAGGGTAGTACTGGCGGGTTGACAGCCACGACTTCGACTTCTCCTGTGACGACTTGTTCTCCTCTGACCAATGAATCACCATTGACGTCCTCTGTCGAAGCCCTCGATCATCAGGTTGTAGCCGCTACAAGAGCTACATGCAACAAGGTCTCGTCCACCTCAATATCCGCATCAACGGCAACAGCTCTTGGAAGTGGAACAACTACGCACCTGCATCTACCTCCCCGTTGCCCAAATGGAGGCACCAACAACGTAGATGCTTCATCCAGAGAGGCACTGCGCCGCAGTAGTACTAGTACGACAACAACAGCCACCTCTACTATTGGTGGAGGTGGAGGGAGCGCAGCTCCACTTGCCCAACAGCACCTCCCTAATGCGATTAGCTTCCAGTATCAACAGCATGCGGCTGCATCTAACATGAAGCAGCTCAATGGAGGAACTCGCGCTGTTGAACAGGATCAACATGCTAAAGGGTCTGTGATCGATCTCCACGAACATGTTTTTTTCCCGCAGTTCACTTTGGTCCCTGCAGCGTGGTTGCCAGATTGGCTTACTTGGGCGGTTATTGAGGTGCTACGCTTTACACAGAGGGGAGGCATCTACTTAATCTTGCACAAGCTTACTTTTAGTTTTATCGACCCCTGTAACTGTATTTGTATCTATCTGTATGTCGTGTTAACTCTTCGTTGTCGCAGAACACGCTGGTAGCATGAAGATGATCATTATTATTCTAGTCCCTAGTGCAAGTTCGCCCAAATATGAGAGTCCCGATTATAACAACTCCTCCTACACGTTCACTCAGGAGCATCTCTCTTGTCTCGTTGATCGGAAGAAGAAGGTGGGCTCCGTTTCGAATATCAACGCCTCTAGCATGCGGCAACTAGCAGAAAGCCAGTGGTCTGGAGAGTCACTGCGAATGACACGTGCATTGGAAAAAATCTTACGAGATATCGAAGACGAGGCAAACCTAGGCAGACGACATATCGACTACGTAGCTGGTATCAATTGCTTTTTTTTGGAGATAGTCGGACTTTTTGGCGGGGGATGTCCAGTGTCTTGTCTGCTCCGGTTGCCTTGGTGACTATTGGCTCGAAAGTGCCACGCCAGTAGGGACAGTGAAGACACTGATAGGCATCAACGGCAGCGCGCGGGCCGACGCATGATGCAGGCGGGCAGGACCGAAGTTGCGGCTGCGGGCGCGCACCTGCGGGGCTGGTTGGGTAGGGGAGCCAAGCCGGCCCCCGGTGGATGCTGCTGATAGGCGCACAGGATGCACGGCGAAAGGAAGGTCGGCAATTTATGGCCGCGGGGAGGCCATGGACGGCACACGCGGCCGGTGGGTGAGGGGCTCGCTGGTCGGAGCTTTGCTTGTGGTGTCTCTTCTTGCTTAGGTATGGGAGTTCGGTAAGCAGAAAAGCACCGCCGCCGCCGTCGGTGAAACTGTCGCAACTAGGAGAGCACCAGCACCCGCATTGGCGGGAGCTTGATGAGCAGTAGAGGGCCGGGGGGGTGCTCGCAATCGCTTGGCTTTGGGATGTGCTGGGCTTTCTACCAGGCTGACACGCTGTAGCAAGTACCTGAGAGGGGCCGCGGGCGCAGTCGTTGAGTTGTCGAGGCTCGAGCGTCTGGCGGGGTGTTTTCCGTATTGAGCTGCACAAGGAAGACCAGAAAGCTGCGCGCGCGGTGGATGAGGGGAGTGAATCGGGCACAAAGAGAAGGCCGCGCGATTTGTGTTAGTGTGTCGCCCACTCTCCCGCTTGGAAGACCTTGGCGGGTCTCGCTTTTCAGAAGATAGGGGGCCTCGCTCTTTTTGCGAACTCTTCAGCGCTGCGTGGGGCCCTCGCTTTTCAGACGATGCGGCCCCCGCAGCACGGGTTGCCGCATAGATTTGGCTACGAATCCAACGAGAAAGGCCGCGCCTGGACAGTTGTGCTTGGCGTCTCCGCTAGGTCGCGCGTGTGTCTTCTGCATCGTGGCGCTACGACAACTCGCCAAGGCGGGCAGCTGAGCTAGCACGGTATGGACCGACCAAAGTGCGAAGGTGTCTCCTTGGTATTCTCGGGCCATCCAACAGCGGGGAGAGCATGCTGAGCGGGTTGCTGGGTGGGAAGCTCGAAGAATGGGCGAAGGTGTACCAGACCAACACGCGCAAAAGCGTGCCGCGGGGCGAGGACGTCGAGACGCCGCCAGCAGAAGACCAGGCAGATCCCCGAAGTGTGAGGATGCGAGGAGCTGCCCGCGGCGACGCGTTGCAAGAGGGGCCGCGAGCTGGCTGCGAGGGAAGACCCCGACGACGTCGCGACGCAAGACGACGCCGAGGCGCCGCCGGCAGGTGAGGCTTGACAAGCAAAAGCAGGAAGCCAAGCGCCTGCAGCAGAAGCGTGACAAGCAAAAGCAGGAAGCGCCTGCAGCGGAAGAGCAGGCAGATGCCCAGAACGGAGCCAGACCCGGGGGGGGCCGCCGTCGCAGTCGGGGGCTCGGCTTGGGTGTATGCATGACGGCCCAGGGCCATCGTAATACAAAAATCTGATGTATATCCTGCCTCGCTTCCTCGATCCTTACACAGTTCCAAAAGTTCCAATCTGTCTGCTGTTCTGCATGGTGTTCCTAGTTGTTGAAGGTCTAAAGAGTTGCAATCTATCGCCTCCAAAGTCTTCCGATGATGGAGGTAGCGACGGCAGTGCAGGCGCTTCGGGGGCAGGGTACTGGCGTCCCCGCCTCTCCGAAGTCAGGGCGCCGCATCATGAGGCCCCAGTCGTCCCACATCTGTTCGCGTCTCTCTTGCTCACAGGATGGCCAGCCATCGGGCCCGCTGAATGCGTGCAAAGTTCAAAAGATTCGCGACCTGTCCGCTCACGCGCGCGAATGCCAGGCAGAAGTGGCGGCATTCGTGGGGCCCAAGGATAGGACTCTTGCGCCTTTTGTGGTATCGGCGATTCGGCTCGTTCCCGGGAAAGCGGACAGCCTGCAACCTTGCACACGCATCCACGCAGCACACTCGCCGCCAAGAATGGGCGGAAGCCTCAGGAAGTCTGCGGCGCGCTACATGGTCGGACTCCACACAGGCGCACTGAGTTGGCCGCCCCGGCTGAGGTTGCTGGCGGGCTTTCAACTTCGTGCCTGCAATTGGGCCGCGATATCTCGCGACCCACTCCGCACCGTTCTGCGTGGAACCTTCGCAGTGAAAGGTCGGGGGGATGAGCAGGGGGCTGCTCCTGCCATCAGCAGCTGGAAGCTAGGGGGGGCTGCGGCTATCTTATTTGTGACATTCCCACTTCGCTGGAATTATCTCACAGCACGCAGCACTGGAGCGGGCCCCATGCTTCATGCTTTACCTCCATACGGTATGGAGAAAGCGACCTCCCCGGCTGACTCCACCCGGCGACGCTGGGTCGCCGGGTGGGGTGAGGTCCGTCTTGGAACCGGAAGACATACAGGAAGTAAGCAGGCCGCCAATTGTATTGTTTACGCGGCCTCTTCGTCAGCGGGCGGCCCTTGGTACCGCCCCAGTGTGTGAGTGCTGTCCGCTCCATCTGCGGCAAGGAGAAGCCGGGCTCTGGAGTCAATCCCAGTCAGGTGGGGGATCCGCAGGATCCGGCTAGGGATCGGGTCAGTGAAGTGCTTCGGGTGTACTTATCTCCTCTGTTTTGTGATGTGGCTGGCGTGGCCACATTCTTGCTGTCTCGGCTGGGGGCGGTAGTAATGAGCCGCCGCCGCAAGCGCAAGCTGATGACAGACTGACCCTGACGCTGTGAGGGGGATGCTGAGAAGAATGGATCGCCGCAAAATCGTGACAGGCCCGCCCCGACGCCTGCCGGAGGCGCTCTGCTGTAGTTCTTGCCGCGCCTTCGGGTTCAGCGTTTGAAAGAAAACCTATAGCAAGCGCAAAAGCGTCAGCGTCATGAGATAGGGGGCCCGCGTCAGCGCTGCCGGGTACGTAGGTGGGGGGTGCGTGGGTTGGTTTGGAGGGTTTAGCCCTCGCCGCACGCCCAAACGCTTACCGCGGTTTGGTGGTTAAGTTTCTGCTTCGCTTTGCCTTTGTCTGTCTCCTGGTAAGGCTTCCTCGCGTTCCTTTCTGTCGGCAATAGTTTCTAGTGCATTCCACCCTCGGCTGGCCGCGGGCTCGGGTGGGATGCTCGACGGCCGGGGGGCCTGCACGCCAGTGCGGGCTTGCCTGCCGTTGTTCTTCTCGCTGAGACTCGAGGCTCCGGCCGTGCGGCCAGTCAGTCTTACTTTGATTGGGGTGATGAGCTGCCAGCCAGCTGAAGGTGGCGAGAACGGGAAGGCAGCGCGGCAGCTTCTCAGGCAGCTTTGTGGACTTACCTGCCCCCGCGTCTCCCTGACCTTCGATCGCTCGTTTTGTTCGTTTTATTTCTTTGCACCACTTGCGTTTGACGTGGACGAAGGGCTCGTCCGTGCCCTGCCGCTGTGCGGCGGGCTCTTTCGTCTCGCGTCGATTCTTTCGTTCTCTTCACCTAGCGTAGAAGGTGTCCTGATTTCTGGCGGCTATGTATGTAGATAGATGAATGTCTGTGATGAAGCAAAAACAATGAAAATATGAATATATTTATCATATGAATATGATTCTGTCTGAAGATGACGGCCGCCACGATAGAAGAGTGGCCGCGCCCAATCTCAATAATTGGAGGGCGCCAGCAATTCTTTATTCCTGCACTGATTCTGATCACCGACACCTGAGTCACCCCCCCTTATAGGAGGACTTCTTCTATGTTTATTATAGGACAGCACCTAATATTTCAAACAGAGGAAAGCAACTCTTTCATAATTGTGATAGATTCCGATCGCGGATCGCCGTCACCCCACTTATACTAGGTATCATGGAGGAAACTCGTACCCGTGGTCGCGTTTCTGAAGCTTGGTCTACCCCTTCTTCTACGAAGCATGACTCGTCAGCACGCGACTGCATGAACGGTGCAGGGCCTAGTGCGATAATCGGCGATACTTGCTCAGCCATCGCCCTATCGCTCTCCGGTGGAACGGTAGGAGGAGGTGGAGGCGAATATAGTTATGGTTCCCTTGTTACGCATCTTTAAGATTCCCCTTGGCATCATCTATGTCTATCTTTATGTACTTATACTACAATTTACAATACAATGAATCTCGCACCAAGTAGTACAGTAAAGGACTACTAACCGATTATGATTACTAATGCATTGGGTTCGATTATTTTAGGGGACACAACCGCGGCTCCGCGCCGCCGGTCTGCTCGTGATAGTCTTTGTAGGGTAGCAGGCCTCATGTATGAAGTCAAGCGTCTGCTCGGGGGCGCCGTGCCCTCAACAAGAACATTAACATGATAGCCCTTCCATGACCCTGATCCCCTTTGTTCATCTCCCGCACGAGCTTGGCCGGAAAACATATGCTTTGCCTGGCGTGTTCACGTGGACGCATGGGGGAATAAGGGCTGATATCTGGGAATCCAGCACAGTCTTACGGGTTGGAAGTTGACATCTCTATGAGCATCTCTATGGGTTCTTCAAGTCAGAAAGCCATAGATATGCGAGCTAGAGCGGTCAACTTTCAACCTCTAACAGTCCGTAGCCAATTGCTGCAGCGAGGCTTTCACTGTGAAATCTTTGCCTCGACATCGAGCCAAACACGACCAGGAACTTTGAGAATATCCTGGTGAGGATAAGTTTTTTGAAATCAATGAATAAGAATATCAACGAATAGATACCATAGACCACTGTGTCTTTGGCACACTAAGAAATGTGCTCCGTTTCACTGTTCTTTGTCACCACATTAAAGATGAAATGCACTTTTTTTCGCGTTCTTCGTTCTTCGCCACGACTTGTTCTTACTACCAAACAAATAACTAGATTCGATAGATACTGGTACCAACCGCACCAGACTCAGGGCAAAGTTCCTACGGTAGTTGATTCTGGTTATAGTCTTGGTAATAGATACGAAATTTTATCCTTCGGCTCCAAACGCCACCCCAGTTTTTAATTCAAAATCTTTCTCCAGAGTCGCTCTTGTCGTCTGTGACTTGGGCCAACAATAGCTAATGATTCGTGCGCAGCCGCGCTAATTTCGTGAGGTAGTTCCTCCTAGGCGTCTTAGACACACAAGTGCAATGAATACTCGGCTGCCAAAACAATCAAAAAGAAAAATCACGAAACCCGATCACATTAAAATCGACCCCTTTTGTAAGATTTCTTATTCGTATTTTATCTTCCATTAAAATCGATGTGACTCAACCTGATTCAAATCGATGTGTACTCAAGTCACCGCCTCGATAGCTCTTGTTGACCTTACCTAGGTCACCCATCATCCTCGGAGACGAGCATGCGCCTGTGAGGCTCGTTGTGAAGGATCCACAGCCTCACCTAACCTTCTTATTGACATTTTTGTACCTGCATGTGCATCTAGTACCTCAGCCTCTATCTCCTCCTCTTCTGCCTGAGTTTGGCTCAATCAAGAAGGGGAGGAGATAGAGGCTACTTTTAATCAACATGTGATCGAAAACTCAAAATAAATACGCGAGTTAAATTGACTGAAATACAAGAGAAGTCTTGACTACATTCCTCTTCTTTTAGTATCTCCCTTATTTAAGTAGTTACTCGCTTGAGTCCATAGCTTTTCGAAGTCTCAGTTGTAATTGGAAGCACCCCCTGAAGATCTTGGCCCGTCCGTCTTGTTCAATGAATCCTTTCCCCATGTACGACAGCTACCCAGCTCTTCTCGTCACCTTTGTGTCTTAATCATGTTGCCTCACTGAAATAACTAAGACGAGTGTCAAAAATTGATGAAATGTTTTTCTCGTTCTTTGACATTGACTGAAGACGGCTCCAACGAATGAACAATGCTTCATTTTTTCAATTCATACATACACGACCTTACATCATGTAGTCTACTCGTATTAGATAGACTGATCAATGCACAACTCTTCACCCTGTACAACTGACGCTTCCAAGAAAAATAGTGTGGTATGAACCACCGATAGCTGCTTACTCATCGATTGACATCATGTAACCCATAAGATGACTCATATTTTTCATGGCCTTGGCCCTGACACGTAATTTCAATTTGTTTCTTTCTTTGTTCTTGAAATATTTGTCTCTCCTGAGCATGGAGGCCCATGCGTCTGATCCCGGTCATTCTCAAGAACAATGCTTCCGTCGATTTGTGTTCAGCTACGGCACTGTCATTTTTTGCAGAAGAGGCATTGGCAGGCATCAAACAAAGCTAACGTAAGCAAATGACGCCTTGACGTTTTATCACTGTGGAAGTTGTATCCTGAACTGCAAGACGCCATGCTGGACAAAGAAAATCATGAAGAAGACATTCATTTGCTAATTCATGCGGCTAATGATGAGACATTTTCTACGGCTACGCTAATCCGCTTTAGAAGGCAGGTAAAACTGCGGACGGCGGACTCCCTCCTAATCCTAATTCATGTCGTTCTTGAAAAAGTGTGTTGAGCGAAAAAAATATTGATGACGAGTGAGGACCATGATGACTTCAACGGCCAGCACTATCCTTATTTGAATACACCGAAACCAGGAACCTAGTTAAAGGAGGATGTGCGTGATCCTTCAGAGGTGGCGATCGGTCTAGGTTTAGTCTAGGAAGTAGCGACTCTAGTTTTCCTAGGGGGCCCACACCTAGCCTAACCTTGGTATAAAATCGTGGTGGACTTCTAACACGCTCAATATCACTAGTGATCTGAATCTAGTATAATTCTCTTTCGTTTTATTTACTATTACAGTACTGCACTTTTACTTTTTTCAGCACACAAATGAACAACAATCATGGTCGCAGCCTCGAAAAATCGAGGACGCTCTCGAACGGCATCGTCGCAAAATATTGCCGCCCTTCAACAGGCAAGTGGCAACTTACTCGAGCAAGAGCAACTCCAAGTCTTAAATCGGCAACTAGCCGAGCTGGATGACCTTCTGTGTTTGGCAGAGGTGACTCCAGACGTCTGGGACAGTTTCTTAAGTGCCGACGGTCGTTTAGAGCCGCTTTCTTTGGGGCTGGTGTCCGACACAGCTGCTGCAAAGCTTTTGTCAGGACCGAACTTGCGGAAAGCGGAAAAGCTGCTACATGGGATACGAAAGCAAGTTCGTGACGCGGATGTTGTATCCGCGAGTCGTGCTGCAAGAGGGCATGAAATCTCACTTCTGCAGAACAGTGACTACAGAGAAGCACCCGAGGCAGGTGAGGACCAGGAGAGGAACGCCCTGTCATCACGACTATGGGACTTGTTGCAGATCCGGCCTCCGATCAGTGGAGGAGACATTGATGTGGGTGACGAGGATGACCATGCAGCAGTCGCGCAGGGAGCCTCATCTTCGTCTTCAACTAGCCGTTTGAAAGGGCTAGTATGTGTCATTGGCTTTGCCGTGAATGCGATGGAAATCGCAAAAGTTTGTGGTGCGGAAGGGGACCAATTTTTACAATTAGACACTGGAGCTGCTGGACGAGGGGGAAATACTAGTTCTTCGAATTCTACTTCTCCAGCCGCAGCTTTCATCATAGCTCAAGCAGCAGCAAGATGCTACTACGCTTTACTGTCTTTGCCAGGGATGGAGACGCAGCGTGGCATTTTGGTGAGACCGTCGTTACTGCGACGACTGTTCTCCAACATCGTAGATGCTGCAGCGTTCAGCCTCAGCGTGAAGCCAGTGTTTGAGCTACGGAATTTTCTGGAGACGTTTCCATTGGGAACGTGTTTGGACCAAGTACGGTATGGATTGGACGCCGTTCTAGCTTTGCTGTCGCGGCCATTCGATCATCATGCTGCGTCAGCGGCGATAGCTGCTGGATGTGCGACGACCGGTTTCTATCCGTCATGGTTTTGTTTGATTTTTCGTTGTGATCAACGCATGATTAAGATTTATTTTAAGTGACATTCATTTTTCCAATTTGCAAAATACTTAATAAAGTGAGGGGGATGAAAATGAGAATCTAGTAGCGAGAACAAACGGCGCTTTCTTACACTCCATCGAATGCCAGGTGAGGATGTACCAGCAGTGACCAGAAAAAAGGCAGACCTTCAAGACGATGACGGGCCAGGACAACAAGTAGCCGTTGCTCACAGAAGCTCCGCAGCTCAAGTATTCCCTTTTTACGAGGATAGAAACGTCCCACTAGTTCTGGAATTTTATCGGCTAGCGGAAACGGTTTTACAAGGCATCACGAAAACTGACTCGCGGCTCTTCGCGGTAGCGCACTTTTTTCGAGGCTTGATGCCCTTGCTTGTGATGACAGCGCAGGATCCGCTGCCGCAGAGGCTTTCCGCAGCAGGACCGCATACAAAGGTACTACTGCAGGAAGAAAAGATCACCAATCTCTCAAATCAACTTCCTGAACAAGATGCAAGAAGAAACAGACAACTTTGATTCTTAGAAGATATCAACAAGTACAAGCAATTCAATTTCAAATGGATGACCCTTCAAATGGACCACGTTGATCTTACAGGCATCAGTTCTCGCAGCGCTACACGTTCACAAATTCGCCGTGGAACGCTTTCCGCATGTAAGCGATGATAAAGAGGGTAGAAAGCGGGTTTTCATGGACCATGATGAAGACTGCGACAAGTTTCTAAATGCACGTCGTGAAAGGCATCGCGCAGCAGCACTTGCGAAGTTGATCCAGGAGAGGCGGGAGCGGAAGCGAGAGCGTCGAAAGCGAAGAAAGCAACTACGTGCGGAGGAAGCACAACGAAAGAAGCAGGCTGCTAGTGCTGGGGGTGATAGCGTAGGAGCAGGCGTAGGTGCCGTTGCAGTTGCAAGAGGTGGGGGTAGAGGCTTCGATCCTTTTTCGCCAGGAGGTAAAAGCAGCTCATCGGATGATGAAGACGAGGAAGATGTCGATAGTTCGAGTTCATCGGAGGACGAAGCGACAACGATGGAATTGGATGAGAATGGTCGAAGAAAAGTAAACACTGATGCCGCGCAACGTAAACTTAAGGCCCCCACCGCCAAAGCATCTTCCCCAGCATTCTCCTTTGCTCTTTTTCTACAGTTGAAGACGAAGCCAAGGATGTTGGTCGCAGGGAAGATGTGAAAGCGGCTGCTCCTCCACCTCTAAGAACCGTAAGAAACAAAATTTGACACGAAAAGTCATCACTCTCAGTCCCTATACCGGTTTGTTGCAGCAACTAGTGATTAGCTGTCCGGAACGCGCTGATTTTCGGGAGAGTCTGATTAGTGTGGTCTTGCTGATTCTGATAAAGGGAAGGAGTCAGAAGTTGCTCAGCAGGTTTTTGCTGTTTCTGGAGCACATGCTAGGTTGCGAAGTACCTGGGAAACGAGCTACTGCGAGTGAAGTTTTGTCCGCGGTTTTGGAATGCATCGGTGGAGGTCATTTTATCGATGCTGAAGTAGATGATGCAGATAGCAGGAAAAATGCGACAGCAACGGGAAGTATTCAACTAAACGGCGGTGGAGATCCAAACTCTACTCCACCTTTGAATCCAGCAGACGACGACTCGAGAGGCCAAAACGGTCTAACAGGTCGCTCACCAGCTTCTCCAACCAGGAAGCGACGTAGTAGCAATGGTGGCAGTGTACTATCACCACAAAAAGACGAATCTCTACTACAACCTCAATCTCAACAGTCTGCTTTTAAAAACACCTCTTCATCTCACTCTCAGCAAATGCTCCAGAGTGTCGGAATGAGTAGTGTTTATCGAAGTGCCCGCCGGCGTTTAAATGCTCCTAAATCATCTCCTCGTGGGAGAGCTGGAACTTTTCTCGATGATGCTGATAAGAAGGCTTCACAGCTAGCAGATGATGCAGCGCTAGTTGCTTCGGGAAAAGATATTCTTAGTATCGAGCGGGTTTCTTCTTTTCCGCGTAGTAATGAGTGGATTCGGGAGACGTGCAGACGGCACGTTTTGCTGTGCAACAAGAAGGAACAGGAGAAGTATGTCAATGATATGCTTCTTGCTCCTGATACTGAGACTGATGTTGAACAAGGTATTAGAAGTAATTCAGCGTTGTTAGAAATCCCACCAGCACGTGCAGACCGTCTTATTCGTTGTATTCTCGCACGCACTCGCGACACCATCCCGAATGTGCGAGTGAAGGCGTTGCAGAGCATCGCACTAGCACTGAATAGCAACGAGGGAAGCTTGCTGAGGACGAAAAGGAGTAGTGAGGATGTGGTTGTAGGGGCTGATGGTGCAGTAGAGAATCAGAAACATCAGAATGTAGAGGAACACCAGCTGCAGGTGCAGGACTTTCTTCATTCAACGTTAACAGGTGTAGCACGTGCAGGTCTTCAGGGTCCACAAGCTGCAGTACAAGCCGCAGCACAGGCTTTGCGGTTTAGAGAACAGCAACTGAGGCAAATGAGAGCATCAGCTAGTGGGCCGTCATCTCTGTTGAGCAATGGTGGCCGATTAGTAGACAAGAAATTTTTACCGGCAGGCGGTCTAATACACCAAGGTGTGGAGGAAGTGTTGCGCACACTGCCTGCTGAGCAGTTGGAGCGCGATGCGGAAGCATACTATGCTGTGACACCAGCGGGGTCGCCATCCTCAGGGAGAGAAGAAATGTGGGCAAATGAACAAGGAAAAGGTCCTCGTGGTGGAAAGAACGAAGGCCAAGAGCATGTTGACCAACTAGAAGATGCAGATGGAGATGCGCAGATGAACGGCGCAACACCCGCAGAGTACAACCAGGGATTCATGACCGCAGGTGGCGAAGATCTTTATGGTGGTCAAGTAGCTGAACAAGGTCAGCTTACTCCACCTCCTAAGACTAAAAAGCGCAAAGCAGAGGAAACCGATCCGGAGGAAGAGATGATGCCCGGCTACGGCAACGCTGCATCCGGTATAAATACAACTACATCAAGCATGTTCCACTTTAGCGAAGCTGAGGGTGGTCGCGATTGGGAAATGCTGAGGATAGCAGCGCAGCTATTCACAGAACGGATGAAAGACGATAAGCCGACTGTGCGACAAAACGCTTTGAAATTTCTGGACACGTTGTTGCCGACCTTGGTTCAGACATTTGAAGAAAATAGTGTGCACACGGCTAGCGGTTTGCAGGGTTCTTCGTCTTCCTCTGGAGGTGTAGTATTCGGACCAGGAGGTGTCGCGGTTGGAACGTCTGCAGCTAGTTCTAGCTCATCCACTTGCTATTTCGTGCCGATGAACGACAAGAATAACACTCCTGCTGATTCAACTACAGCCCCTTTTTTTAGTGGTGCTGAGTATCTAGAACTAGAGTCTCGTGCACTACCGGAGCAAGAGTCTGATCAGGCCGCTGAAAATCTTTGGGTCTTTACTCCCGGAACAAACCAGCAGGGAATAAATGCTAAGAAGAAGGACCAGCGGGTACGACGTCGCGTGTACCTCTTCGAAATCGATCCGAGATACTCGAGTAGTCAAGATGAGGCAAAGAAGCAGGCGGAACAACAGCTCCTTGGAGGCGACGAAGGACCAGAAATTACCTATCTTTCGCCTCTAGTCCTCTTTCCTCTCGAGTCCGTAGTGTCCTCTGCAGGAGACGAAGCAGTGTCTGTTCGCAAATCTGCTGTTAGCACTCTTTCGCTGCTTTTGCGTACAGCGCCGCACGCTAGGTGTGTGCGGGAAGCTTGGTCGCATGCGGTTTTGCCCTGTGTGATGGACGTCGAGGTTTCTGTGGCAGACTTGGCCGTGTCAGAGATAAATAAAGCGATCTTTCAACAAATCGTCAGCACCATGAACCAAATCACTTCTGTGTATAACAAGAGAACTGGCAAATACAACCAGCATACTAGTTGTACAACTGCAAATCGAATAGAACAGCCGTTAGAAGAGTTGCCGCCAGTCTATCGGCTCTTGGAAGAGCTCGATCAGGAATGTACCGAGTATATGCAGCGTGCAGTGGGTATCTTGCTGAAGATAGACACGCAGCAAGTGAAAAAGCTTGTGCAGACACTTGAGTGCATTTTGGGCAGTTTTAGTGTCATGGGCCGCTCAATTCCGATCGGCGTCTTGGACTTGTTCGATGAAGCGACGAGCAAAATAGTCAAGAAAAAGCCTGCGGCAGGTGAAGATGAGTCAGCAAACACTAGTGGCACTAACAAGAAGACTTCCGCGAATAAGCCAAAAGGAGGACCAGCGTCGAAACTTTTGAAAGCTACAACAGATGAGGATCCGTGGCGTGATGTCAAGATCAACATGGATACGCTGCTGATGATCTGGGATAGCATTTTTCGCAACGAGGAGAAGCACATCGTCAATGAAGTCCATGAGGTTGAGGACGAAGAGATTGATGCTGAAGGCGCCTTCGCACATGCTGCTGACAGCACAGACCGAAAGCAATCGTTGGAAAGCCAAGGGGTGACATTGCCCCAAGCAGGACGAGTAGGAGGTGGAGCAACAACATCCACTAATAGCAACAAGGGTGCAGCTGGTGGCAGGCAGAATTTTCGGGTGTTGCAGCGAATGATCCGCATCCTCGGAAATTGCCACGCGATGCTCAGCCTTGATCAAAAGGGCCGACTGGCATCAGTGTTTCGCGATTGCATCCTCGCTAGGCCCGAATGCTTCGCTACATCTCTACTTGGTGATGTTATCACGTGCCTCCAGAAATTTCTCTCAACCGACGAGACGGACACCAAAGTGTCTAGTACTACAACCGCGAATGCACCGCCGTCTTTAAACAAGACCAAAGCTTCCTCGTCAAGTCAGCCGGAGAAGAGCTCCAAAGCTTCAGCAGATTCTTCGTTAAGCAGTGGCTCTAGTGGTCGTGTTGGCAACAAATTCATTGGCGCTGATAACTTCAGCTACGACTTCCAGCCATTAGTGACGCAGTGCATGTCCAGCGTGCAGGAAATCGCGGAGGAAAGGACAGGATTCGACGAACCCGAATCACGCAAGAGGCTGACACGACATGTCTTTCTACTTGGTGAACTTGCCTTGATCGATGTGTGTTTCTCACCATCACCAGCGACCACTATTGCAGCACGGAGCAGTACACGAAACAAGGGGGTTTTGAATAAGAAGGCATCAGCTTTGTTTATGGGACGATCATTTGCATCGATTTTTGCATTCAAGGAATGTCCATGTTTCAGTTTCTATTGCTTTGAGTACAAGTTGTTTCAAATCTAGTATTTTCTGTTGAATCTGAGATTATATTGGAATGAAATAAAATAAAATCAAAATTTTTGGTTTTGAAAATCAATTCCAAACTTGAATTTTGAAATTGAGACTATTTCAATCTTGAATTTCAGGGTGAAAATATGTATATTTTCATCGTATCTATACCAATCAACGTGTTTGACTTTGATAGTGGTTGAAGGTTCTATGTATTTTTGGAGAAAAGATACCATTTCAGTAAGCTAAGGAAAATCTTTCATCAGGAAATGAAAAATTTGGAAATTGAATAAAATCACAAATTTTGGGATTTGGAATCAAATTTGAAAAATTCAAATTCAAAAAATAATTTGCCGACTTCTTCTTTCAAGCAAGGTCATAAAGGCTTGAAGCGTCACGTGAAGTTTGCTCCCCTTCCACCTCCCCTCTTCATTCCCGTTACCGCGCCCGACCTGGTGAAGCAGCTACGGGGCATTTGTGAGGGCAAATGCGTCCGAGATGAGGGCAGATCCTTCGCTGACATACCAGAAGTCCTACGGGGGCACGCATTTGTGGCCTTTGGGAAACTATGCTTGCGTGATGAGGGTTTAGCCAAGAGAAGCATCGATATGATGGTCCATTTTCTATTGGAGCATCAACAGCCAGTAGTAGTGAAGAACAACATTCTGATTCTTCTGGGAGATCTAGCAACGGTCCACACCTCTTTGGTCGACCGCTTTGTGCCTTTGATGACAGATTTTCTCGGCCATCCCTCTGGAGTCTTGCGACAAAATGCAGTGTTGATCTTGAGCTCGCTGTTGGCGGAGGACTTCATCAAGTTCAAGGGGAACGTAACTTACCGCTTGGTGTTTTTGCTCGCGGACATGGACAAAAAGATAAGAGATTTTGTCGAAGCTGTGTTTCTGCGCATTCTGTTGCCTAGAAATCGGCGTTTATTCCAGCAAAACTTCCTCGACATCTTGTGCGGATTGAACAACTTTACCGCCTTGAAACAGCACCGCCAAACCACAGCTGCGAATAAGGGCTTCAATCTCCAAAAATCACCAGCGAGACGGTTTCAGATTTACAGCTTCATGCTGAAGATTATGCCACACGCTGAGAAATGGGAGGTTGCTGTGGCGTTGGTGAGGAGATTTCTGCGGTACTGGTCCGACGAGATGGAACCTGTGGATCAACTACCTATACCAATACCTGGGTCAGGTGGAGCTGGTGCGATCATAGACACTCTCGCTTTGTTGCAGTGTAAGGAGATGCGAGCATGCTTCAGTCAGCGGTCGTATCTGAACAGCAATGCGGCTGGGGATGTTATGATTGACAGGTCAGATAGAGATATTATATATACATAGCAGTGAAGATTATATATTTTTCCTGGTCTGCGTAGAGAGACCTAGAATAAAGCAAGTGCCCTTACTAGTACCTTGAAAATAGTTGTCCTAAATCCTTCCTCCTTGTCATGCCGCCCTTATTTTCTTTCATTCCCAACGACGTCGGAGATCAAGCGAGCGCCGCCGCTGCTTCCCGCGCCGCCAACCAACGGCAGGCTGAAATCGCGAAAAACAAACTTCTCGCTTCTGTTGTGAAGAAAACTGTGTTGGACACTTTGGTTCCTATTTTCGCGTCCATCCGCTTGCGCATGCTGAATCAGCAAAGCCCTCTTCTAGAAGAGCTCAGTCGGTGTATGATCGAGATCTGTGCGGAATTCCGAGACGACCTGAGGGAAAATCTGGATCCTAGTGTTGCCAGCGAGATCCTATTCGACATGGAGCAGGAAGAGCGCAGAGACCCAAGTTTTGGGAAGTTCGGACGGAGGCTGCCGTTAGAAAAACTAGTTTTTCATGTGGACAAAACCTCAAAAGCGTTATTGGAGAGGCATAATAAGCTGTTTGGTACCTCCGGACCTGGTTCTCGATCGTCATCTGTAATGCGTGCAGCTGGACACGGGGATCAACATGACCTACATCTTCATTTGTCCTCCAGTACTAGATTTCATAGAACAAGCTCACCAGCAGAGAGGAACAGCCGTAGCATGCAGCGCACAGGTGGACGCAAGCAAACTAGGACTATGAACAACAGCTCTTCTAGGCCTTTTGTCCCAGCAGGCGCAGATTTAGAAGCTACAGCAGAGAATGCTCTAGTTCTTTTACCTGACAACAATGGCAATGCTGGGACGAGCCTCAACAACAACAGCGCGAGAACACCAGGACCTCCAGGCAGTGACTTGAAACCATCAAGACTGCGTGAATTCTTAAACAAAACCTGCGAAGACCCGAAGTCTATCCTTGCTAGTGACGGACGTGGAGGTGGTGCAGGAAGTTTAGTAGAGGAGAGGAAACTACCGTGGGCACAGAGGCAGCAACAGAAGAAGGAGAAGGAAAAGGAAAAGAACGACAACAAAATGAAAATGCCACCTCCAAAATTACCAGCTAAATTCTGGGTGAAAAAGGAAAAAAAAGAGGAAGAAGGGGTAGTTCATACACCTGCAGGAGCGTCTTCTACCCAAGGTGGAGCGATTCCCAGATCGTCTGCTGAAAGCAATGTCATCGCAACTCCAGCAGAACAGTTCCCAGATGAACAAGCGTCTGAAATTTCACTTGGAGATTTCAACTTCGATGAAATAGGAGGCACTCCACGTGATCAGGCCGGCAATGGAGAACAGCAGAGAGAAGTAGACCATCGTGGTCAAGCATCTGCATCAGCTGCCTCGTCTACTTCTCAAAATGCTGAGGCTGTAGGTGCTAGTGGTACGGCCAGAAAAAGAAGGAAGGTCATGCCGAATGCTTCGAGGTCAGGCAGAGCGACAGGGGCTCCTAAGGCAAAGAAGCAGGGAACAAAAATGGAGGACGATGATGAGTGACGATGATGAGTGAGGAGTCTCCTATGGCTCTTGTACTTGAATAAAGGACATGTTCTACATACCACGTTCTCTCTTACGCGTCTAATAATAATAATAATACATACCAACGTCGGAATGATTAATCGTACTCTCGGAATCTTATCCACTAAATCCAAATCATAAGAGAGTCTATTCGGAATTACTGACATCAAAGCAAAAAACGAAGAATCTTCAATATAACGAATCCTGTTAGATCAAGACTTGACTTAGACTTCTTTTATCAAAAATGAATCGCTCTCGGAGTCGGAACAAAAAAGTATTATATCCGTCGTGTCGTGCCGGCAAAGATCTAGTGGATCTCCCATTCATCAAAAAAATCTCGCCAGTGGCGCCTGATACCTGCTCTCGAGGCACTACAACTGTGTTTGCAAGAAGTTGGGGTGACTGACAAATCAAGCGAAAGATAGACCGATAACTCACAGATCAATCGGAAATTGATGGACAAGATTAGGATCCACTTGCAGATGTTCCCTGTTAGGATGTTCTACCGGGTTCGATGCGACGGACGCTGGAGCTTAGTATGGTGACTCTTCAAGGTCAGGTTTGCCCGCATACTTCCACAACATTTTCGCTTTGATAAAAACATCGATCATTCAGGAGGTCATGGAGATGCGGGTATCAATTTTTCGCTTGATGTGGTCTGTTCAGAAAGAAGTACTTCCTTCACCTTGACATTGATGAATAAGAGAAAGTTGAACTACCTGATAAAAATTCTGGCACAGAAAGAACCATGAGTTGCCACGATCATCACGACTGCGATCACCATCACGGCACTGTTGCCGAAGATGACGATGGTAGCACATGGGAAATTGCAAAAGGAAAACGCAAGACCTTTCCAGCGACGAAGACCGCGTATGCTCACATTCTAGCGACTTCGAAAGCACAAAAAGCGACACATGTATCACCTGAGGCGGAGATTCTTCATCCTGACGCTACTGGTACAACTGGGTCTTCGACGAGATCTTCTACATCAAGCAGTTCATCTGCAACAACCCCTACTCCTGCCGAACTCCAGTCGATTGTGATGCGAGATATTTTGGCAAAAAAAGAAAGTTTTACCAGTACGTCTGGTGAAACAACTGGTGCAGCTGCGGTAAAGGAAATCCTAAGAGGTCTTGGACGAGAGCTGTCGAGCTCTAGCTCTTCTAGTTCTTTTGAAATAGAAGATGCCTCCGACGAACAACATGAACAACATGAACAAAACAACAAGGTGGATCATGATGTTTACGACACCTTCGTCGCGTTGGGACTCGGTTCGTTCACTCAAAATCGCAATGCTCAAACGCAAATGGCCTTGCTGCTCTGTCTCATGGACGAGCTACTCCTTGGGACATCGCCATTGTTGAGAACAACAACCTCTAGGACACTCCTGATTTACGACCCCGTGATGACAGAGGTTGACATCGCTGTCGCACAAGAGTTTGGTTTCGTTTTTTCGGAAAATGCAGAGGCGTGCTGTGGTGCTGCTGATCGTACAGCAAGTACACGCACTAGTACAACGTTATCTCAAGAACAAAGCACGAATTTATCGCAAACAACCTACACGAAGAGGAACAAGAACAACAAGACTTTCTTCTATATGCCGACATGCATTTGGCCCGTTTATGAGCGGGTCTTAGCTAGTGGGATGGCAGACGTGCTGTTAGGGAATGACATTCTAGGTTGGGCGAGCGGTGCGAGTTCTCAGGCTTCTCTGGCAGACATTGCTAGTAGGCCGATTCGAAGGCACAATCGGATTCAGAGCTTGTGCGAATGTTCCGCTAGGAACAAAAACATCCTTGGGCAGGCTTTCGGATATTCCTTGGCGATACATGTCTTTGAAGACAGGAAAGCAGTGGAAAAGGTTGGTCATGGTCACTTATTAACTGAACAAGAAAACCACCTCTACGCAGCACTCTTTGATGCTGGGAAATGTACTGACGTACGACAGGGACAGAATAAGGAATCAAGAAGCTTTCGCTACATCGCTTTTCCCCACTCGGTGGCGTCAATATTTTTTCCCTCGACCACCTCATCTACTTCTACGTCGTCTTCTATTTCTACATCAAGCACAGCTACGCCAACAAGTGGACGAAACCTCCAACATGTTGGTGGTATTCCTTCTTCTACTGAAAGCATCAATTCTGCTGTGTTGATTGGTAGCCGCGTTTGGGTCGATTTGAAATCTATGCAGATCGACGGCCGAGCTACTGTTGTAGGGCTACACGACAGGAGCAGCTCTTCATCTAGCTCTAGTACAACAACTACCAGGAGTTGTCTGAAGCTTAAATTCGACCGCTACGACGACGGAAGAGAAGGCCCAAAACGGATTCTAGAAACTTTGTCGCATTCGACAGGCGATATAGAAAAAAGGATAAAAGGGTTACTGCTTCGACATCAGGCGAATGGGAGCAATTTCCCAGTACCAGCGGTCCACCCAACGGTCCCAGTCTACCTCGTCCACGACACTGTGAATTTTCGACAATGCTGCGCCATGCAGGTCAGGCCCGGGTATGACAGAGTTTTAGAAGTTGGATGCAGCACGGGCTTGCTCACGGAAGTACTCGTTAAGCAAAGACCGAAGTATCTCTGTGCTGTGGATTGCTCTCTGGACATGGTGCTGAAAACAAGGGAAAGAATAGTTGGACGAGGGAAAGAATGTTGGAAGCACAAGGAGATGCTACAGGAGAAAAAGAACAACGATCATATTAGTAGACCAGAAGATGTTGAAGTAGAAGAAGATACAACTGCTCTTGGTCCTCTTGAAGAGAAGCGCGTATCGATCCAAGTGGCGGACATTTTCCTACAACAAGAACTACATCAAGACGAAACGTTTTTAACAGGGGAAGACTTCACGATGGCTACCCTGGACATAGGCGGCGATCGAGATGCTGATCAAGTTGAGAGCGCTCTCTTCACTCTAATGGCGCGCTTTCCTCGTCTAGAAGTCATAGTGGTAAAGTGCGAGAAGCTCTGTCAACGAGAGGGATTTGAGGAAGCTAAGCTGAAAACGAACAAGGTGGAGAAGGTTCATCGTCGAGGGCAGATGAAAGCGAAGCCCAGTAGAGGAGATCAGAACAAGCGGGCTAGAGAACAGTCTACAAGAAGTACTGCTAGTACTAGTAGCAATGTAGTTCTTGGTGCAGTTCTTGCAGGAGATGGAGTCTACTCTGAGCAAGATCATGATCACGCTCGCAAGTCACCAGAGTTGGTAGCAGGGTCTTCTGCCTTGTTGATTAGTCATGTTCAGTTAAAAAAGAAAAGGCGAAGACAGCGAAAACTCTTGGCGACGGATTCTACGACAACGACCACTTGAGATGGAATTCGAATCCAAAAGGACACATCCCTAATCCAAAAGTACACATCCCTCCCCGCTCCCTTGTTCCACTATCAGCTCTATTTTGCGACATACTTTACATATTTCAAGTACTCGAAAGTCCGAATATTTAAGAGTTTCGATGTTGTGGATTCGAGGACTTCGTCATGGTATAATTGTTCTTGATTGCTGCAAGTACAAGAACAAGGCCTGATAAATGGATGCGGGACGATATTAAGATCATGTTGACAGCAAAACGTGTAAAGATCCGAACAACATAAAGATGTTGTGAGACGGAGAATCGAATTCAAATTTCTCGAGGACATGAACCACATCATACATCAGCCCAAGAAGAAGAAGAAGAAGTGAGGATACTTAGAAGAACCAGAATGTAGTTGATGATTGAGGGATGAGACTGAAACAAGAGATACATCAGCAGAAATTAATGGTAGGAATTGATCGACCTGACTTCGGAATCCCTGTTATGCAGGATTTTGGAGACTCTGCTAAGTAGCACTAGGAGGTGAAGAAGAATTTCACGATAATAGCAACATCATCGACTTCGACCGTGAGGATATCTCTGTTGCATTTTCGACTCGATTCAACCAAACGAGAACAGGAGGGCGGAGACTCTTTGAAGACCTTGAATAGAAACAACTTTAGGAGTGAATCGTAGACACCTGCTATCGCTATCGTGAGATTCCCGGTAATTTTGGATTTTCCACTTGTTTTGACTTAAGTACAGTATTTCTTTTTCTATGTCGTGAAGAACATCAGCCTCTTCAATCGTTTGACGTGTCCCATCTTTAACTCTATAACTACATAAAGAAAAAGAAGAAGAAGAAGTAGAGAAGATCTATATCTATTTACTCTAGTACTGCTACTTCATCTCTCTCTACTCTATCACTTCACTCACAATAACTCAGCCATCACGATCGGATCACCGACTTGAAAACAAACAAATAGATCTGAATCTGTTCAAACAAAGAACCATCACGACCAAAATCATGGGTGGTAACAACAAGAATGTACGGAAACGGGGTGGGGGTGACAGCGACCCATCACCCAGAGGAGGCACGTCCAATGCGGAGTTTGGCACCTTTGGTAAGAAGAACAAATCGAGTTTCTCTGGCTCCCTGCTTGGCGGCTTGTTGCGGTTGCTGGCTAACAGCAGCGCAATCGCTGGCATGCTAGTAGTTCTGATCCCACTGCTGATACACCAGTACGGGGATAGGATGACAGCGCAGTTCAACAAGTGGCAGCACAAGACATTGTGCAAAGTAGGGATTATTATGACAGCACGTTGATCTTGATCCTTTTTATCCACTGCCTCTTCTAGCAATATTTTTTCCCTATGCATTCGTTAATCACCCGGGCTACTTTTCAAATGATCTTCTAATGAGGATCAAGAAGAGTAGCTTCAGAGACAGAGATAATGCCCGAAAATTTCCGCACGTGGTATATCTATTGTCACCATTGTGCGAGTCCTAGTGTGTCGCTGTGGATGTCGCTGTAGATGTTGCTCAAGTCTGGATCTGAAAGCTATTGAATGTGGCTCGTCAGGTTCGAAAACTCGAAATAAGCGAGCTACTGACTGAAATAAGAGAGTCTTGACTACATTCCTCTTCTTTCAGTATCTCCCTTGTTTTCAAAAATAGTTACTCGGTTATTTCAGTTTTTCGAATGTATGCACACCGGCCCTCCTCCCCTCCCCCTCCCCTCTAATTTTCAATCCAAGAAGCAATGCGATCCGACGTCAGGCTGGGTACGAGTCAGAAAAGACAGTGACAATCCCGTCATCTCAAATTTGGCTACGTGGATGAAAGATGAGTGCGAGGCAACGGGTGTGGACAACGTCTACCTAGGAGATTTCAAGAAGAGCAACGGGAAATATGTTAGAGGTACCCTACTGGTATTTAGCAACGTGAAAAAACTTCTTTATAACGTAGTTGTAGTTTGATGTGACTCGTTGTCATTCTTGATATGTTTGGCGCTCTAGCTACTTTCGTTCAACTTGTTCATTCTACAAGAATTTGAAGAGGGAAATCTGAATTGCAATTTTGCAAAAATTAGACACCCCACCAGCACGACCACGACAACTCCTCCTACAACTAGAACTCGACAACAACATCGAACAAACTTACTACCACAACTTGACCACAAAACTACACAACTGCAACAACGATTTCACATGAAAAATCCAAAACATCTTCTCCCTCCCCGAGCAACAACCACTCCCTACCCGAACAACAACCAAAAGGCATTGGCTTCACGAAGAATCTGAAGAAAGGACAATACTTCCTCTGCTTGCCTTCTAAGTGCTGGTTCGGACAGCACAATGCGCCACAACGATACTTGGACATGCAAACGAAGTATCCTCAGGTATGTTGAGCAACTACTTTTACTTGCTGATTAGAGGACTTGGAGGACTCCCCATCACCACAGAATATTAGGTTTAGTACGAGTTTATTCAATACTAGTAATATGGGGCAGAGAGAAGAAGTAGGTGAAGATGAGGAGGGTTCTTACACTAGTTGAGTGGTACAAACACGTGTGAAGACGAGTGAAGACCGTTTGTTCGTTGTCGATCGTTAGAAAAAAATCGTATAGTAGTATTGTATTGTTCGATGAAGACTTTCGGAGGATCCGGACATGTTGCAGCAGCGAGACCGGGAGGACCCAGGAAGGAAAATGGAAAGAGCAATCTGGCAGGACAGTCGCCACATCTTCCACATCTGAAAAACGAGAATCAGAAGTACAAGGAAGTACAACGAAGAATCAGAATCCCACACTGTTATACAATCAGAAAAATTTGGATCCCTCGTTCTCGTCATCGCACCCTCATTCGGAATGGAATCAAAATCATCTCGCACCAAAGCAGGGCGGACCATCGTTCCTAGACAAAAACAGGTATCGGATTTACGAGGTCCCTGAAAGCGAACTCGTACTTTCTTTGTATCAAATCGGGTTGCTGGTTCGGCGAACGCAATCTACCAGCACGATACAAGAAACTGCAAAAGAAGCATGAGGTGACGAAGGAGTTGGAAATGATGGAAGGATGGATAAGGATTAGAGTCCTTCGTAGCGTGATAGAACTGATGTTGGGTCTGACCAATCGACTAATTATATTCGAGCGATCAAGGTGGATGGAACTGGAAGAGTGATGAACGAGTTGGAAATCATGAGTGTCAGAGCGTTCAGTCTCCTCTAGAGCAGCTACCTCAATTCACTATGTTGATGAAAACAAATAGCGCTTCAGGAAAGTACAAGTTCTACTTTTCCTCTCAAAAGCAAACGACACCACCAGCATTGAAGAACATGAACATGCCTCCTAAAAACACTAACCCCAAGTAGTGATTCCTTTCAAATCCCACCACCTCTCTCAGGAATGCGAGACTATCCAGTATGTCATGGCATTGTGGATGGCGGATGAGTTTAGAAAAGGAAGCAAATCCTTCTGGAAGCCCTATTTCGATACCATTCCGAAACAGGTAATCATGACACATTATGACACCCAGTTTTGATGTTTTTGATGTTGCTCACGACCCTACTAACTTTATTCGCTCTTTCTTGCGAATATGATGATTGTTTAGTCTGAAAAATTATGTAATCTGACGACCACAAGAGCGATACCTTTATTTCAATCCTATGATCCCTGACAATAGACGTAAACGTAAACCCACAAGAACAAGAACTTTATTCAACTCTCACAGTCCGAGTACGAAATGTATCACCCCGCATTCTATGAGTCTAGTGGCAAACGCTTCTACCAGAAGTGCTTGGACGAGAACGGTGGTGACAAGTCTAAGTGCGAGCAGCCATGGGACGCACAACAGGATGGGTCCCATCTATGGCGCTTGTGGTACGGCTGGGTAGGAGACTGCTATGACAAGTACTTCTACTTACTAGTAACAACTGTAAGAACTGTCGTTTTGGAAAAAATGATATTGTTTGTACTACTATGCCCCTATGTAAGTCTCTTCATTGCTTTGCCTTTCCTCAATCAATCAACCACGTTAGGAAAAGAAAAATAAAAAAATGACCTCCCAGCACCTGCAGCGGACCAGCTTGAGACATTGCAAGATACCTAATGACTTTTTTCTCATGAAGAGAGAGAGTTTCTTGAATTCTAAGGCCAATGAAAATATTGTTTGTACAACTACGTTTAACGTCCTCGACCTCCACCGAGAGCTTATTTTCATCTCCACCTCTCTCATAGGGCAACGTCCTCTCATTTTACTTCTCATCCGCGGATGCTACCAAACCAGATACGTCGAAGAGTGGAAAGCAGGCACCTGGCACGTCCCGGATGACGAGCCTGGCGCAGACGTGATCAGAAATGAAATGTTGACGGTGGAGGAGGTCAGATTTACCTACGTTCTGACTATGACACGTGATTTCGAGGGTGTAGGAAACTTGCCTTTGATCGATATGCCAAATACGGAGGAAGAGTAAAGATAAAGACTTCTTTGATACTTGTTGCTGATGCAGCTTGTGGGGCAGTTGTTCTTGTTGATGATGGTTTATTTTTTTGCTTTTTCAATCTCATCAACGAAGATGAAACGTTCAAGCCCACCTTCTTTTTTTGTAATATTAACTAACATTAACTAATCTAAAAGGTACAACTCCCACCAGTACTGGTTCGATGACAAGAAGGATAAGTTTTGCCTCCTCAACGAAAAGAATGTGAAGAAGGGAGATGAGATCAACGTCAACTACGCACAGAGCTCCAAGACGCCGTTCATGATGTTCGCGCAATACGGATTCGCGCTGGAGCCGAAGTACCATGCGTCCTACGCCAAGGAGAGCGCGAAGTGCAAAGGTACTTGTGGACGTGGATGTTAGTGTAGTAGTGTGGACCTGGTAGTTAGTGTAGTAGTTGTGGGCTGTGGACCGATCTGGTGTTAGTGTAGTAGTGTGGATGTCGTGGTAGAACAAGAACAAGAAGAACTTTCTTCATCAACGAACAGCAATTTATTTTTGAAATTCAAACATGATCTACTTCACAGGTCTCCAAATCCACGATGATGTGCATAAGAAGCAGAATCCAGTGGCCGAAAACTTCTCGAATTTCGCTATGCGGTACTGCACTCCGGAGATGCTGTCGGATGAGGAGGAGCTGGAAGCTATGGATGACGACTCTGCGTAGGGTTTGGACTAGAAATAGGAAGGGAAAGGGTAGAAGTACCACGACTCAGACTCACTAGTATCACTTCTTGTTCTGGGTCTTTGTCTCATTAGGAGACATGGCTTGTCTCATTAGGAGGCATGGAAGTGTTTTTAGTGGTACTTCTGAAGGTGGTTGGTATCACTAGAGGCTGATGCATAGTGATACTTGTTGTGGCGTGATAATGTTACGAAAGGCGGGTGTCAGGTAAAAGAATTTGACGTTAAGATAGAAGTTTCGTGAAGTAGGAGGGAACCCAGACTAGAACTGTGTTTCTTTCTTTCCAGTTGAGCAATCATGTAGGCTGCTGTGCGAGATCCTTAGTTCATGGATATAATCATGTTGGCTTCTTGATGACTGTAGTAGAGCACTACGCAAGAAAAAATAGCAGAACATCAATATTAGTTGTACAAGTATATGAAGACATAGAGGACGTGACCACCACCACCACCACGCGATCATATGAGTATCTCCCATGATTGGTACCACTAGTATTTAAGTATGTCATGCTGTTCTATTACTAGGTAGTTCTGATAAAAGCAACAGACTAAGAGAACTAGATAACGCTCAGTAGATAAAGATGGATTTTCATGACATCATGAACAACAACTTCAAGATTCGAGTAATATCAATGATACAAACTTAACTAAAAATAGGACCAAGATGAAACTCAGACTTATTCAAAAACGGAACTGATTTCAACAATCAAGCAGAACCTATTCTTATCAATTTCAACAATCAGCAAAAATAGAGCACTAAATTATACAAGACTAAGGTAATCGCAAGCAAGGTCTTGATTTTCGAAGAAAGAATAAAAAGTGGATCCCACGAAGACGTCGAAGTTCCCCTCCCTTGATGATGTGTTGTTTGTACTGTTAGCGTCGTGGTCCTTAGAAGAACAGCTTCATGAGGAGGAATCAAAGCAGCTGCTCGATGAACATCCGAATCTGGTATGAATATCCGAAGTGCCAAAACGGTATAAGAATAAGTACATCGGAGACCAGGTTTATCGAGCAGCCACAAATGTTGAGCTATCACGTCTTCATTGATGACTTCTTGAGTATCAACGGCCGGTCCAGATTTAAGCATCAACAGATGGAGATGAATCTCAGATTCAATATTTTCCTCGATGTAGGACTAGACTTCATCAACCCACAAGGACAACGAGCCCCTCGCTTTGAATTTTGAATTTGTCAAAGCACCTGGACGGCACTGTGACAGCATCAGGATATTAAAATTATGTAACCAAGGAAATGTACCACTTGTTTGCCTTACAACTATCAAGCAAGAAGAGGATGACCCAGAATAAAGACAGAATCAAAGATACGGGACTAGTTCCGCTGTCATCCTGTTCAAGGACTGCGGTAGTCCAACAGCAGCAGAAGCTGTCCCAAAGAACTTCTAGTGTTCGAAAAAACTTGTAATTGTAATTGTTCATGAGTATGAACCAGAGGAGCCGAGCGGATAATCGAGCGAAGTTGAACTTCTTTTTGAGAGCAGACAGACTTCACGCGAACAGAATGTTGTCTTGTAGGAACACGTGCATTATCCCGAACCCTGATTCCTTGATTGATACCTGATGAACCTAAACTAAATACTTATCTCCTTGTTCCTCATCAGGGAAATCCGTAAAACTCAGAAGAGATTCAGGGAAGTCGTAGGACAATCCCGAACCGACTAACGTCATCATCTCCTTGTTCCTCAAATGCTGTCATTCTCTTCACCGAGAACTTCAACCGTCCTTGAATCCAGGAGCATGGAGTGGCATCTTAAGAGCGAGGTACTAAAAAGTGATTCAAGTTGTAGGCGGGTTATCTCCGTCGGTGGAGAGGAACAGGCCAGCTAGCTTCGATGGATGCGTCAGCGGTGGTGTGGCTTTGCGATGTGGTGAGTAGATAACCATTAATCTTCCGCTACAGCGTGAAGCTGAACTTGAGAAGACCGATGATGAATCTTCAAGCCCAGAGTTGCTCAAGTTCCGGCATGAGCCTCAGAATGAGACTCCTATCTTCAAGACCTTCCAAACAAGAACTTTACCACAGTTCTTGTTCCTCACTTTTTTAGCATAAGTACCCGCAATCAGCATCAGTAGGAAGAGAGAGGAGGACTGCGCCGGTCTTCTACCTTTATTCCCTCTATTATCTCCTTCCTTCCGCAGAAGACATCAATCGCAACTCCGAAGAAAAATGTTCGACGGTGGCGCTGGCAATTATTGGGCTAGCTTCTACGCACCTGAGGCTGAAATCACGAAAAAAATCCAACAACCCGAAACTTCAGTCGCTGACATACTTGGGGAAGATTCCTTATTGCAGACATTCCGAGATGACGGGGAACAAGGTGTTTCTTTATGACGTTGTTGCGCATATTCGTTGCTGAGGAGTAGATGCATGTTTGTACGAACTCATAGTACTCAAGAACATCCTCTTTCGTCAAGAACAAGTAGACCACATTAAAGTCTGCTTACCCCGTTCATACTCTTTTCCAATCAACATGATCAACCTCAGAACTCCGACAATGGTTATGCCAAGAGCACCGCGCAAAGGAGCTTTTGAGCTATATCACAGTGGTGCCAGCTGGAGATGCGTCCAGAGACAGAGCTCACAAGTTTCCCTTTCTTGTGTGCGAACTCTTCAACTGCGAGGTTCACGACTTGTTACACACCGTAGCGCATTCGGATGCGCTTTTGTCGTATTTGTTTGCGTTTTTGCTGCGGAGTGAACGCGTGAGTCTTAGTACAACTTCTCCGACTTCTCCGAATGTGAAGTCACCCAGTGACGGGCCAAAAGGCGAGGCTGATGCAAGTAATCCGCAAGACTCTACTGCATCTAGTTCTTTGACGCCACAAGCAAGTGATACACCTGCACCAAGCGACAGCAAGCCAGCTGGTACCGAAGATGGAGAAGCAACTACTAAAGGCGATGATGACCACCCTTCTAAAGAACAAGAAGATACCACAACATCAACTACAGTTAATCCTGATGGTTATGGTGCTGATGCAAAGACGAGGAGTACGTCTACTGAAGGAACAACATCTACTTCTACGCCACCTCCTCCTCCTGTCGTAACAGCAGAAGCAGACAAAGACTTCTCTATAGATGAGAGCAGAGACATGATTGACCTCGCAACTGGCACATCTACATCATCAACTTCAGGAGGATCCTCTTCATACAGTGGATATGACGACGACGATGATGTGAATCCTGTTCTAGCTGGATACTTTTGCAAAGTCGTCTCACTACTTTTGCTCCATTTCCCCGACAGACTAGGACCGTTTTTGAAAGCAAGGATTGCGGAACTGTTGCAGGCTTTCTTGCGATGTATGCATTGCCGGTCGATTTTGGAGCTGTACACCCGCATGCTGACGACAGAAGACTTGCACTTCCCATCGGCGGTCTTTGTGAGGGAGATGTTGCAGAAGCATGGGAGCTATCATTATGTTGAGAGGACAGTTTGGAGGAGTGCTCGTTACACAAGCTGCAGAAAAAATCAACAAGAGGCAATAGGCACCTCTAGAAGGTACTTGTTTACATCTAATCCCCAGAGATTCCGCATTTACTCGACGACTTGATGTCGCAGAAAGAAAACCTGCATGACAAAGGGAGGTCGATCCTGATCGAGTTAATACGGTTTGGACCTGCCAGGTTGCTGTGCTCGGAGGACCGAGATCAAGTTAGTGCTGCGGTCAGTCTGTGCAGCAGCATCTTTCAGATCTGCTTGGAAGACCGTACCTCCACTACTTCTACTTTTCTCTCTGTGTTACCAACTCGAGCAACTTGAATTTTCTGTAAAGGCTCCACTTTGAACACATTCGTTCCAGTAGCAGTAGTAGAAGCAACATCAAGTTGTAGCATGTGGAACCATTCTTGTTGATTCCCAAGAATTATACCTCAGTCCGCTACGACGATACTTCTCCCGGATGCCAGACCTATCCGTACCACGAGGACGAATACTACGACGATACTCACATCGAAATTGCACTGGAAGAGCCGGATGATGCTGGCATGGTCGGTCGAGAAGGAACGAAAGAGGAAGAGCATCATGTGCCTGAACTCGATCCCTTTGCCGTAGACCTAGAGGGAGGCTCACCTGAGAGGGAAGAAGACGAGCACCATGGAGAGGTGCCGTTGAGCGAGAAACAGCTGTCGGATGATGAAGTATGGTCCGGTGCACACGACGATGTTGAGCTGCCGGAGACGTCAAACATTCATCTGGTTGCGGAAAATATTAGTGGTGATGCACCCGGCGCGCCAGGGGATTGTACGAAATCTAAAGAAGGGACGAGCGATGACTGTGGATCAACCACTGCTGCAAGTACTTCAGGTGCAGTAGTTCCATCAGAAAAAGACAGCAACGACGCGGCCACGGCCTCTGATAGTGCTTTACCCGCCTCCAGTACTCCGGCAGATGAGGAGTCCACAGGATCAGAACTAGACGCTTTAGCAGATGATACTTCGTCTGATGATCCTCGCTCTGATAGTTCATCCTCCAATGTCAGAAGAACTGGCAGCTTTTCTCCCTCAAGTTCTAGGTCGAGGAATATCGCTCCGTCGTCCTCTACAGGCGGTGATGCTCTAGGACCAGACCAACCTGAGCTACCTCCTTGTTCTCTAGTACTAGAGAATCAAGACGCGTCATGTGTCACTAACGAGCTTGAAGTGGCGTTCCATGAGTTTTTGGCTGCTTTTGAGGCTTCGTTTGACGACATCAGTAAGCGGATGGACGTCTTCATCTCAAGAGCTAGGAAATTGGATAAAGCAGACTATGTTCCGAAGGTTGCGAATATAGCAACATCCGATGCAGACTTTGCTCTGAAGGTTGAGGACATAGGGACATCCGATGAAGAACCAAGAGCAGTGGTGAAAGAAGCTCGTAAGGCTAACGTTCAGGAGATGAAAAGCGTCGACAAGAAGAACAAAATCGAGTCTGACATCGTAATAGCAGGTGACGTAGATCTACTCCTCGCAGAGGATGAAAAGAAACAGGGAACGTCTACCACCTCGCCTTGCAGTGACCAGACGACAATAGGAAGTGGCGCCGAAGCTGCTAGCGTTGGGACGGTAAAGGAATCGTCGAGTACCAGTTCGACTTCGCTGGAGCTGTATAACGTGTTCGAGTTGGTGTGCTTGTTTACGTCTTTTGTGACGTTATGAATGGACGATTACGATTCAGCAAATACGCAACAACTAGCCTCAAACAGAAGAATAAGGATTTGACTTTCACCAGATGACCATTTCCCTGTCGATTTCAGATGACCTAAATATCTGCTCTGCTATCTCTAACTTCCGCCGCTTCCTCCCTCACGGCAGCACGCCTGTCCGTCCTCCTAACCAAAAAAGTGCCACAAAAAGGGATTGAGCTGTTCTTCCTACGACCATGGAACAGCATACTTCATAACAACATCGTACTGTTGTTAAGGGGGATCCTGAGTTCGGACGCATTGGCTGCGGAGCAGAAACATTTATTCTTGGAGGAGACCGACTTCATTGCCAAGGCAGCGGATGCATTAGGCCCACCCCCACCTCGGGACATGGAGCCAAAAGTAGCAGCGTCGAAATTTCAAAGGAAAGGTATCCATTTGCATGCGAAAGACCATTTGTAGCCATTTTGGCGCAGGTTTGGTAGCACTCCAACCAGGTACGCAAACCGTTCAGAAAGCCTCTTGCTGACGGGTCGCGCTCCGACTCTCGTCTTTCAAAAAGGTGGGGCGTGGGTCTGCCAGCCTGAGCCGAAAAGGAGCGCGCCCCCTTTCAGGCCTCCCTGGTGTTGGTCTTTTCGAAAACGTGCAAGAGGTAGAGGGCTACGGCTGCGGAACTGAGACAGGGGAAAACAGGAGTAGGGGGCGCGGCCCGAAATCAGCGAGAAAGACAGGACAAAAAGCCGGCAAAGCTATACGCGCGGCACCTCGCGTCGATGTGTGGAGGGGGGCCACGGATCGCCATGACGCCAGCGGCGCCGGCAGTGAGTGTTTGGCCTTAGGTTGGCCCAGATGGGCCAGCGCAACCCTTCCACTGAAAGCCTTTGCCGCGTTGCTGTCTGTGGGGCGGGCTGGTAGTGTTCTGCACAGTTGTCGCCATGCATCGGCTAGCATGCACCTGGATGAGCGCGCGCACTTCTCGCGTGGCTTATCAACACTTCACCCACCAAAGCGACGGCACCAGGCCAAATCGGTCCGGAGTCTGGCTGATTGAGCTGGCGCGCCTCGGGTCATGGCTTGGCGTGAAATATGTCCAGGCGGAACCTGGCTTCGACTGGTCTCCTGCGCGAGGCGACGGAGCGCCATGAAGCGGAGAAAGATGTATTGGTGAGAATGAACGCCAACGCACAGACCGCGCACGGCTGAGCCCATGCGTGCCGTGACTCTACTCCCCCCACAGTGGAGAGCGCCCGCGGCTTACTGGACCAAGCTGCGGCTGGCGTCTTTTTAGAGCTGGCAGATTACTCCTGAAGCCTCACAGGTGGAGGCTTTGAGGTTTGCGCGCAGTCTTGTGGTTTCTTCTTTGCGTGTCTCTTCGTTCGGTTGCCGCACGTGGTTCGGCCCCGCTGGGGTTGCTGGCTCCTTGTCGGATTTTGGTAAGATCGTGCGGGGAGGCTCTGCCGCGTGAGTGCATCGCTTAACCTTGTGGGGGCTGGTTTCTTTTAGTGGTGGCGGGGTGGTCGTGTGTGCTTTTTGAAGTGTGTGGGCTGTGGGACATTCGTCGCCAGTTGGTTCGGAGCTTTGCATGCAAGGGCAGGCTAGCTTAGCCAGCTACGGCTCTGGCGCTGGGCCACGCTGGGCAGGCTTCCCGCTTCGGTTCGCCGGCGCGCGTACGTTGGCCAGCATGTGCTACTGGGCGCGGTACATGTTTTTGCGATGTACATGGAGGGAGATAGGCACAGAGCAGAGGTGGTCGAGGCTGATGGGGCTTGCCGCTTCTTCGTCTTGATCGTCTGTCGCCGCTGGCTTAGTTTTTGCGCCATTTATGTGGCCACTTGTGTTGGCTCAGGCATGGACGGCAACAGCTTTCTTCTACCGAATTCGTTGCGTTTAGCGGGAGGGCGCGCTGCTGTTGGTTCTTTGCCAATAAAAATGCTAAAGGCGCGCACAGGTGGCCCCTTCTGCCTCGGTCTCACTCTTGCAGCAGGGAAGATGCATGAAGGGCCGCGATGCTGAGCGCTAGGTACGTAGGTAACTGGTTGAAAAAAGCAAGGGGTCCCGCAGAGGAATAGAGAAGCTTGAGGTTTGCAAATGTAATTATGGTAGGCCTTGCCCGGCCGCGGTCTCCCGACTTTTGACTCTGGTTGGTTGCCTCTAGAGATATGCTATGGTATTCGTTTCTTCTTCTAGGAATCCTCTGACTGTCTGATCTTTACAAAGGGCTTAGAAGTAGTTCCACGGCTTTCTTTTGCCAGCCTGTTTTTGTTACGAGGAACTACTTCCTCGTCTCCGTCTCGCTGAAGATGGTAGGAGCAAGATGGCCATTCGAGTCGCATGATGATGTAGTGGTCGATAACTGAGTCGAACATCCTAAGATATTGATCCTGTGTGTCCAAACGAGAAACAGAACGCAACATCAGGTTACTACCCCCATCTCATGGAGATGATAGAAGATTTGGAGGCCTGGAGCAATTACACTCTAGCAGGGAGCGGTAGGCAAGATTACCTTTTGTGTCTGGAGCATTTGTCTTGGTGGAAAAGGGTAATAATGGCCCACCAGAGGAGTCCTCCGCATTCCGCAGGCAGCACCAATCAACACGACGACGTAGACATCACGTTGGCGATGGACGGGAGTGGCGCGAATGATAATATTTAGGGCAACAACATGTCACCGATACCGTGTCTTTTGAAAAACAAAGACGGACCCCCACGCTACCGTACTTATAAGATCTTACTCAATCTTAATACATGCAACTCCTGGAACTACTACGGTGTAAATCTCCTGTCAATTATCTCTCACTCTCTCTAATCCCGGCTTCTTCTTCCCTCTCTCGGAACAGCGACAAGTGGGAATATCTTACCCTCATCAGCAGAAGCAGACGACAACGATATGAAGGCTTCATCAGCTACAGGAGGTGGCATTGGTTGTTCTGGTGGTCTGAACAGTGGAGAAAACATCAACATTCTAGGTGGAAGATCAGGCGAGATAGAACGACTAGTGGAGGAGGATCAGATCATAGAACCAGGAGGTGGAGCTCAGGAAGATGCTGGCTCGTTCTGGGCCACAACTGGTTCTGCTTTTTCAGCAGCGACAGAGAGGACCAGTAGTAGCGAAAGTGACAGAAGACCCGACTTGTTCGCGTCCACATTTGTTCAAGGGGAAGATCCGGTCGCAAGCGGCACCGATGCTGCAGAAAGTTCATCCACATCGACGCCTGCAGGTTCATCTGCTCAGCCTGAAAATCAAGGCTCCGCTTTTTCCTCCTCTTCTGACCCTGAGCAGCTCTACGAAGAGCCCCAACGTGGAGGAGCATCATCAGTCTCCTCTTCGACAACAGCCGACCATGTCCGAGTCTCACTGAACAACCCTGGGAGTGGAGTACGTGGCTCTGCGATAGAGCAGTACCATTTGCCGGCAACGGATAGCGATGAGGACTTTGAGATTGAGCATAGGGTATTCGATGCCAGAGGTGAATCGGGTTCGGGTTCGGGTTCGGGAGGAGGGGCTTTGTCAGTTGAGAGGCATGAGGCATGGACAAGTGTGGACTTCAGGATATTGCCGTTGGCTGGTATTTCTCCATGTTGTACTTCTTCTTAGGAGTGAGTTAAATTTTCATGCTAGTAGTATGTGTTGATTCAATTTCAAATTTTAATTTTGAAGTTCTTGGAGCTATACTACGGTACAACCAATTGTTCTACATAATTCGAAATCCACATAAACTTCAACAACAGCAGCATCTACACATCCACTTCACCAACAGCAGCTCCAGACCCGATAGCCGACAGCCTCCAGGGTCTTGTTATGCCTAGCGCCGGACACATCAATACCGCTTCAGGTTCACAGTCCACTCCTGTTGGGTCATCAGTGTCTCCCCCTGGGTCCACGTCTGCCGCGACGGCGCCCATAACGTCTCCTGCAGTGTCTCCCCCTGGGTCCACGTCTGCCGCGACGGCGCCCATAACGTCTCCTGCAGTGTCTCCCCCTGGGTCCACGTCTGCCGCGACGGCGCCCATAACGTCAAGCGCAAAAGCCTCTACTGCTGCAACAACCTCTACTGCTGGCCGCGCGCCATCTCCACGAGTGAAACAAGGACAAGGACAGAGCACTGCTCTTGCACAAGGACAAGGACAAACACAACTACAGGGAGAGCGACAAGTCTTATACGGAGGACGTCGTAGTAAATCTAATGAGTCCCCGATGTCGTCGCCTATGATGGGCAGCACTGGTTGTTCCGGATCCTTCCCAGGAGCTGCGGCAGGGGCAGGAGCGTTTGCAGGTTTGGTGCAGATTATGAAAATATTAGAAAAATCTTTTCACGCAGTACACTTTATTCCCCATGTCTCCTACCAACTGTTGAGAGCTCTTTCTGATCCTTCTCTGCCTTCATGAATCGGAGAAGTAGCAGTCGAAGTTCCACCTCTAGCGGCAGTTCTCCCGGTTCTAGAGGGCCGTCGCCACGTGGCGCGCCACCTTTCGGTTTACCATTCGGCAAAGTAGGCTCACCACCTGCAAGCGATGCTGGTACAAGTGGAGGAGTCCAACATCAACAGTTATGATTTAATTATTGCATTTGACAACATTCTGACTGTTGAGTACCTGTGGAGGCAACTAATGTTGGATTATTTCTCCCCGTCTTCCGTGTTGTATCTAGAATCTTTGATCTTTCTGTTTCTGACACTTACTCTTTTTACCCAAGTAAAGGGAACCCCCCCTAGTACGATCACCTCTTATTTCTTCTTTTCCACATCTAAGTTGTTCCCTCCTTCTCGGTCCCGCTGGCGCTCATCCTGCTCCTGGCGTTGTTGCACCTGGAGGTTTTGGAAGCATACACAGTCCTTTGAGACTGAAATCTCCACGTGAGTCCTGCGGCTCGAATATGTCGGATGAGGAGCTTCTGACTCACGACATTGATGGTCTAGGTCTCGATTTCATTGCAACGAACGATGAAGTGCCTCAACTGTTTGGCGGAGCAGCCTGGAACCTAAACTTGGCTACGCCGTCTGCGTCGGGGACGATAACGGGCGGCGTCGGAGGGACGTTGGGGCTGCTGGGTCCGCCGCTCGCGGCTGGGGCGGGAGGTACAACTTAAACCAGAATCTGACTTCATTCGTCGATATGGATACTACCTTTTCCTTTACTTCTTCACTACTGGCGTTATTTCTCTATAAAAGAACAAGCTTCATAATATTACATGCAGCGAGTGCAAATCGACAACCCTATTTCTATCAGGTGGCTCAACGCTTGTTTCAAGCCCAAAGGGAAGTGAAGGACAAAGCCCAAGAGTAACTCCACCTGCTGGCCGAACGCAGTCATCACCTAAGGCAGGCACTTGAGAGATAGGTTACGCAGCCGGCTTTTCAGCTTCAACTGCATGCGGCGTAAACGGTTGATGGTGTTGCGGATCGTCGTGCACCGTCTGCTTGATCTGTTCACAACGGCAACAGGTCGAAGTGAATACTTAGATACGTTTTTTGATAGATGAAAAAAAAAGTAGTGATGATACTGTGGTCACGTTCACCGATGTTCTAATTCTGTGAACTCACAACTTAGTGAGAAGTCTAAGGCTGTTACTTGACGAATGTTCTGTCCTGTTCCTGATACAAGAAGTTTGAAAATTCAATATAACATAAACATTATTATACTTAGTGTCTGAACATATAGCATTCTCGGTATGACTGTGACAGATCTATTTGGTTGGCTGTCATACTCATTCTGAAGAATTACATATTAGACATCTATCATACGTTTAATCAAGTTGCAAAACCAATCTGAAATTTTACATCCTGTTTCAACAGCTTACAACTTTTTGATAGAGTCTTACAAGTGCTGCTAGAAGCCAACACTTGGTCGTTCGCACATGGATATTCTAGTGCTGACCTCATGCTACTTGAAATTTTGAAAGTAAGTGAGATCTGCCAGTTCCGATGAAAAGTCACGACTGGAGGCTTGGAGGCGTGTGCCGGGAGAAGGAGTTTTCTTTCACTTGATATGACATGGCACGGATCTTTTACTTTGTCGCATGATATCCCAAAAACAGATGTGATCAAACGGCGACAGAGGAGCCTTAATATTATCTATCGTTCTGAAGTAGATCTTCAGTATTAATTTCTCTCATCATGAGAAGTATAAGTATCTACTTCATCTTGTACTATGTGAGAACGCATTATAAGCATATATCGGATCATGATCTCGATTTTGAAATCGATTCAACATGACCGCAATCTCCTTCGTCCATCCAATCTACAACTACAACTACTAAAGAACTCTATCTTCAGAGCAAAAGTAATGACGTCGGCTCTTTCGACCTCTGCTGCTCCACAGCGCAGTCGCAGGTGTGCAATCGATATCGGAAGCGGCGTTACAAAGTTTGTGATCGCAGAAGTTCATCTTGCCAATGAAGAAAGTAGTGCTTCTACTGTTGACACCGACAAGAGGACCAAAAGAGTAACTGTTTCATCCGAGCTCTTCTCGGGTGAACGTTCTGTGCCGTTTGGATTGGCCTGGAAGCAGTTTAACAAGCTGACGCCTGAAGTATGTGATGCTGGGATTCATTTTTTGACGCAGGTGAAGAAGAAATTTAAGAGATGCGTATGTCTGCCAGTTTTTCTGGTAGGCCCACACCTAACCTAACCTAAAAGACCACTCCGACCACTGATTTAGAAGACCAGAGGTCGGAGTGGTCTTTTAGGTTACTTGATCATTCAGACCATTGATCATACACCAGAGAGTAGTACTAGTACCTGTCCTGAAGAAAAGATGATCTTCTTTCCTAACACTCTACTAAGAAAAACCTAACCACTAAAAGACCACTCCGACCTTGATCATACACCAGAGGGTAGTACCTGTCTTGAAGGAAAGATGATCTTCTTTCCTAACTCTAAGAAAAGCGAGGAACTTGAAGTCGACGATATCTTCGCGATCGGCACCGAAGTGTTTCGGAAAGCCGATGGGAGTGAAGACTTCCTCAAAAATGCGAAGGAAAAAACAGGCATTTCTTTGGAAATTGCGTCGCAAGAGTCGGAAGCAAAATTTGGCTTTCGTACTGGAAAGGCCACATTAGATCTCGAGAGTCAGATGATGGAGTTGGAAAAGGCGAAGAGCAGACTTCAAAACGGGAATGGTAATGGTCATCAAGAAGTACAAGGAGGTGGTGCAGAACTAGATGAACAGGCCACAATCACCCATGTCAAATTTAGTCCCGCCGACTCCGACAGAAGCACATCACCAGTATCATCAGATAACCGAAGTAAAGAAGAATCAAGTACTATGACAGGAAAAACAACTGTGCCCATACTCAAGAAAAGAGGCTTTTTCCTACTTAGAAAGTGCCTAGTGCTTTCTCGAGGATGAGTACTACACTTTTTCCTTTCATAAGTACCGTGAAAGTGAATGAATGCAACCCTGGCTTTGATATGTGGAGTGAGGGACATAGGACAGTACGGGCTGGACAACGGCACTTGAGTTTGCCTCTTTCTTCGATTGCGACTGGGAGTGATCTCGCAGCTGATTTAATAGTGTACGACAGTGGAGGTGGCTCATTTCAGATATTGAAAGATCCTGGCTCTTCCTCGTCTAGTACCTCGTCGAACAGTGACGCGAAGAACAACAAGAAAAAACAATACCTTGGCACCTACGGTATTGCACACGCTACTCGCGACTTCCTAGAACTGCTTCTAGAAAGACGAAAAAATGGTACAAGCACCAAAGAATGGCGTGAAAAAGTCGACTTGCGGAATGCGGATCCTTATCCAATCACAAGGAAGGAAGCTGAGGCGTACTTAGAGAGGGTGGCGAAGAATACTTTTTCTTTTCCTAAGGCTCCTACAAGAAATCCCCCATTTTCAGAGCCATCTTGCTGGTCTCGTTTCTCGATGAGAAAGGGAAAATGAGACTGCGCCGGTCGTGTGGATTTCTCCCAGTAAGTTCTAATTTCCCTAGCGCACAGTTCAACCAAGCATCTGGCGATGACCAAGAGCAAGACTCTTCCTGGCTCAAGGAGGAAGAAGTCCTCGGCATAGGTGGTCCTGACGGTATATTTCGCGTTGCCGGAGACTTGGTTGGCAAACCGTTCTTCTCTTATACAAGCGACGAACTGCGTAAGGCGATCTTGTCTGAGGAGAAATTCCTAGGCAAAAGCATGGACTGGCTAACCAATCAATACTGCAATTTCCCAGGTGCAGAGAGTGCGCTGTACTTGTTTCCTAAGGCGTGTAGCTTGTTAGTGGTGATGGAGCACTTGAAGTTAAGGCTGTAGCTGATGCATCTTCGACTGCATCCCTGAAACGTATGGGGGAGCATCCCAGTGCGATACGCTGGCATACAACTTTTCAAGGATGCAGATGCGCTCAAGATGAATCACGGGGAAGAGCGTTAAGGAAGCTGAAAAGAGTGCATTGGCGACCATGTGTGGGGAGCTGTTTGGGGATGTTGTTGAGTACAAAATGAGCATATATGCCAAGACGAGTGTGAAAAATAATGTTGACTGAAAGTGTATTGTTCATCTTCCTGAGCCATATCTTCAGAGAAAAATTGCACGCGGCTGGATAACGGCACGATATTGGGTACCGATATTTAAGTAATGTCCTCAATAAAATGGAACCGATTCTGCGGCATCATCAACGAAGGAATGTGATCGACCTGCCCATGGTGATGACGATGATCGGTTTCCGTGTTCGTCCCGGCTTTTAAATGTTCAATCGGTCGATTCCGATCGCGTCCGTTTACAAAGATGAACATCACGAAAACTATGTAGGCCTAAAGGACGTCGAGGTAGGAAAGAATTAGTGAGCTTGCTGGTGAAGTGAAATTTTTAGGGGGTCCATAAAGAAGTGGCGCACTGAGGCGTCTTTTTACGTGCTGACCCCACGCAGCAGGGTCACGCTTTTCATTCAAATTTAGAGCGCATAATTCTAGAAGGTCAGTCCGCTTACTTGTAGAACTTAACATCCTCAAATCTGACTTAACATTCTCAAAACCTACTTACTCAAAAGTGGCTTCTTCGAAATGCCCTGGCCTAGCTGATTACCAAATACCTAGTGGGTCTCTTTTGAACTGTTCATAGATAAGAAAAGCTATAATATCTTCAACCGTATATTATGGAGTAGCTAATACTTATAACAGAGTAGTTTATAGCACGCATGGTGCATGGAGTAGCATGGAGTGCATGGAGCGCAGAGCTCTGAGGGGCGCAAAAAGCTCCCCCTTTAGCTCCAAGAAGCTCCCCCTTCAGCTCCATGCTGCTCCATGTGATCCATGCACTCCATGCCATGCGAGCTGTGGGTCCTTATATATAAACTGCTCTGTTATAAATAGCGACACTTGTTGTAACTACGAATGCTTACAATCTGAGTAGAAAACATGCTGCATCTAACTGGAGTTTCTCCCCCCCATCTCATTTACTACTTGGTAGAGCGCTTACATAGAAATAATAATGATTATATACGCTTTTAGTAATAAAACTCCACATATGCAGATGATAATTGTGCATAGACTTAACTTAAGTATAGTCGTCCTTACGGCTACTTGCGTGGTCCGGCGACTGAGTAGCCTAGTAGGAAGATAGACAGAACTAGCTTGAGGATGCTGCTTCACTGGCTGCACGCGTCGCCTGGCGGTAGGTAAGTATAGCATAGTAAATAGATACTACACAAAGCACTACTAGATACCAAGAGTAGATAAATAATTGATAAGGCTCGGCCGCACTAATTAACGCGATCTGAAGATGAAAAGTGTATGTTTGACTGTTGTTTCCCCGAGTGACTAGCTTTAGAACTACCCCACGCTGCTACGATGCTATGTTGTGTTCCGCTGGTGTAGTCGAAATTCTGCGTCTTGCTTGTGCTGGAAATAAATTCTGCCGTGCTGCTACTCAAAAATAATAACAAAATGAAAATCTAGAAATCAAAATAACGATAGCATGCCCTAAATAGAAAGTGAATAGACGTCGAAAAACTGGCGTGCGGAATCAATGCGGTCATTCTATGTTTGAATGTGATGCTGGAGGTGAAGATAAGCGTGGGAATGAAAAAGATGAAGAGGTGAAAAACTGTGATGTTGCTGCACTAAGTAACGGCGATATTAGAAGGGATGATGGTGATCATTAGGAATTTTCAGATTATTGTTTTCTTGCCCTCTTGGACTTCCGGGAAAAAGCAAAAATAAAAGGAGTAGAGCTTGAAGACAAAAGCAAGAGGATGCAACCTCCAGAGGAAGAGGATGCAGCTTCCGTTCCTCTAGCGGGAGGAGCTCCGCTATTCAGACATGGACTACCATCTTCCTCCACTCCGCTAAACTCGAACGCCCTCGAACACCGAATCATGAATCTCGAGGTCCAACTGAAACAAGTTCTAGGAGTGTATGGATGAAGATTGTATTGTATACTTACTTAGGTTTTTTCATCTCTGATTTAACAGACCCTCGAATCGACGATGGTCTGGCTACTTGGATGGACCACGACATGGAAAAAAAAACCTTCTTGTTGTTCTAAAAGATACGAACCGTTCCGTTGGAGCGTGAGGTGACGAAGCTCCGCGCTAGGGTGTTCGATCTCGAACAGTTGGGTAAAGAAGAAGGCAACGCAAGGTTAGAGGCGATTGAGGCAGCTAAGGTGGCATTTTCGACGCAGTTGCAACAGTTGTTATGAGTAGATATTGAGGAATTTTTACTCGATGTATGATAATTTAAATGTTGAGTTTAATTTTTACAGTGCTGCTGCTGACGATGTGACATTTGATTGAACAACTTTCTTCTTGAGATTTATCTCAAAAACTTGATGAGAAGTGCAAGTGTCCTCCTTTCAGCATTCATCTCCATGATGTTTACCTCTAACTGCGCAATCCGAAGCCGTAAAGTTCATGCAGGAAAAGGAGAAAGTCTCGAATAGTTTCATCGCTGTCCAGCAACACCTTGCTGAAGGACAACAACGCGTAGACACCCTCTCCAATCAGCTGTTTGGTGAGCAAACAACCATGCGACAGGGTATAGACTTGATGCGATCGCAGCTAGAGCAGATGCAAGCTGAAACGATGCGGCGTTTAGCGGTGATGCAAGAAGAACAACGGCAGTCAAGAGCAAGAATGCAAATGCAGATAGAAGGTATTAATGTACATGTACTAGATCATGAGAGGAATTATCAGAATCAGAGTCAAGAAGTGCAAGTAATGCAGAAACTGGAGGCAATCGAGGCAAGGCAACATCACGATCGAGAAGATATTAGAAACATCTTGCTTGCAGAAAGAAGAGCGAGACAAATCGAAATTAAAGACGTGGCAGCACAGATTGTTGCGAAAAGACTAGCGTCTTTAAAAGAAGAGCTGCTCATTTCCTCGAAGGGGCAACAAGGACTTCAAAAAGGGAAGATCGGCGATGCCGCGGCTTCTGCCGAGGGTGCAAATCACGAAGGATGCAATGTCAGGGGTGCAATGCTGCACGAAGGGTGCTGCAGCAATGCCGCTAGAACTGCCGAGGGTGCAAAAATGTCAGGGTGCAAAAATGTCAGCCCGTTTTCCGGTGCAGCTAGAAACGACGCAGTTACAACAGGCAAAGTGGAAGACCTGTTGCATCTGCCAAAATCTGGTGATCGTAACGGAACCCCTCCAACATCAAGACCAGAGCAGCACATGCAAAGGCAGCAGGATCATGAAGAGCATACTCATCAGAGGAACAACGAAAAAGATGAGCAGGAACGACTAGTAGAGGATGTGGACCCATTCGCTTTTGCCCGCGATACTATTACGGCTCAGCTTTCATGGGTCATTGAGGTTAGTCACTGAGATCGAAGAGGGTCTCTTCTTAGAGAAAACGTACTACCGGAAAAGGAAGGGGAAACAAAGGGAGAGGCGTGGGGCCCTTTTCACTCAGAATCAGTGACCACTGATTGCTGACCTTTAATACTACTTCGTGTTTCTCGACGCGCACATGTGGGCGAGAAGATTTTAGTTCTTCAGTGGGGAGCAGTCCTCCTCTCAAACTCCTTAGTGTCCCTGTTGACCACACGCTAAATTATTTTGCTGAAGCTGTAGATGATGATACTCCTGTGCAGGACGGAGAGGACGAACAGGAAAATCAGCCGTTTGGGCGGGGAGTAGAAAGAGGAGCAAAGCAAACAGTATCGTCCTACCAGGATAGTGCTAGTTGCTCCTCGGGGCTGGGAAGAGAAGCAGATGAAGCAAAGCAAACAGTATCGTCCTACCAGGATAGTGCTAGTTGCTCCTCGGGGCTGGGAAGAGAAGCAGATGAAGCAAAGCAAACAGTATCGTCCTACCAGGATAGTGCTAGTTGCTCCTCGTGGCTGGGAAGAGAAGCAGATGAAGCAAAGCAAACAGTATCGTCCTACCAGGATAGTGCTAGTTGCTCCTCGTGGCTGGGAAGAGAAGCAGATGAAGCAAAGCAAACAGTATCGTCCTACCAGGATAGTGCATGTGCAAGTGCTGGCGTGGTTGAGGATGACAGCAATACGAGTGATCCTGAAGAGTCTAGACTAGAGGGACAGGCGTCAGCGTCTGGTGAACGTGAAGCCAAAAGGAGAGGGGAAGATGAAGTACTAAAGCATGTGCTGTCAACAAGCAAGCCTAGGGCAGTGGCTCAGACTCATCACCAGCACCATACTTCTGCTTCAACTTCGAGCACTACTCCCTCTTCATCTGGGAGGCCAAATCGCAATCACATTCAGCAACATCAACAGGGACAGATGAATTTGCCTGTATTCGCGGAGCCGCACGCCATCTATCCTCAGCAAATCCTACGATATGGGAATACTGTAGTGAGAGCACCAGGAGGAACTTAACATCTTCCACAGTATCGTCACCTGCTGCGCCGTCCTTCGTCATCAGGCCCTGGGATGCATGCCCTTCCCTCGTGCACCACCTACGAAGCAATATGTACCACGACCTGCACCTCGAACACATAGACGTACCAACGCTATCCTCACCTTCCAGTATTCATCTTGGTACACATGAAATACGTACTGGAAGGTGACGAGGATAGTTGTACTGGACAGTGTAGTCTTGGTACTAATTGGTTATCAGTATCGAACAAGGGAGACCACCACCACACCCCTCGCCTTTATTTCCTGCCAGACAGCCAATCTGGAAGGTGAGGATAGTACTTTTTTTTTGGTTGATAGTCCTCGGGGTCAGCTCTTGCATCATGGAGATAGAAATGGAGGCGGCGCCGCTCTTTCAGCTTCACTCGGAGTTAATACTTCTGTGATGCTGATGAATGACTCTTGTAGAACTACACGACAGTTTTTGCACAATAAATCCATAAGGAAGAAATAGAAGGGTAAAAGACAGTAATTTCTGCTTCTGGCCGCGATGACGGACAGGTGTTCATCCACATTCCATTCGTTCTTGGAGCGAGATGAAGCCACAATTTGGAGTTACAGACTCACGCCTACATGAAACAACTGCAAGATGAGCGACTGTGATATCATCTACTCGATGTGAAAACTGTGACATCATATATCCCATCTGACGAACAACTCTTAGGACCAATTACTATTATTATTTGCTGTCTGCTAAACTCAACAATCTTCAACCTAAAAGTAACACTAACAAAAATCATCATATAAGTAGTTAGAGTTAGACATTCTATCTTCATCTACTTTCATTCATATATTACATATTTATTCTCATCCTCCTGTACCTGTTGTAGCTATACATGTTATTGTTAGAAAACATAATCTTGATTCACTAGATCATTTTCCACTTCTACATCAGTAGAAAAAGAGTCTACGCCATTTTTGAATTTGCTGAATTTTCCACAAGCGAACTACAACATCGTGGACGCTTTCCCTGCACTGCGGCACACCACATATCAACAACGAACAGGAAAGAAAGATGTCAACATCTCGTTCTGCGCAAGCTCTACCTCTGTTCTCGTCTGCCAAGATGATGCTCCATCTCTTGCCCTGCTTGTTCCAACTGCAGCTCTGGGTAATACCAATATCTACTCTTCTTGATGTCGGACAACCTGGTCTTGCACTCCAACCTCGAAGAAACTCAGCTACAGGTAGTAGTAAAAGTAATCATGGTACAACTAGCAGTACTTCTGGTACTCCACCAAATTTCGGAATCGGAGGTACAACTTCAACTTCTCCTCAACAACAAAATGGATCGTGGTGGAAGCCCTCACTGCGTCACAAGCCACGTCCTGGAGGAGGGATGGGTATGCCTGTGTCGTCTGAAGAGGAAGAGGCTCACACAGCGGATCCGCAAATTGTGTCCCTTCAGTCCTTTGACGATTTAAGCGAAGATTAAGGCTACAACATCCTCTTCAAGCATCCTCTCTCAGCATCAATCTATCATCCTACCTTGCTTCGGTCCCTGGGGGACATCTTTTCTAATTATCATCCTACCTTGCTTCGGTCCCTGGGGGACATGTTTTCTATACTTAATAGATACTTGAAAAAGTAGAGGCCCATTGATCTTCAGGGAGAAGATATGCCTGTCAGGATGGACCCGTGGATGCTAATAGCGTCTAAAAAGATCATGGCGAGACTAACGTAGATGGCTCTTCCTCTTCGCATACTTCCGACATCAAAAATGATTTGCGCGAACGAGAATTGGAATTACCGGATAGAAGAAGCTCTGTAGTAGAAGAACGAGAAGAGGTTCTTGACAGGACATCAATATATGATAAACCAGAAGTTGTTGTTGGAGTACGAGAGCAAGGACGTCGTACCCCTCCGTCGAGTCTCCTAGAGGCATTTTTAGATCATGGTACCATTGCTCCTGCTGCTGGTTCTCCCTCGTCAGGATCTAGCCATACGACTCCTGCGTCGTCTGTGAAGTCGGGTGCTCTTTTGGAAACTGGCCTCTTTTGGAAACCCAAATTGCGACATGAAGATGAAGAAGAAACTGCTATGGATGTGGATCTTCATCATGGAACTCGAACTCGATCTTCATTATCTGCAAACATAAAAGATGAGGTGGAGTCAAGTGCACTAGGAGGACCAGGCCATGCAGCAGCAGCTGTACAAATGCCTCCTTCATCTCCTGGTGGCGAGACCTCATCCTCCCGAGTGAAGAGTAGAACATCTTCACCTGCCGTCACTCCAACGCATACAACATCTTCCCCTGAAACATCTCCCACCTCAAACATGGGTGAAAAGCGTTATCCACCTAGATTACCAATCAAGAAAACTCATGGTCAAGGAGGTGGTGGAGGAGCCGGCCAGATGAAATTGCAACGACGAAACGGTGCGCCCTCCAGCTCTTCTGGAGGAACTACGGGGTCCTCTGCTCATGGAGGTAGCTTCCATGGTGAGTCTTCGCGACGACCCTCCAGAGGTAGCTATGCAGATGCGGTGAAAAACCAAACAGCCACGAAGATGAACTCAGGGAGCACGTCTTCCGCTACTTGTGCAGGAGAGGCTTCCTCGTCATCGCCGTGTAGTTCAGACCAGGAAGGCAAGCTTGGAGCTCGAATGTTCAACAAGGGTCGTTATGAATAGAGCAGAACTGCGCAGTTGGCTTAGTGGTTTAGGCGTTTGCCTGTTCACTTATCAAAGAATATTAAGAACCAACACTCTAACTACTAGAAGTACAGAATAGAAGAAATAGATGCGAGTCGTGATCATGATCATTACACTGCAATTTTGAATCTTAGAGGATCATTCAGACGAGGCAGAAATCTCGTCTCATCCCCGCCTCTATCTTCCCCCTTCATATTCATCCCCAGCATTCGCCGCAAGACTCGCCTTCTGCTTCGCCGGAGCCGATTCACTATGGAGACGGACTGAGTCCCGAGATTACCGATAATGATCCGTCGCCATCATTCCTGGTGGGAGGCGCGCGATATGTGCCGAATCGAGGTTATGGAGAGATTCAGATTCATGCTGCTCTTGCTTTCTAAATATTAATATATCAGAAGATTCATCTGCTTCTGGCTTTTGCTCACAACGGAACGTCATTGTGCCCCTGCCCTCTTCTCACATCGTTCTAATGTCTCGAGCGCCGCGAGTTGAAACGAGAACGGAAAACCGAACGGGAATGCGCTAAGCTCGAACGTGGTTTTACCGCTGTTGAGAAGCGGACGGCGACTGGAGACGACGAAGAAGGACAACTAGTTCTGAAGTCCTCTGTACTATCTGGTCCAGCACTAGCAACTTCTACGTCTTCCGGATCCGCAGCAGCCCCAACAGCCCCAACTACAGCTGCAGCTGCACCTCAATGCTTCTACATCGGAGAGGGATCAGCCAGTCCAGCAGAAGCTTCCAACGCCTCTGGTGGACGCAGCCGAGGTGGTGGTAGTAGATACAACTACAACTACGGTCGTAATCTTCACGGTAATCTTCAACGTAGAAGAGGAACCACTGGCAGTCTTCCGCAGCAGTATGATGAGCCACATTCAGAACCGGATTTTTTCACCGTGGATTTGATGGGTCCGGAGCAAGCTAATGTGCCGGATTTTAGATGGCAATAAATAAAGAGCTGTTCTTTAGGTTACGTTAAGTAGCCTGAGGAATGAAGGGGAAATATGAGAAAGAGAGCGTTGTGGCTGGAAGAAGGCTCCATGTTGTTTACTACGTAGGTACAAGACAAAAGTGCGTTACACGACGTAATTAGAAACGGCATCAACTACAGTCGGATGTTGAAAACAGCCGTCTCTTTCATAGACGCATTGTGTTATGATGGAGGTGTACTTAATAGCAAGAATGTGGTTTTTGGACTCTTGAAATTCTTGTTTAGAAGATCTTCATCGAAAGACGCTTCCTTTTGAAAAGCGTCTTGTTTGCTCCACCCATATAGATACTAGTACAGATTTTGCATGAAGAGGACATTCATAACTATGTGGAGCTACAACATAAGCTGCATAACTCATCATGAAGAAACAAGTACAAGATCAACAGTGACATAAAACTGATGACCTTTAACATCTATGAAGCAGTCCGTCCACAAGAGAGTGGCCACTTCACCGACCCTAGGTCTATTTGACGTTTCCAACGAAGTGAACATAGCCAAAGTTGAAAACAGGAGAGACCACTTGGAGGGAAGTGTGTGAGCGATTACTTCTGTAATCGAAAATAAAGAACGAACCACAGCGCTTTGAAATGTGCACACGCAGTTGTTGTGCATTACATCCAATCAAAACAATAGGATATCGAAAGCGCATTGAGGACGGGCAGCGGTCGAAGGAAGGAGGCATCATGAGGCCCATACAGTAAAGAACAGACCACCTCTGAGTGAAGCTGGGGTTCTAGGAAAGTACATGTCCTTTTTTGTCGAAAATTATTTCCCGAGACGTGACTGAAGATCTTCCGTGAAGCTGCGCGTCGCAAATTACAGTCGACGACAGCGAGCCCCGAAGGGTTTCACGCACAAGCACGATGCGAGAGCAAACATTCCGAACTCTCCTGGCGTGTCGATAAGCAGGGAGAAGCTGCAGCTCTACGTCGATCTTGATGGCGTCCCGGTTGCCGAGACGCACCCAACCCCTGCAGCGACACGATAGGGGATCACCTGCAGCGATAGAAGTTGAGAAGTCGCAAACGAACCTGAAAAGCGACCACTTTTAGTATAGCAAGGAGAAGGCGCTGATGTTGAAGTGACTCTGACCGTTCCTTCGCTAACGAGGCATTTGACGCCTTCGAGAAAGAAGAGCCATTTAGCGAACAACGCATCAAGGCATCAATCGAAGTAGCACTCGCGTTCTGTGCGGCGGTCGTGCCTCTCCATCTACGCACATCACGTTATCGAAACCTGTGAGCCAGAATTCCTGCAAGAGAAATCTAATAATAACGACACATCACCTGCACACCACTTCTTTCTCCCGAACATCGGCACGCGAATCACGACACATCACCTGCACACCGCTTCCCTCACCCGAACATCGGCACGCGAATAACGACACATAACCTGCACACCAGCACTTCGTTTTCCCGAGCACCAACAACAACACACCCCAAACCATGGGTCTGCTCGATCCATGGGACGCGCTTCCGCCAGGAAGGAACGCCAAACTAGCAAGGGAAGCTGTAGAAGTACACCTAGCGAGCCAAAACGCAGAAGGATTGGTCGGCAAGGAGGAATGGCAGTTATTTGGGAACTTGGAGGTTCTGTGGATAAACGATAACAGGGTCTCGAAATTGGGCGATGCATTAGTGGACAATTTTCGGATAAAAGAGATTTACATGCAAGATAATAGAATGGTATTGCATGCAAGATAAGTAATAGAATGGTATCTAAATCTATTGAACTATGTATGCTTCGCGTTGACTTTGGTTTGGGGCTTCGCGTTGACTTTGGTTTGGGGACAACGATACTACACATTGACTTTGGTTTGGGGACAACGATACTACATATAGTTCTTGTTTCCCTTTATTTATTCGCATTTTTCTTTAGCCTTACTCCTCTTGCAATATCTATTTATTCGCATTTTTCTTTACCCTTCTCTTGGAATATCAACAGGATCTTTTGGATCTTTTTCGGTCACCACCTACCACCCAACCAGGTCTCCCTCGACGGCATGTCAACTTTCAAATTCTTGCGCGTCCTACGTGCGGGAAACAACAAAATACGGAATTTGGATAAACAAATAGCCGTCTTGAAGAGGTTTGCTTTTCTCAAAGAGCTGGATCTGTTCGACAACCCAGTTGCAGAGGAGCCGGATTACCGACTAAGAGTGATATATCACTTGCCGCAGGTACACCTACGTCTAGACGGAATGATACAAACACCTCCTCGCGGTATCATCTATTTCAATGTCACTCTGCGTCATGACTTTACATCATCTAAACCAGGTAGAGCTCCTAGACCTCAAGAGTGTCAAAGGACACGAAAGGGAAACGGCAAATGAGGTGGTGCCGAATATGAACGTGGTGATGTCAATAGCGCCAGGTGACGTGTTAAAGGCACCGAAGCAGAAATGGGTACTGCGACATTATATTTTTGTGTCTAAGTTTTTTATCAGGGAAGTCGTAGGTCCAATCCGAACCGACTAACATCATCAAGTAGACGCACCAGAACTAGAGGTAGGATTTCGTTGAATGAAGACGAGTAAGACTCATTCATCAGCATCTACTCTTGATAAAAACACTTTGTTCCCTTGTTCATCACTGATAACATCAACATCTCCACATCACGAGATCAACACGCCGAACGAAGAGTTTACCTTCCAATGTGCAGCGCAAATAAGGAAGAAGTGGGAGGCAGCGGAGCAAGAGGCGATAAAGCTCATGTACTCGGCTTTAGGCGGAACTAGGAATGAGTATCCGCGCGACTTTGGGTTGCTGAATATTAAGGGTTTCGGAATTGCATCCTGAACTAAAAACATCCTTGACGACCCTCTATGTTTGAATGGTTCTGGTAGGAAAGAGAAGAGTCAGACGAAGGCAGAAGTGGTAACCTCGTGGGGAGAAACGACGGATGTCCTAAGGAAGTCATTTCTTTTTAGTAGGAACATAGAGTCTCCTCAGGATGTTCTGAGGCGTCGTGGAAAAAATTCTGCAGCCTCTAAGAATAAGAACAACTTCGCCATGCATGAGTATCGGAAAACAATCGACACCTATGAACTGGATAACCTCAACGAATTTGAGAAGAATGACGTGATCAACTTCCTCAAAGAGCTGGGCGTCGACAAGAAAAACCTGACGAAAACGCAATTTATCGACACGTTTTTGAAGCCAGACGCGGCATATAACGAGAGTGGGTTAGAACGTACTACTTTGATGTTGAATATTTTTATTGGACCGGATTATAACCAATATTTTTATTGGACATCTACTTGTTCCGGATACGGATTTCTTTTCAGCAATATAGCCCGATTGCAGCAGCTGGGGAATCACAAATAACATTAACAAAACATACGTAACCGCAGCGCTTCTCTATTACATTCTTTGCGTGAGATCCATCGTGTAGACCATCTACGACGCCCTTATGGCAGTCTGCACTGAACGTTGGTAGTTTTTGATTTATCGGAACTCGCTCACGATACAAAAAAAAGAAGAGATTAATTGTATTGTATTGCATTGTATCAGCAATAACCCGATTGCAGCAGCTGGGCAATCGGATAGGGAAAGTCCCTGACCCCGACGCATTTGTACCACCTAGAGCAGGTGGGGATGAGGGATCCTCGGTGGCTAGTATGAGCATAGAACAGCCTGAGGCTGGGTCAATATGGCCCAAATTCGCGGGGGACGAGAGGGATCCAACGATACAAGCTGCTGATGTACTGCATGCTACGATCAGTTTTTGCTTTCGCGCTAGATCTAAGTACGTAGGAGCAGTGGGAGCTTGCTTAGATGAACAAGATGAAGACAGTCGTGTAGTTTGTTGCTGTTTATACGTCGTAAACAAGTAGATTCTCCAACAACATCCTCCTGTGGTCTTCCTCCTCCAATGCCAGTACCCACCTCCTCATACTCCACAGATGCGAAACTTCTTCACCGGTACAGCTCTGCGGTGGCGCTATGAAGATGATGAATCTTTGGATGAACGAGCTGCGTTTCTTTACGGGGAGGCGAAAAAGCTGGGACCGCCGATAGGGAGTGATCCAGCAGGGGCTACAGAAAAGTCTAGAGCCGCTTTGCGGCTAGAAGGAGTTAAAACGAGGAAGATTACGGCTTTCGCTTGGAGGACGATGATATTATTTAGTATCCGTGATAAGTGAAGAACAGGCCGGCGCCTAAACCACTAAGCCAACTGCGCAGTTGGCTTAGTGGTTTAGGAAGATGAGGATCTAGTAGAATACCTAAATAATATTTTGAAGCTTGTACTAGATCTAAATCCATTCTATGAAAAAAACATCACATCCATCAGCTCCTCTAATCTACGAGCAGACCGTACCGAGAAAGAAAAAGCGAAACCACCAGACTTGCGACGAGACGCATTTCCTCAACTAAAACTCAATGAATACACGGTCACAGACAAGAAAGGAAAGGCAAAGCCAAAATGCAAACTTGAAAAGACACTATTCAGGTTTGATTGATGTCAAGAGGACCCTATTCGTATTCAATTATTGGCAGAATAAAGTATTAATACGATGAGGTGTATATTAACGATTCTTGTTTTTTTAGCCACTAGGTTCCTTCAAAATGTAATTAGTGCTTCTAGATCATTTGCAGCGCTTGCCTTTTTGTTTCCGTTTCAACATCACAGTCACACCATCAAGAAAAGTACTAGAGCTCTAGATGCTCATCCAAATCAGCTGAATCCTACGTATGGGAGATTGAGAGTGTGAAATAGGTGAATCCTTTAGGTTTCAGATTCTTTCAGAGTTGTCCTCGTAGTCGTTTCGTATTATCCTCAGTGCTATTTTAGACTTCATAAATATGAACAATAAAAATTGAGAATTAGAGTCCACTACAGCTGCAGGCTATGGCTCCTGCTCCAGATTGTACAGGTGTTCAGCACAATCTTTTGGTTGTAGAAGCATTTCCTGTTTCGGTATCGTTATAACTGAACAGCAATGAAGATTCCTATTTTGAGAAGACCAAGAGCCCGATCCGCACGGCTCCAGTGCAGTACTTTGATGAAGATCGACTGCGTCACGGATGAAGACGGTCGCGTCGTAGATCAGCTCTTGACGGCACTGCCTAAGCGTCGGGGACGGGTCTTATCTGAGCCTAAGCGTCGGGGCCGTTGTGCTTCATCGTTTGCGTAGTCGTAGCGCCTGGCCGTTGTGCTTCAGGCTTCCAGCGGGGTAAATTTGATTGGAAATTGTAGACCCCGGCCCCCCCAAAAAAAACTGCCGGGGCGAACGTGAATGAGTGAATAGCTGTTGTTGCCGATGAGTGATCTTCTTTGTGTTTGTTTCCATCTTAGTTGTTCTGGTGTAAGTACATTTTCGATCGGAATTACTTGCTCTCACGGGCTTGATATTGTATTTACAACAAGCGCAGCACAGCTACAACAAAACTACAACATCTACCTACTTCTTCTACATGTAGTACATTCTACAAGAACGAGCAAGAAAATGTCCTTCATGATCACAAGCGAGAGTGAAGACGTGTCATCCGAAGACACAGACAGCTCTTACACTTACGGCAGGCCTTATGGAGTCTATACTCAAGGCTGCCTTAATATTGATAATGCATCACGTCGACCGGCAGCCGGCACTGTATATTGTGCTAGATGAAGTAGATTAATTGTACTATCTGTATTAATTGTATTCAAATTGTGCATTCAAAAAGCAATCTATCTTCCATAAGAGCAGCCTCTTGGTAAGTCCCGTTTTGCAATGGGGAACGTCTGTGGGACCAAGAAGCTCCCCAGGATCCTGGATGTTATTTTCTACAACTAGTATGTACTAGTTCCGGTTCCCTCTAAAGATGATGTAAGAACCAGGTGGAACTTTTGAAGGAGACGTTGAGATGGCGAGAGGATCCCAAGACTTGTCCGCGTGCCTGCTCTACCGAGAACAACTGCTATGCGCCTCTTTTGAACCCGCTTAACGAAGAGCTTTTGCGTTCCGGCGACTGGGAGACGGATGTACGAAGAAGGCTCATGAGTAAACATCCTCGTGGTCTGTTGGAAGAAAGTAGTGAAGACTTCAAAAGGATTCACCCACTAGAGTTCCTGGAGCAGGAGGCCGTCCGATGGGTGAAGGACTGGGTGGATGAGGAAGATTCAGCTTCTAGTTTGTTTACAACGATTCTTAAGGCAGACAAGATCCGTGGTTGCTACTTTACAATTATTTAGATTTACTATCCTTCCTTTTTGTTTTTCTTTTCCTAGTTAGTTTGGCTCCACCCATATTATATATACCGATAGGTTCGCTCTTCATCGGAGGTGCTTTCCAACTGGTTGGCCTCACGAGTAGACACTAATAGCTACATAAGAGGCACCATGACATGACACAACCGCAGAAGCATCCTCGTCAGCACCGTCGGTCCCTGGCTCTCTTTTTACTTGAGAAAAGGAAGCCAGGGATGCGAATCCCGTTGAGGGATGCGAACGCGAGGGTAGCTCTAAGAATCGTTATGAAACCCTGGCTGGTGAAGTCGAGACTGTAGGTCAGATTCTCACAGAGGACGATGCGTTTGAACTGAGGGAGCGAAAGCAGAGGGTTGTTAAATTGTGGAGTGTGAAAAAATGGGGATATTTTGCGGATCTTTTATTAAGTGTTGGAAGTTGGCATGTCTATGCGCATCTCTATGGCTTCTTCAGCGAGGATGTCCATAGATGTGCGAGCGAGAGATGCCAACTCTCAACCCCTAACTTGACTTGCCGAAGAAGAGGAGACAAGGAGACAAAAAGCTGCTTGGATTGCAGATCGGTGGACGAGGCATAGGAAGAAGCACAAGGAACTACAAAGTGCTAGAGGTGAAAACAAGCCTTATCTATTTACCCCTACGTGTAGTCTTCGCCCATTTCAAGCACTGTCCTCTCCGGTTCCAAGCCTATTACCAGCCCGTGTCGTAGCTGAGACCATTCAGCGGAAACTACACGTTCGCAGTGAGTTAGAGACTGGGAGAGAAGTCTTCACGATGTTGCCCATTCCCGAAGTGCAGTCTCGCGTTCCCGCGATTCGTTTGGACGGCTTCGCCAAGCTCCTCGGGGAGCAAGATGATGAGGAAAAAAACGAAAGCTTGTTCGTCGGGGGTCCAGTTTCCGCTGAAGAGTCACTGAATTACATCCTCAGAAAGCACGTGGACAAGTGCTTACACAAGGAAATGAGGAAATATGCTGCAAGCATCAAAGAGGCAGCCGAAGAGGCGAAAGCGGATCCTGTTTTGACTTCGCCCATGGTACTGGCACATGCCCGAAAGTTGCTAGTAGAAAATACCAACCCAGAAGATGGCAATCTAGAGCTGCTGGATCAATTTGCTGCTTTGAACACAACCAAAGCAATGATTAAGGGTTACCGCATTGCATTCTTCACTACCATCTTTGACTTTTTTTCCAGTAGGAAAAGGGTCAAGGATGATCTGAAGAAAGCAATATCGCAACCTCTAAAATGAAGAATAGTTTTGACGACGATGATACATCAACCAATAGCGACGACTCAGATGAGGACGAATGTTGCAACTGGGTCTTGGTGAATCCAGGGGGTAGTGGAAGTGGAGCCTCCAAAGGTGCAGATCAAGGCGAGGAAGGCGAAACTCCACTAGAACGTCCAAGTAGTCCAAAAGGACTAGGCCACGAGCATGGCTATCCTTCATTCAAACTGGTCTTCGACAACAGACCTGGGATATTTAGCATATTTTACGGGTAGGTGTACTAACTAGGTAGTTCTTCACTTGCCGCATACCCTCGTTAGGGGCTCAAGTTGATCTCCTAAATAAGCAAAAAACTAATGGCTGTTCCCCATTTTACGGGTAGGGGTACTAACTATGAATGTTAAAGGTGTCCCTGTTACAGTCGTTTCTTTTGCCTCTCCTACTGGACCGAGAAAGACAGAACAACAACAAACGGCAAACAGGAACACCAAAAGAAACCCTACCAACCTTTAAATATTCACCCGCATCCACCTATTTGCGGAGGAGAATAGTATTGCACCTCATGGGTTATAGTTTTCTAGATGTTAGTACCCTGCAGGAGTAAGAGATGGCAACCCTTCATGCACAAGTTGAAGTTTGGAATCCCACTTAATATGTAAATAGAAGTTTTTCTTTCCTGCTGGAGATGAATTATGAAGACGAGCGTTTGTAACATCAAGACTCTCCCACTGTACCCTTCTAATCAAAGGAACAGTTGAAATCTTGCTTGTCCGTTTTAGCAGCAAGCTGGTACGCGAAAAAGTGCTAGACGGAACGCTTGGGTACAAATCTAGAGGAGGTTTGGATTACCATAACGATAAAAGTTACATCGAATTGTACAAAAAAAAACAACCTTCTTCGACCTCGTCAGCCTCTCTTGCTGCTGGTACTGGGACAACTGGCCTCCAGGAACAGGAAGCTCCCTCATTATTAGGGCTTCCCCTAATTCATCTCCAAAAGCATCTTGAGACTGCTTCATAAGGGAGAAACGGCTTCAAGATGAGTCTCGAGAGAGTGATTAGGGCGAGCCCTAACATTATCTTTATCATCGACGAGTGAATTACAATTTTCCCCTCCAGAACGAACAGGGAATCAAGAGCGGCCCATGGAAGTTGTCGAAGAAGACCCCTACGCCTACAACATCATTGCTTCCCATCGTATATCTCCAGCACCTCATACCAGGGAGCTGCAACGTTGGCACTTTGAGGGAGGCCAAATGGACTTCTTTCTGTCCTCTACGCCATCGTCGGGTTTGCTTCCATTATGACAACTACAGGAAGATTACTTACTTTTTAGTCGTTTGTTCCATTATATTAGTATTTATAGTATTAGCAATTGCCAGAAATCTCTTAAGGAGCTCCCTTAAGGAGCTTCCTTAAGGAGCTTCCTTAAGGAAATCAGTTTCCTTAAAGAATTTTTATTATAAAAAGTTATTATAACTTTCCTTAAGAGGGAAAAAATTTCCTTAAGGAGCTCCCTTAAGGACAAGCTGTTATAAACTTAGGCTAATAACAGCGGCTCCTTAAGGCCCTTGCTAGTACTACGAGTTCAAAGGTGTCAAGAACGTGCTAACGTGTTCGCGGCTGTTAGTTTGTAGGCTACTCACGTACACCAGCCACATCCGCAGCAAGACACTACGCGCCCACCCCTAGCGAATCGCCCCAACGAGCTGCCAACCGCTACCCTTGTCATATATCGCCCAGCGCCTTTACTTTTTTTCAAAAACTTCAGGGAGGTCATTCAAATACAGAGAAAACTGAACGACCTCCCTGAAGTTTTTGGAAAAAAGTTAGCTCGCTCCCCTTCCGCGACTACCTTCCGCGCACAGCAATCGACCACGGTACAGGAGCGCGCAGCAGCCCTTGGAGATGGTTAACCAGTCTACTTCTAACCAGCACAAAAGCGGGAGAATTGTAAGGGAGAGGGTGAGCACTTGAAAGGGTAGAGGCTGACGAGCGTGATCATATTGATTCGCGAGAAGGCCAAAGATGCGCCTCAAAGTCGCAGCCGTTGAGGATGTCGATGGCTGTGAGAATGATAGCCGTGAGCACTTGCGTGTCTGAAGGGTGGACCCTGGTGAGCATCATCATATCCATGAGAAGGCCAAAGGTTTGCAACTTTGCGCGTGAAGGTCGAAGCCGTTGAGGATGTTGACTCGATGCCTGTGAGAATGATAGCCGTGAGGACTTGCATGTCTGAAAGGTGGACCCTGGTGAGCGTCATCATATCCATGAGAAGGCCAAAGAGATACATCTCTGTGTATGAAAGTCGAAGCCGTTGAGGATGTCGATGTCTGTGAGAATGATAGCTGTGAGGACTTGCATGTCTGAAGGGTGGACCTTGGTGGGCGTCATCATATCAACGAGAGGGCCAAAGACGTGCGTCGGTGTGTGTGAAAGTCGAAGCCGACGCTGAGGATGTCGATGTCTGTCAGAATGATAGCCGTGAGGGCTTGCATGTCTGAAGGGTGGACCCTGGTGAGCGTCATCATATCCATGAGAAGGCCAAAGGTGTGCATCTCTGTGCTTGAAAGTCGAAGCCGTTGAGGGTGTCGATGTCTGTGAGAATGATAGCCGTGAGGACTTGCATGTCTGAAGGGTGGACCCTGGTGGGCGTCATCATTTCCATGAGAAGGCCAAAGATGTGCGTCTCTGTGTGTGAAAGTCGAAGCCGTCGAGGATGTCGATGTCTGTGAGAATGATAGCCGTGAGCACTTGCATCCCTGAAGGGTGGACCTTGGTGAGCGTCATCACATCCATGACAAGGCCAAAGATATACGTCTTTGCGCTTGAGTGTCGAAGCCGTTGAGGATGTCGATGTCTGTGAGACTGAGTGATAGCCGTGGGCGCTTGCAGTTCTGAAGGGTGGACTTTGGTGAGCATCATCATACCCATGAGAAAGCCAAGGGCATGCATCTCTGCGCTTGAAAGTCGAAGCCGTTGGGGGTGTCGATGTCTGTGAGAGTGATAGCCTTGAGCACTTGCGTGTCTGAAGGGTGGACCCTGGTGAGCGTCATCATATCCATGAGAGGGCCAAAGGTATACAGCTTTGCCTGTGAAAGTCGAAGCCGTTGAGGGTGTCGATGTCTGTGAGGAAGTAGATGAGGGCGGACCCTGGCGGGCGTCATCATGTCCATGAGAAGGCCAGGCGCATGCATCTCCGTCGGTGAAGGCTGAAGGCTGAGGACGTCGATGCCTGTGTGTGAGAGTGATAACGGTGGGCCATTGCATGTCTGAGGCGCGGACCGTGGTGGGCGTCTTGCGTCATGTCCATGAAACAGCCAAGCTTATAGACACACCCCCGCGCCTGAAGGTTGGGGCCCAGCTTCTGGCTCTGCGCATAGAGATGCCCAAGCGTGGCTTTCTCATGGGCCTCGTCCATGACGCTCGCCAGTGTCAGTGCCATCCCATGGGTATGCTATGCTTTAAGTTCTCCTGGACATGATCACACTCAAAAGGGTCCAACCTCTGTGCCTACATATGTCCAAGAGTGGCCTTCTCATGGACTCCATGACGCTCAGCGGGCCAGCCTTGGCGCCCATTGGCTTGCCCCTAGCAAGCAAGTTGGCCAAGGCAGTAGCCATAGCGGTAGCCTCCTCACTAGCCTCGCCACAGTGGGGGCCAGCTTCCCAGCCTTGGCGAGCAGACTTGGCGACTTTTTTCGTGTGTCTTTCTGTCTCTTAGTAGTCAACCTGTCTAGTTGTTAACCTATGCCCAGCGCAGCGGGCCCTTGATGGGCCCGCTTTCTGGGCATGTAGTAATAGTTATAGAGAATTCTTCTTTTTGATTTTGACTTTTGATTCCGCTAATTTATGCTGGTCCTGGTGGCGCAGGCGCCGTTGGGGAAGCAGCCTCAGACGAAATTCAACGGACGGCGGAACGAAAGACTTCTGATCTGGTAAAATTGGCACAGAGGTTATGCGTGGAAGTTCCAGTTCGTCTGTGTAAGTAAGTATCCTGAAGCTACCCTATTGCTGAGCTTTTATCCTGCTGGGTAAGTCTAAGTACCTTAAGATGAAACTATTTCTAAAGACCCTGGATACCTTTAAAAACTATTACAGCACTTTAACTTTTTCTAACATTCGGCGATGTCTTCATGTTTTCGTATATTGTCGGCGGTGGCGGAGGACATGAGCTCACAGTCCATTGGTGCGTGGCGGGCGTTAGCTATATCAAAGATGGACTGCACAACCTCCTCGGAGAGGTCAAGGTCTGAAGATACTAAAAATCATGAACATCAGTGTCGCAACTTGGACGATTTGTCATACTTGTATTTGGAAAAAAACGGGTACTATCATGTACGGCCATTGTGCCAGCTCCATTAACGAAAACAACTTTAGGTGTAATAATTGCACCTTGTAGGTGTTGCAAGTACTAGACTCATGTGCTGTTCACATGATCCGTGTTCATGCGAACTAGACGTTTACTTCTATCTCTCTCTGGTGTTTGTTTCGGTTACACAGCCTCAGCCACTGTAACACACAGCAAGCACTGCCGCCAATGTATTGTGCACAACACCACTGCTTCTTCGAAACAAGTCTTTTTTTTGAATTTGTGCGAATGCGTGGTGTTATGCACAATACATTGGCGGCATGCGCGTCTTCTTTGTTCTTGGATACAAGCGAAGTGGAGCCTGCAGCTCTTCTTGTCGGTTTATTTTCACCACTGGAACTGGAACTGATCAACAAAGAGGACTAGGACTTGAAGAATAAGAAGGAAGCGCTCTTTCTAAAAGAGCTTGTTGGTCAATGTGTATAACACCACGTCTTCTTCGCACAAGTTCAAAAAAAAGACTTGTTTCGGATAACCAGAAGATCCTCATGCATTCTGAAAAAGAGTAGACGTGCTTGAAAAGCAATCGTACTCTATGGAGAAACAAAAAAAAAACTGTTAGACTTTAGTTAGAATAAGAGAATTGATCCTGATAGTCGTGACTAGACGTGAAAAATGTTGTGAAGATTCATTCGTGAGTTTTGAAATCCCCGAAAGTGGCGCCCTATTACGTCTGTTAGTTAGCACGTTTCCTTAGCGTTACTCATACGCACTCCTATTACAACATGGCTCCTGATATAGCAATTTAACATGATCAACACAATAAAAATGCCTGAATACAGCAAAGGAATGCGGAGGTCGTTCCCAGGTGCGGACGACACGATCGTTGTCAGAGATGGGAGCTCTGACGTTGAAGTCCGACAAAGGGAGTCATTACTCGAGACGCTAACGGAGTTTTTCCCTGCTGATGAGCAGGATCAGCAAGGTCTCGTGAAATGCGAAACAAAGGAGCGACATGGTCAAGACAACGAGGAAAATGAAAGGCGTCAAGATGACAAAAGCAAATGCAGTATAGCAAGTCCTGATAATGATATTATATCCAGCACGACCTCTCTGCGCCGCAAGCAAGTTGCGTCTAAGAAGTCCCTGCTTCGTGAGCTAGAGGGTCTGTTGCAATCATGGGTGAAGCAAATCTATGACGACCGTGGGATCAAAGATGATGAAGAGCAAGGGGAAAGAGGTGGAGATCCAGCACATCCAAAGCAAGACTCTGTAGCCTACGGAATGATGGTGCCATACGGAAGTACGCAACTTTATGGATGATTTTTGATGTTCATTCCGTCCGTACGAGCATCGAGGCGGCCACTTTATTTCCCTTAAAGCTGTAGAGCTGAAGGGGGGCCTCGAGACCCTCTGGCTAGATGGAAAAAACAGCATCCATAAACTGGGCGTAGCATCCAAGAAAAGCGACTTGGACTTGCTATGTATCGTGCCACGAGGGATCACGCGTGACGATTTTTTTGGAACCCCGTATCGATCGGAGCAGAAGCCATGCTTGTAAGAATACTGCAACTTCTAATCAACATTTAAGTACGTTAATTATCCTACAATCCTTGTTATGCCTATAATATTGATTCGAGTCACAGCTTCTTGTAGAAGATCAACATAGTCACTATCTGTATCTACTTTGCAAATGGAACAAGCAGTAGTGTGAGTGTCGTACTCTGACATACCCCTGGAGTGGGTGCGTTCATTCATTCGGAATAGATTCTTCACATCACATCATCTACTCTACATTGTCCACGAGGACCCACATGGGCGACGTTTTGCCACACTTTGCGGACAATGTAGAGTAGATGATGTTGTGAAGAATCTACTCCGAGAGTAGAGATAAGACGACTACCACGTTGTGGAACGTTGCCACGCTTGTCTTAGTTCTCTAATCCAATCGATATTTTCCTATGTCGATGTTTACGTTTTGCCACACGCTTGTCTTTGTTCTCTAATGAAGTCGTCATTTCCCCATGTCGATGTTTTACCACCCGCGTGACCAGACGTATGTCAGGAAAAGGGACATTTTTCATATTGGGCCGTTGCATGTGAGCAAAACGAGACCTAAAGCAGACAGGTTGACGTCCGAGGAGGTTATGAAGTCGAAACGAAGAGACTCTCTGAAAACAGTGGACGATAATGAACCAGTGGTGGACTCCTCGTTCCTGAATCTGCTCAGGGAATCAGTCGAGCTGAACAAACAACAAAGACGACAAGCAGCGAAGGCAGGACCAAGTGCATTCACCAAAGTAGATCTTAACTCCAAGGAGACGAGCGCGGGCAGTTCTGTGGGAGATCAAGTTAAGAAATTACTCCCCTACTACTTGTCTTAAGTTTTCTAGCTTCAGCTCTTCAAGCGCTGCACTTTCCCTATTGATTCTCTTATTTCACTGTAGCTGCTAACAAACTAATGGTTGTTCCCGTTTTCTAGCTTCCATTCCCATTACTTTACTTTAATACTAGGTGGTAGCGGAGGATCTCGAGGCGACGGGAAAGAATTTCTCTTCTCTCCGATTTTTGAATTTTACGTCTATATCGTATCCACTAATCAACACCTAGGGCTTATCGTCCTATCGTATCCACTAATCAACCTTCGTCTCACGAGCAGCAAAGCCTTCACTTGTGCGGTATCTGGGATGCTTTTGCAGTTGTTACGAAGCAATCACCAATCATCAAGCTTCGATGTCGTAATCAGATGGACATAACTAGTACAATGGAGACTTCCGCTGCTAGAGCAGACCACGCTGGAGGTGCTGGAGAAATAGAACGAGAGCCAGAACATGATGATCATCAAGGAGAAGAACAAGGTCAAGGAGATCAGGCCATGATGTCAAAGTCAAACTGTGAAGAAGCCAACCATGTTGAAGTGGACATCAGTTTTGTGCAATTGCAGCTAACGCCACACGAATTACAACACAGAGGTCGCGATCGCATTTTGAAATTAAGGATATCTGGTGTCGTGGAGTAGAAGCAACTACAGCGAACATTGAGGATCTTTTTTTTCTCTAGGTGCGTGTAGTCTTCACTCATTTCAGGCACTGTTCTCTCCGCTTCAAAGCTTATTTCTGTTACAGTTACCCTTACTTTTAAATCCACAAGCTTGTGTGAAAACGAAGGAAAGGCGCCCTATGCTATCGTATCCTATCCTATCGTTCTATAGGTCCAACATCAGGAGCTCCTCTCTTGTCTAATCCAAAGCGGCATAGAATTGCTTGTGGGATCCGATCAGAAGAGCATCTCAGCGTTTCAGAGCTATACTGCGAATGCGCAAATCTTGAATCTGGTGCCTAAAAAAGTTAAGGCTTCCTCTAATCCATCTCCAGAAGCATGATCTTAGGGCTGTCCCAAGAACCTTCTTACTTTCTTAGGGCTGTCCCATCAGGGGAAACCTTCGCAAAGATGAATCTCAAAGATGACTCTCAGGATGGATAATTCAGGTGAGCTCTAAAAGAGAGACCTTCCGAGAAGTTCTGCGCTTTTTGAAGTACTGGATACATTGTCGTGGGTTGGGGGGAACCATCTACGCCGGGATGAGCAGCATCGGATGGGCCATTCTTGCAGCAAATATTTGTTTATGGTCGAAAATGTGTAGTTGTACTTGAAGAGTGTAGTTGCTACTGCTAGTGTTTACAAATTCAAATGCATAGATATCATAGTGTAATCTTTCATCTTATGGTCGTTTACTTTCATATTCATTTTAGACATTATAGTTCCACTCGAAGCTCAAAGCACTAAGTAAAACAACCGGTTAGTTTTCACCTCGCCAAATCTAGACTTATCCCGTGCAACAACATAGTTCCACTCGAAGCTGTTGGGGGCTCACCGTCTTTATCTAATTTGCATCTTGTACCCGAAAAAGAACTCAGCGGGGATCATACGGCGCTTCTTCAAGTCGATCCTCTCCCGCATGAGATACTTCGACCAGAGTGCGATGTTTGATATGGATGCAGGCGATGCCTCTTGTGCACCCATTCTTGCAGATACGAGCAAAAGAGAGATGAGGAGACCTGATTACGCAAACGACAAACGTACGAAACTTATGACAGCAAAAAGTGCACTCATACTCAAGAAATTCCCTAGGAGGATTTCTTCAGTAGAGCGCTAGGGTGTACTCTTTTGAGTATGACGAGTGCGCTTGTTATTCCTTTCATGAAACTCTATCTATCGTTCGGACCGCAACAGGCGATTCCTCAAGAGGCCATGACTGAGATATTTGCTCACTTGCCATCGAATGGAAGAGGTAGAAAGCAATCGACCGTTGACGCCGTCCTGCGCAGGATTAGGCAACACGACTCAAACTATGCCTGTGGGCCCGTACAGGTTATATTATGAAAGTAGCAAATGGAGAAGGAGATTGTTGAATGACGAGAATGCTGAAGCTGATTCTTCATCTTGACGATGAAGAGTGGAAGCGGAGCAGCGAAAAGTTGTTCTTTTTGTGGTCGTCCAGCATTCTTCGTTGAAAAGTGACTGCTCCCGTATGAAAATTGTGAGTTTCTATTCTAATGACAACGCCTTGCTATCCTGCCACGAACACGACCCACAACGTCACAAACACTTCTTGGGCCAACGTCATCAAGCCAGAGCTGGAACGAGCTGAGAGGATCCTAGACGCGCTTTTCCACAGAGGGGGTGGGCGCAATGGCACAGGGGAAAAACGAGTGGCGAAGCGCCGAAAACTTGAAATCAGTGCACCAGAAACGGCGAGCCAAGAAAGCACAGGAGTGGAAGTAGGGGTTTGCGAGGATGAAGATGAAGATGTTGCAAAAGAAACTGCTGGGGATGAAACGGCGAGCGAAGCTATAGTCCTCGAGCAGGATGTGATAAAAGATGATGCTCCATCACAAAAAAATTTTATTTTATCTGGTACACCTACACACGATCACGAGGATGATCATACAGCTGCGGAAGATGCTGGTGGGAGTACGGGTGGCGACCACGACGTCTGTAATAGGTATAGGACCAAAACAAGGCAATGCGAAGTTGCGCCGAACTTGTGGAAGCAGCTTTGCACCCCTTTTCAATTCTTTCGGGAGTTTAAGTTATGCGTTCATACCAAGCGAACTTGAACTACTCCCTCGTTTGCTCTCTGCTGTCTGTCAACTTGTTATCTCTCTAAAGACAATGTACCTGCGCTTAGTGGTTGTGGTTCGGCATAAATCGATGCTTCATCCTTGGGAAGGCTTTATCGAAAGTCAAATGCGAAAATTTTACACTAGTTTATGGATGATGTTTTGTCCATCTTTCAGACCATCGAGGGTGCCCCTTTTCACCTTAAAACTGTATCTATAGCTTAAGGGTGGAGCAGGCCTCGACGGTCCGGCTAGATGGAAAAAACCTGATCCATATACTTTGGAGTCTCTGGCCCCTCCTGAGCATCGTCTTGACGTTCGACCTCACCCACACAAGTTTGAGCTCGACCGAGCAACAGTGGATAATTATGGATCTGGATCATGATGGACGACTTCCGCTCAGGTATTCTACCTCTAGATGTTAATCTACTCTTCCGGCCTTTGTCTTTGTTTGTTGTGGATGTCGATTTTTTCGAATTTGTAGCCTCTAAAGCTAGGTCATCGAATATACCAACGATGTGCCTTTCTATCAAGCTGGGTCGCAGCAGTTTATTGGTTTGACGCTTCGGCTGTTAGCTGCGCCGCCAGCGCCACGGAAATCGCCTGAGCAACTCGAGCAGGAATACACGGCAAATGTGATCTACTTACGATAAGAAAAATAGTCAGAGAGAAGTCAACAAACGATTGTAATTGACTTCCCGACGGTCAGGAATACTATACACCACTTGTCCCATGAAGATAGACACCTCTTCTAAGAGGAAGAAGCCACGGAATGCCATCAAGTGGGGTGATGCCGATGCCATTTTCCGGAGACCAAGGCTCCTATGCGGGAACTACAAGTTACAATAACAGTATGAGGGAACTACAAGATTACCATTATCGGCCACGCTACTTCTTCGACGTGGGCGGTTCGCCAGAAGAGTCGCAACCCCGGCCACGAATCAGCTTGCGCATGGCGCTCTTGGAATTCGAGCAGAAAATTCGAACTCTTTACAGGAAAACGAGAAAGTCAGGACTTTTTGGCGGAAAAGCGCGAGCGGGGGATCAACCACTCTGGGAAGACTTCCCGGAACATGACTTCCTGATAGCAATGGAAAAGGGCGAAACTCTACGACATGGAAACTTTAGAAGACAATACCAGTAGGAAATGTACATCATCTGTACAGACTTCTAGTATATAAGTACTCACTCTGTAGAAGACTTTACTATGTGAGTAAGTACTTCTTCTAGAAGACAAGTAGTAGATCTTCTTCTAGAACAAGTAGATGAGGTCTACTTTTTGACTACATACGTTCCTCTTCTGTTTTTGAGTGCCTTCGACGATGCTTGGAGACTGAACATCAATACCTCTTTTTTATTGTCGATGTCTATCATAAACACCCCGTTCCAGTTCCTTGACATGGGTGTAACTGTCAGGTAAGAATATTCACTGGACTTATATCCGCGCACAATTAAAAAAGTTCATATTCTTTCTGTCTACGCAAAAGGCTTTTCTAGAGCTATTCTTGGTGAGGTATCAAACTCAAAACCAATCTCCGATGAAGCCCTTGTTTTCTTTTGAGTGTTCTGATCTTCTGTGAAGTTTGTCTAGAAATAGTGAAAAGTTGTAGGAAGATGTAAAGATAAAACAAGCTAGGACATAGCAAAAACAAATAGCGTCTTCGAGTGCTACGGCGGAACAGAAATGAACTAGAAAGATTCGAAAAAGGTAGATACTGAGGATTCAACCGCAAAGAGAAATAAAAAAAGCGAGAAGGTGTTATCAGTTACAGACCACTTAGTGAATCATGTGAAAGTCTGGCGTACACCCATGATCGATCATAATATCGTGAAAGCAGTAGTTCTTGAAGATGAAAGTGTAACTTTTGGAACGTTGAATGATGTGAGAGTAAGCCGGAGTACAATTTCATCAATCTTTTGAATCGAATAGCGGAGAAAAAAATGGCCGAAGCAGTGGAGCATCGCTTCGGGAGCAGTACAGAAGCTGATATAGTTTGCAAAAGATTTTACCAAGAGCGATAGAAGTAGAATCAAAGATACTTAAACTCACAATTGCATGACGTTGAAATGTTTTTTCCCACAACCACCACCACCACCACCACCACCAGGTTCCCTGACTCTTTACCAATTGACCACAACCAGGTTCCCTGACCCTTTACCCGCCGTCAGGGTTTCAGCCGGTCTCCTATGAGCCAGTCGGATGTCCGAAATTACAACGTGTTAGCACTTTCCGCCCAAGCCCAACAGCTTGCGCAGTTGCAGGTCCCAACGAAATCGCTTTTACTACAGGAAATGTGGTCGTAATCCAGAACTTGGAAACCGATGTGCAACGGTTTTTCTGTGGTCAAAGCGAGGTTCTTTGCGTAGCGTTTAGCAATGAAGAAGAGGGAAACTTCGGATTCCCAGTGCACGGGAAGAGCTATGAGAATGTCCAACACTAGAAATAATAATGAAATAAGCAGAGAATCTCGTTGTAAGTACTTGTAGCTGCAAGATGTTAAGGGAAAGAAGTGAGTAGCTGTTCTTTTTGGCGTGCGGAGTTACCATATTATGATTCTCCTGAGGACCTCTAATCCCACTCAGCATCAGCCTTACGTTCACCAGGCATGGCGCCAGGTTCCAAGGTGTCGAGGCCATCCTCCTCAAAATCCTCAATGGATGGCGCGTCTGCGAGGATTGCAGCATTTGGTGAGAAGGGGGTTGCAACTGCTGCAGCTGCGAAAGGCGGCATTAAGGCTAGAATACAACGACATCAACTCGTCCAGTTACCAGTCGTACTAATATTTGCTAGTACAACTTATCCCTGAGCGCAGTCACTCTCACATCAACTCCAGTTTGTTACCAGTCGTATTAATATTTGCTAGTACAGCCTATCTCTGAGTGCAGTCACTCTCACTGTCACTTACTTCTAGTTACCAGTTGCAGTTGTATCTTCATTTTATTTGGTTTTCTCATGAAAAATACACCACGAAGACCTCTCCATCTCCTCTAATAGAAAACCATCCACGATCGGCGACATCGTTCTGTTCAACGCCTCAGCCGACCAGAAGGTCACTCAACCAAAGCGCCGTCTCCATTTTCACAAGGGAGACGTGGTGCAACTCAAGTTCTTGTCCAACAGACTTCTCGTTTCCTTCTCCAACGACAAGGGGATGACAGGAGCCTTATGGGCTGTATCGCCGGGAGCACAGACGAGTGCCCCACTGCGGGTTTTCAACGCCAGTCCCAGTGATCTCTGTCGCGGCATCGTCTTACTGCCCCCAGCAGCTTCGCAAGACCGAACATCATCTGGTAGTGGGAATGCTGCTAGCAAAAAAGGAGACAAGGGTGTCACAGACGCATCGTCGAAGAACTCTGCCACGGCGGATCCGGTACATCGATTTTTGTCCTATGGGACCTCTCACCTAAAATTTTGGGAAATCAGCCGAATCGCGCCACAGGTGGTTCCCAAGTGCAAACGAGCATCCTTCTTGCAAGGATATTCACCTATTAAGGTCTTCTCATAAAATTTACAAAGTATTAAAAGGGGTCAAGATGAAGGGGCTATAATGAGATGCAACCTAGAACAAGCAGACTCTAAACCTGAACTCGTTACGTCCTGTAACTGGTTTGGCGACCCAGCGCATCCTACGGTTGCTGCTGGAACCGAGAAAGGAGAGGTGTTTTTCTTCCACGATGCATCTTCGATGTCTGGAGTACGGGTTGTGCCGGAAACAACATCGAAATTCGGAAGGACACAAGTCAACGCACAACATTACTGCGAGAATTCGCCGATTGTCGCGCTGAAGACGCAGCAGACGTCTTCTTCTTCGTTGAAAGAACAAAAACTTCTTGCCTTGTCGGAACACGGATCCGTCTTAGTTTTCCACGTTCGTGTGGCGAAGCGTGCATCGGCAAGTGCGGTTTGCAGCATGGGTGGGGCTTTGGATTTACGTGGCACATCAAGTTCACGACCTCCGACAGCGGCAAGCAGCTTCGCTGCGAGAAACAGACCTTTGGCAGCGAATAAGGTAGTTACGGAATAAACTTCATTAGAGTTTCATGAATATCATCGTCGTTTGAAGATTCCCTTTTGCTTTGTTCTCACACTCATCATGAAATCATGTCCGATTCCGATACCGCTCTAAAACCCGTCGCCCATCCACCGGCGTTCCCTCCACCGCTGGCGCCTCGCGTCCTCGTTCAGCCGTAACGAGTAATGCTGCAGCTGCTCTATTGCCAGGGCTCTTGTCTCCAGAGGAGCTGGATCGGGTCTGTTACGTTGGTGGAAACATTGCTGTCGTGGCCATGCAAAGCATCAATGTTAAGGCTCAGCTTTCAATGGTCATTGGGGTTGGTCACTGAGATCTCTCCTGAGAGAACAGGGGAAAATGAAGGAAAAGCAAAGGGAGAGGCATGGGGCCCATTTCTTTCAGAGTCAGTGACCATTGAATGCTGAGCTTTAACAATGTGTGGACCAAATCTGGCGGTGGACTACGATTGGATCGCGTTGCTCCAGTCTTCCCGATTCTAGGTGCTGTCCATCGACAAGACAGCTTGACGCTGTGGACTAAGGCAAGCATCGTACAGTGCAACGTGGGTAGCATGGCAGCTACTGGCACTCAGAACGTGCTACGCCTTGACCAGAGCACTGACAACATGACAGACGGAGGCGGTGGTAGTCCTTATTCTACGACAACCGCAGGCAATGATGCGAGCGCAGTGTCAGTTCTGACGCAATCACTGGGCACTGGCTACACGTGTGCAGCTAGCTATGGAGATTTGCTTTTCCTTGGATCCTTGGAGAGTGGAGTCTCCGCGTTCCGCAAGGTGGCAGACAAGTTGCTCTTCGAGATATCCTTCCTGCCGTATACGAAGGTACGAGAACAACTGCTTACAACTTGTAGTTAGTACTTGGACTTGGATCATTACCATTAATACGTTTAAAATGTCTTTTCTATCTTCCTCTGGTCGTTCTTTTTTCCGCCACAATTTATTTATGTCAACAAATTGGACGAATTTGGGTTTTCGTTTTCTCTGTCCTCACTGTTCGACACCAAATAGATCGCAGGTAACCGCCATCGCCGCTGGTGAATACGGCCTTGCAGTTGCAGCGGGAGACCGACTTGTCATCTACAAGGACTACGCCTTCACTGCGCCACCGATTTTTGATCGCGTCGTTCTCAATTCCCACGACGAAGCGCCAGGTGCGATGAAAAGACAGCATGCTATCACTTGCCTTGATTTTGATCACTTGGCTGGCGCTGCTTCCTTAGCCTTTGGCACCCAAGATGGCGCAGTTTATTTCGTGGACCTACTGCAGAAACCGGTCAGACCTAAAGTTCTTCGCGGCCACGCTAGTGCGGTTGTGTGCGTTGCGTTCGTGCATCCGGGAAAATTGCTGTTAACGACGAGTGCAAAGCAAGTCATTGCTTTCGACGTACTCTTTTTGCAGTTGGGAGTTTTTATTTCGAACGATGTAGTTACGTCTTCGACTGTTGATGAAATCAATCTCCAATATCCGCATGAGCATCAGAATCTTCAGGAAAATCCCTCATCCGCAAACAACCCCATACAGCCTGCCATGATGCGTCGGGTTTCGCCGCAGGAGGTTCGCGAGTGCGTTATGCCCTCCAATGTGCCGAACAAGATGCCCTACAGCTACTTTACTCGTGGTGCCTGGGACCCCAGTAAGCAGTATTTCGCAAACCGCAAATTTTTGCAAAATCGCAAACTCCTGGTCGCTTCAAACGGCAGACGGTTTTCTTTGCACGCTTATCCGTGTCTAGAAGCAGGTTTGAACGCAGTGAGACCTTCAATTGTTGCGCATTCTAACGGCATAGCGGATTTGTGTGTCTTCGACGAAGACGGAAGCTTCTTGACGGTCAGTCGGGAGAGTGTGGCGCTGTGGAGTGGTAGAACTTACTATGTGACTTTAATCAGTTACAGATGCAGTGATATATAGGAAATCGAAGTCCTCATTTATATATTCATTTTCATTTATTTGTAAAAATCTCACTCAGCTTCGCAGCCTCAACCGATCGAGTTCCAAGACCTTTCTCCCGCAGCGGAAGCACAACGACGAGTATGCCAGGACAATGCCTTCATGAAATATGGAGGTACTTTCCATCCAGCACAGGCGTTTGACGAGATGAACAGGTCGGATGTACACGACAGTGCCGAGGCTTCACCAGCTGCCTACGGTGGAGGCTACAATCGATTTGACGCGCATATTAATCAAGATGAATATGATGAGGATATTCAGAATTCACATTCTGAATTGGAGACACAGATGGCGCAATTGAAGAAGCAGATGGACTCCCTGCAGAATCCGAGAGTGCAAGGCTCGTCACGAGCCGATAGTCTGGGGAAGATCAAGGCACCGGGAGTAGCAGTAGTTGTTCCAGATGCTGCAGAAGTTGGTGCAGGTGGTATCAGTTTTCAGCCCGCCTCACGTGGTAGTGGTACAACTACTGTGGAGGTAGATCCGAACGTTGAGGGGCGACGAGAACGGTTGCGGAAACAAGCAGCGTCGAAGGAGCAACTGTCAAGCAAAATTGGAGTTGGTACTCTTGTCTTTGCTTTTGCTTAACTCAATATTTTGATACAACTTCTTAACTCAAGATTTTGACATCAACATCACTTCCACAGATACATGCACAGCGTGGAGAGTTCAACTGTTTGGGCTATTTCTTTCTTTTTTTTCTTTTCTAGTTTTTCTATCTTCTTTTATGTTTTTCTATCTGATACCTAAGTTTTTCTATCCTCTCCTTAGTTTTTCTATGCATCCTATAGAAAAACTTACTATTTTTTTACTTGGCGTGACCCATCTTACCTTTGTCCATCAACATCGTGCTCCACTCCACCTGCACTTCCACAGATACATGCACAACGTTCACGCCCTTCATCTCCGACCCTTCGCTAGCTGCTGGTGTAGTCCAGGTTGATAGAATCTCTGCAGATTTCAAGACCAAAACTAAGGCCCTAAGAAGAGGTTACCAGGTTGAAGTTACCTGCCGCCAACCGATTGTGAATGTGGAGAATTTGAACCCGGCAAGAGCTCTTAGGTTTACCGCAGCAAATACGGGGGATGTCGCAGTGGTGCCGGTAATAAATAGATTAAGATTTTTTGCAACATGATGATTAATCTATATCAAAATCAGCGAAGATGTTAGGCTGCGACTAAGAAATAAGAACTCAAAGAACATTTCTAGCCATTCGTGCTGCTCAAGAACAATCTTCAGACTTACTCGTCTACAACTTCTTCAGTTCGTTATAATGCTGTTGGAGGTAGTTGTTGAACCTCAATTAAGTACAACCGACTTTCTTCTCTACCTCTACAAATACATCAGGTCCCTGTCGGTTACGACTTTACCTCTACAAATACATCAGGTCCCCGTCGGTTATGACTCTACCTCTACAAATACATCAGGTCCCCGTCGGTTACGACTTCTCCAAGATTTCCATGCAAAACCAAGACTTGCATAGTGGAATTTGCGTTATTGAGGTCCCGCAATTGCCGGCTGCGGATGAGTCGAAGCTTTTCTCAGTCCTGCCGATTCGTGCGGATGCGGCGACGGCAGCAGCATGATTCGTTGATGTTTGAAAATCAAGATCATCATTCTTGTACTTATAAGAAGTAGACGCCTTTCTCTCTCCTTGCTTGTGGTCCTGTAGCACAACTGCTAGAGCTGCTCTCTCCCCGAGTCGCCAAGACATCGCCACCACAACTAAGATGGTTCTTGTACTTAAGTAGACACCGCTCGCGCTCGGGGTCGGATCGAGTTTGATTTGATGAGTGGTTCTGTCGTCTTGATTTAAGATACAGGTAGTTACTGTTCTTGACACAGGAAGATACGCAAGTGTGGTAGTATTACAGAAACTTATCTTTTGAAGCAAGCAGCCTGCTCCACCTGTAACACAATGACTCTTAAGGTAGATACAATTTGTTGAATGATCTTTGGAAAGTTAAATACCAATACAGTACCTGTACATCTGTCTGGCAACAAGAACTATATGATACTCAGTATTGGACATCATGGGCAAACACATCGATTTCAGAGTTAGACGGTATCACGATGTTGATATGCATGAAGAGAACTTTCTTTCTTAAGGCCAAAGTTGCTTTCAATCAATTAATTCAAATTCTTGTTTTTTTTCATCGTGATAAATATGGTAGGATTTGGGATTCAATGGGCGGTAGTCATGTAGTTTCTTTTTTCAATATTTCAGTGGGAGGGCCCACTTGTTGTAGAGTAAAAAGCAATATTTGAAGTAGATTGAATTAATGAAGGGAGGAACGCACAGGGAGGAATCATGATTGTGGCTGTACGCTATGTTGTTGTCTACTTTACATTATGAAACCAAAATTTCAAATGCGAACGATGAAAGATGAAATAAATGATGCCTCTGTAGTGAATGTTCTTGGTCGAAGTTCTAGTGCTAGACCCAGATATGATATCACTGTGCAGTGACTATCTTGCCTCATGGTCATGAAGCAGTCGAATGAACACAAACGGTGGCTTTTGTTCTCTTGTTCTTGGGCAAAAGACAATCTCCATGTTGCTGTAAATCATCACGACTAGGAACAAAAAGGTAGGGTACCAGGTTCGGAGCACGATCATTCACGATGATCGGATCATCTCGGGGCATCAACGATCCGGAATAGAAAATGCAGATCATCTTCATCTTGATCTTACGTTCATCGTAAGCATTTAATTCCAAACAGAAAGAGTGCTGATCTAAATCTATCAGAACCACTCCCACAATTGATTTCTGATCATCTAGTTGGACGACATTTGCTTTGTCGAAATCATCATCTGAGATGTCCTCCTCATAAGTATCGACGATGTACATCAGGGCAAGTCAGAGTAGGATCGATAGTTTAGATCTTGAAACCATTGTTTCCATTGCTTGTTCTAGCTAGGCGTTATAAGAAAATGTCTGATAACACAACTACTTTTACCTCGTCGATTTCCGCAGATGCTGATGCAGCTGCTACCTCTCCAGCAGCCTCCTCCAGCAGAACCGCCTCTCCCGGAGCTATGGGCGACGTGTTGAATGACACACCAGCCATCGATTTTGCGAAGAGGTTGGAAGAAAACGACTCATCCAAGAATGACCCCAGTAGTATCCTCTCCACACTGTTGAACAAAACGCCCTTTGTGACAGAACAATGCGCGCAGACACTTGGTAAGGAGAAAAGTGAAGAATTGAAGGCACTTTATACCGAACTATCTGCGTCAGCGTCGTCTTCTAGCCGTGGCGTCAACCCTCTTTTCGAAAAAGTAGTAGAAAGGTATGATGCGCCTCACCTATATCCGGTTCCTGCATGGCTGGAAGGAGGAGTGAACTGTTGGACTGTGTATAACTTGTTGAAATACGCAAAAGCTGCACAACATGATGCATCACCTTGAAGGAGGAAATGTTGAAACGATTTCTCCAAATAGTCTAAATCCCCTCCAGTGATTGCAATCCCTACTCTCAGACGCACACTAAAATTTTTCGCAAATGATTTCCAAGAAATTTCGCATTGACAACGCCTACGCCAAAGAATGGGAAAATATCAGTTTCCACGACTCTACACCCCACGAGGTCAAGAAGGTGAGTCAGTGTTCATCTTGTTTCAGAGCTTCGGTTCTCAAGAATTTAGTGGTATTATTGGTGAAAAATTGAAATTCGGTTCTACTTTGATGAGAGTACTATGATTTTTGATTGCGAGTAAAAATGAGGCTCGACGTTTCTGAAGAGAGCAAGAAGAAGAAGAAGAACATGATGGTGAATTCAACAGAAGCATGAAATGATGGCTTGTTCTCTCCATGCGTCGTTGTCCTCTTCTGCAACACCGGACCGCATCAAATTTCTCTACTGACGAACGACGACCATGATGAAGTCTGGGGGAGTGTTGGTACCTCCACCGACAAGGGCTTGTCCATCGGGCGGAAGTCGACCATCGACTATGAAAAGGGTCGTGGTCATCTCATACTGCTCCCCTCATAATCTAAATCCTCGTCTCAACATTACCGCAAATGCCGTCATCCTCCAGCAGACGCGATCCCTCTTCAGCGCAGTGCACTCACAGGAGTTTTTGTGTCGGAAAGTGATCCACATGAAAAAAGAAGACGAGCATGGTATCAAAACGGAACAAGACCGCCATCGCGAACAGTACTTGCGCTTCAGAAGGCAGAGGCGGCAGAAATGGGGTGTTGGCTTGAATCCGTTGCATGGGTTGGAACGGTATGGGTTTACAGATCCGGGAAGTTTGAATTTTATGGTAGGTGTGCTGGATCTGGTTCTATATCTACTTCTAAGTAGTACTGTGCGTGGTGCATCACTTTCTTGTCAAAGTTTGTCTGTGCAGGTACGTATATAGTCCTCTTAGTGAAACAAATAGTAGTATCTTACAGCGTACATAGTCTACTTAGTGAAAAAAATAGTAGTATATCCATAATTTTTGCAATTTCTCAAACTTCCTCCTTTCTCAAGTAGTTCCCCATCTCAAACAGAAAGGTTACAACCATATTTTCCTTTCATTTCCTTCCCTGAACTTCTCGACGCCGCACACCGAGCCTCAGAGTTGAGAGTTAAGAATCCAATATTCTGGGGCCAAGTCGTTACACGGGGCACGCGCTTGCGGGATCTCTGCTCTGTCCACGAATTGATCGAGTTTTTACACGTGCTGCGTGTGGCGAGGCCTTTGGATCGCGATCGCGTCCTCTTGCTGTTGAAAAAATGCGTCAGGGAGATGAGACAGTTATGATCATATCCATAATTAGAGTACACAGTTATGATCATATCCATAATATTAGAGTTGAATGGTTAATCAACATAGATGAGACAGAGTTGATCAACAATGGTTAATTAAAAGTTGGATAATAGGAAGTTATCTATGAAATGGCGGGGATGCCAGGAGCAGGTCTTCTAGTTCTGCATGGTTGGACTTGATGCTAAGGAAAAGACGCCAGAAGACGATGATTACATGCACATCAGGAAGAAGCACTTCGGAGAATGCCACGCACTGTGCGTGAGCTTGTCGTAACATCTTCCACCTACAACCTACTCTAATCCCCGACGCCCCACGAATCACAGATAGCCGGGATTTGGCTTTAGCGATGGACACTTACGCACACTTCAAATTCAGGAGTGATGCGATGTGTGACGCGATATCTTTGAGGTCGTTGGAAATGCTGGCAGACGTGCTCATATATTGGAAACAAGTAGGAAAACTTGGAGATGGTTGGAGACCTAAGGAGCACGTTGAAAAGGTCATAGACGAGACGTCCTCTACGATTGTGAATTCTGAAGAAGACGGTGGACAGGTGGAAAATCAACGAAAAAGTACCATAGCCAGAAGACGCACTGCGCGCAAAGAAAAGATCAAGAAGTTAAAAGCAGAAGCAGAAGCAGCTGCAGCTACCTCGCCCGATGGAAAGGTAGGATCGAGTGGAAAAGAGACTCCTGCAGGTACTGACGTAGGCGTTGTAAAAGAGGATCTCGGCGCACACCAGGACGTCGTCAAGCCAAGCTTTTTCCCTCTTGACGACATTGCAAGCGTCGTGGGAAGCTTTTCGAAACTGGGGTATGCTCTCAACGACGAGTTGCGCATGGTAGTACAGAGGTATGTGTCTGTCTATCTGGACATATTGGCTGAAGAAAGGTCCGCTAGGGAGCTAGAGGATGCTTGTTCTCGTACGGAGAAGAACGGCGCATCTACTGGTGCTTGGAGCGCCGTGAAAGAGAAAATCACGAAGGTTTGTCCTACGTCGCTGAGCAGTCTTGTGTTGAGCAAAGAAAAGTCCTCTCCGCAAGCAACTGACGAGATAGAAGGTGGCGATGAACCAAAAGCCGTGCAGGAGAGAGAAGATGCATCAAGAACCTCCACGCTTTCGCTTTGCTCTCTCAGTGCGCTCAAGAACCTCCTTGAGGCAGGGATCGAAATCGAAAGCAGACATATTGTGCCCTTGTTGGAGGATTTTCTCCAGCCTGTGAAAGCTGAGGCTAGCAAGACAGGATCTTCTCAAGATCAACTGGAGAGTTGGTGCCATGTTGCCAAACACCTTCTTACTTCTGGAAAAAACAGAGGTGAGCAAGAGCAACAAGCTGAGATTTCCTCTTTACTTTTCCGTGGTGTCCAAACAGCTCTACAGGCAGACGAACCGCCACTGGGCCCTTTCAGTACGCGGTTAGAACTCGGAGAACGAGGACAAGGATATGAACATCAAGGACCACGGGGAGATCAACAAGAGGCTACTTTTGCTCCTTTCGCTGCATGTACCAAACAACAACTGTCGAAGTCCTCTACGTCTACAAGTGTAAGTTGCGAGATTGGCGCAAGAAGGAAGCAGTTATTTTCGAAGTTGGGAGGTAGAGGAGGTGGTCAAACTGAGAGTGCATCAAATTCCTCCTGGTCTTCAGCATCTTCATCTACTGGACAAAATTCATCTGGTATTAATGAATCAACTACGAGCACCAGCAGCCCTGCTGGTGCTGACCAAGAAGGAGATGACCAAAACACTTCTATAGGCGCTTCTTCCGACAGCAACCTCACTGGACTCGCCTTTCTGGAAGAAGCAGACCTGATATTACAGAAGACGCCAAAATGTGCCGCGACGCTCTTAGAACTGATGCAATTGGCCTCTCCAGACCTGGATGCATCCGCGTTTTATCAGTCTGAGCGTCTCAGAACTGTATTGTGGAGAAATTTCGTCCGACAGGCCCATCCGGATAAACATGGTAGCTCTGAATTCAGTACGGATGTTTTTCAACGTGCAAGTGCCTTTTGGGAGTCAATGTCGAAGAACACGGCTGCAGTTTCTGGCGCGGAGAATGAAGAAGATGAAAGCCATAGTACAACTAGGTCCTCCATATGGACGCCAGACACCAGACCTGTGTCTGAAAATGGAGACGATTATCAAGACAGAGATAGAGAAGATGATGGCGATGATACCTTTTCCGGCTCTGGAGGACTTCCAAAAACCGTAGTGAGAAATAGTGAGCTAATAGACAATCCGGGAGAGGTGGATTATCGAAGAAAAGTGATCAAAAACTTAGCTGTGTTTCTTAGAGCTGTGGTGGTCGTGGATCACTTGGCAGCAGAGAATGATGGTGGGGATTCTCTACTAGCCGAACATCACGAAAACCTACGAGCCTTCCTAGAACAAACTACGGCCTCTCACCTACTCCCATGCTTCCGGGAGATTATGGGTGACGAAATTTTCCCCGTGATAAAGGGTTACGAAGCGGCTGGATTGTCGATTTTTCTCGACGATATCGATAGTGGTGTTGATTCAGTGTCTTTGTCTGGTGTACGTTCAGCCCTACTACGAGAAGCGGTGCGAAAGTTTCCTTTGCTCGGGAAGAACGATATTTTAGAAATTGAACGGAGGATTTTGCAGCTTCCCAGGACGGAAACAAGAACTGCAAGAACAACGCATACAACTACTGCTAGAGTAGACTCGTCATCTTACGAGGCTCACTTTCTAGCATTAAAGAGCCGTTTTGTTGATAAGATTTCGTCGGCAGGATATCGTTTGGCCTTGGAAAAGGATGGTCAGGATGGGGGTGGAAAGATTCGGTGCGGAAGGTGATAAGAAACGAACAAAAATATAACGATTTCTACTTCTCTCGTTTTGGGACAAATATTTACAATTGATACTCGACATGTTTTTTCATGTACACGGAACCGCGAGACACGCTGTACTATATGATTTGTTGACTCTCTTTTTCTAGTACTTTAGTGCTCAGTAGATGAGATTGAGATAAGGCTTGGTTGAGAAGAATCATCTGAGATGCACACATGACATAGTACTTCGCCTTCGTATGTGACTAGAAATTTGTGTTGGTAATGGTTGAAAGAGAACGCTGTCGCCAGTGGTAGAAGATGACCATCAGAAACGTGTGAAGATGGACACCAAAATAGGAGCTCTGAACAGCGTAGGAACTGTAATATACTTGTTTTGATGGATATTCCAAAGGCGCTTAGGGTTATGGTAAAGATGAAGATGTTGACCGAAGACTTTGGAAATGGAGATCATCTTCTGTAATAAGTGTGTTCGGGGGACAACCGTGCATGGGAAAGCAGATGAAGCCGGGCAGTGCGACACAGAAAGAAGTGCGTCACTCGGCAGTCGTAGCATTTCTGGCCCCTGCCGGTTTGCGAACTGGATAATGCTCTGGCCAATCTTTCAGTAGCCCTGGGGTACGAAAACAAAGATCGCAAGCCAGCAAGCTTCTAAGATTCTAAAATGCGATTGCGACAGCTTGCTCTTGCTATTGTTACTACTTCTTGTCGACGGGAGATAATTATTCTGCTAGATTGTTTATTGTCCAATTTGGAGAGGCGTTTGTCGCTGACCTTTACGCACCGAGCCGCAGTGCTTCAGGCTTCCCGCGGGATAATTGAGTGGAACTATTGCGGGAAATTGTAGACCCACGCAACAACAAAAAAAAACCGAGGCGGTGGCGGCACGTGAATGAATGAAGACATTGTCTGATTAACAGGGAGGAAACGCTTCTAAGTCTTACCGAGCAAAATAATAGGAGGCGTAATCCTATGACTGAGCACGTCAAGCAGAAAGCGACCACATCCCTCCGAATCCCTGACTCTGTTGATGAAGTAGTGTGAAGCATGACATTTTCTATGAGATGATGATATTGCTATGAAGCATATTTCTTATGATCGTTCGTAGTCCCTAACCCTATTTGCAATATAATCATCTTGCTACTCATTTCTATTGACGCTTAGTCATTCTTTCATCATAGACACCTGTTCCATTCCCCAAGTGGGAACACCTGCATGACATACCAGGTCCCTCTTTGATGTAAACTAGACGTATGTAACAAAACAGTGTACTAGCCTAATATTATGTATCAGGAGGTGGATCATGCTCGCAATTGTGTCATTCGGTAGTCGTAGCAATAAATGCGAGAACTTGCTATTGCTATCGATTGTTGGACGACACGCGCCGCCTAGAATAGATGGATCCTACTTAGCATGGCCATGGCAATATAATATAAACGCTCTTTTATCTTTTATCTACATACATTTCTTTTTGCTTTTCCTAGTTCGGTTGGCTCCACCCATATATGCTATTGAGGTGTTGACAAAAGTAGCAACAGTGCCTCTTCTCTTGTCGTGACCAGGTCCAATGACTACTGCTGCTTCTCTTTTCGTTCTTTGGTCTATTGCTGCACAACGGCTAGCACTCAGACTGGTTGCGTCCACATAGATTGGTTGCGTCCAGGAAAATTCTTCTTCACGATGAAGGACGCCGATGTGTTTTGGGTCAGCGTTGCTCAGTTATTTTCGTGGAGCCTTCCGAAGCAAGCAAGAACGACGCCCTACTTTGGGTAAATAACTGACTTCACCGGACCCGGACCATGTCAGTGGGCCCCCGCGGGATGACAGCAAGTGTGGATATGCTGCTAAACTGACGGCAGAGTATGACGACGGTGCCCACAAAGTTCCGGCTGCGGTGTCGCATGAAGGAAGGCCTTAGGGAGTCTCCTTTCAGTCTTCTCAGGAGAGGAGTGTCATTTTTAAGCACGCTCAACTATAGGCCTTAGAAAACGTCAGATCATAGCGCGCTAGTTGTAGATCATTGCCATCAGTACAGCGAGGGGACGAAGGCTTAAGAGCTGCAGCACTTCACATCAGAGCAAGAACTAGCCGATGTTGAAGGTTTAAGAGTTACAGCACTTCATCTATTCACATGTTTAGTACAACTACTGACTTCGTCGGTGTGTGGCTATATTGTTCAAAGCTGTTCTAGTCTCTTCAGAGAAACTACTGACTTAATAGGTGAGTTCTCAAAGCTGTGCCAGTCTCCTTTTCTAATCTTTGTCGCTTCGCCTTTCTTTTCTCACCAGAAACGCGCTTTTGGTGCAGAAGCATTTCCACGACATAATGTGTATGTGCCGAGACGAGAAGCCAAAGGGACTCTGGTACGCGGACGAAGGCAGGCGTCGAAAGTGCTGCTGTTGCCTCCGTACGTCAGTGCCTCGGAGTTGCGAGTGATCTTCAACCTTGGATACGAGGAAATTTTCAAGCTACTCCGAGTCAATTTCGAAGCCGGTAAATTCTTTTGGCGAGACCAGGCAGGTCGCGTGTTTGAGACGTCTAATAATTATGCTGGACTACAACTTCCTAGACACAGGACATGAACTACTAGCTCTCTCTAGTAAACAGACTTGGACACGACAGAGTAGGTTGGACTACAACTCCTGCTTTCAGAATAGGTTGGACCGTTACTGCTCTCTCTAGTAAACGCACTTGAATATAAGTCACATGCTGTGGGACTACAGCTCTCTCTAAACGCACTTGGATGCCGCGCTAGGTCTCTAAGTCTCCAGCGTGGCCTAAAGTCTCCAACACACATCTATGAATATCTTAGAATATCGCCCTTCTTGTCTCCTAAACTTTTTCTATGCCATCTATATATTTAACTCTCTCTACGGAAGAAAAGACTTCAGCGCAGCTGTGCTACCATGATTGATCAACTAACTCTCTCTAGAAATTCTATCAATGCAGTTGCTGCGTTCATATCCTCTAATATCAACGCTGTGTCCTCGTGAGCTTTCGAGTGGCGGCGGCAGCAGCTGCAGACTTCGGATACGAACCAAGGCTGCTGGACGTAGAACCTGAGTGGGATGTGTCCAAACTCGCACACCACATGGCGCGGACCAGAATGGGAGGCATGGAAACCGCGACTGAAGACGCCAAAGGTGTTAAGGCTAGCACACTTATTATAGTGTTCGGTAGGCTAGTAGAGTCAGCGTTAAGTAGGCCAGTGCAGTCAGTGTTAATAGGCTAGTACAACAGCGAGTCCATCTCCTTATGCGTAGCGTATCTTGATCTTTTAGCAGTTGTTTTCCACAACTCTTCTGAAGTGGCTCGCTACGTAAAGAACAGCGTCTACGTTCGCCGTGTGCAGGTGATTATCTCGTCTAAGCCCCAGCACACTGAGCAGCAGGCAGGCGTGAGAATCCCCGTTGCGGTGGTTTTAGGGCACGTGGATGAGGGAAAAACGACTTTTTTGGATCGAGTGCGTGGCACCAACGTGGCTGATATTGAGCCTGGAAAGATCACCCAAGATATACGCGCGTTTATTAAGGCTTACAGTAATTCGCATCTTTGTGGAAGATCAGCAATTTAGCATCTTCAGAAGCATCTTCTTGGTCCCTCAAGCAGGTACTTAGATCAATTCAATCAAGGACAGCTTTCGGGCACTTCTCACATATACACTTTTAAGGGAAGGGAAGCGCGTTTTTTCCAGATGCTTATTTTCAAGATGAAGCCAAGTAAGCTCTAAGTTTACTATCGACAAGAACGCATTTGCTCCTGGTATGCCTGAGCAGAGCTTTTGTGGCTTAGAAGAAGAGACGGTCGGCAGAGAACTCGAAGATGAAGTTTACCATTTTGATCAAGGGACGACTACTAGTTCCTACACTAGCAGTGGAGCCGAGGGCAGTCTTCTGAATCCACGATCTGTACACTCTTAAGGCCGCGATAACGCGTGTTATAGCGCATTTTGATCAACTAATGAGGGCCTCACTTATCCTCTCTTGCAGTGAATTTCCTGCAATGTATCTAGCGTTCTACTGTAGTTGAGGACTCACTTAGAATGCTCCTGTAAGATGCTATAATGTTGCATGCAGCAAACCAGAATACAGCAAACCAGGACTCATCCTTTCTTGCAATTAGAACTGCTTTTAAGTAGTGCCTTCTCTGGTAGGAGCGATGGATCCTTCTAACATTTCGCAGACGAGGAACGGGCATTACGATGTTTACAGGATCGCGATCTACCAGAACTCGACCGCCAGAGGCGTGAGCTCTATCTCCGCGAGAACACGGCCAGAGCTGTTGCAAGAGAAATTTATGGCTTTTGGTGGTAACGCTTGAGATACTGATAGTAAGGATTTGTTACTTGTTCCATGGAAGTCGGCTCTCTCTCTTTGATTCTTAGCATTCATCTGAAAAAATGATCGTAGGACGTGAAGATATGGCTGAGGAGAATTTTTAGGTCCGTGGTTTGACGGTGAGAAATTAGATTTACCAAGTAGATCTACACGTGACGAAACTTACCAAGTAGGCGCCACAGACCAAGTCTATGATTGGGAGCGACGAATCAAACGATGCTGGAGTGGCCAACCTCCTCTAAGACAATGATAGGCCAGAGCCACCGACGAGTTATGTGCGCTTTCAGGATGGCTTGGATGAGAAAGGTAATGGCCCAATACATTTCGGAGAGGATCAACCTGCGCAGCCTCTTCTTCTTGGGAATACAGAAGTCGCGCAGGAAGCTGCAGACAGTAATCCATCGATCCTGCGGGATGAAATGGAGGCAATACCACGTCGAACACCCTCAACCTATGACGCGCGAAGAGGTAGAAAGTCTCGAAGATTGAACGAAAGAGGTGGCTTTGGCCTGGATCAGCGGGAGTCTTCCACTACGACCACGACTACGTCAAGGGATGTTGAGGGGCCATCTAATCCCTTCGGCAATGAGGAGTCGTCTATTAGTATCACTCGGAACATCGAGGAGTCTTCGGACCTAGTTACCCAGGACGATGATTCTTCTGCTCTCCTGACCAACAGCGACGATTCTTCTGATATAATGCGTTTTCGTCGGAAGAGGCGGCGCTTTGGGTCCTCAAATATGAGACGGGATAAAACCGGTCGTCGGACAGTAGACATGGACGCACTAGCAGTACCAGACGAATCTGTACCAGCAAGCGGAGCTGCAGTTGATAGCTGGAAGATTAAGGCGGGTTAGTGGGAGTAGATCTGATTTTTTTTTCTAGGAACGAGTAGGTTTCGTGCTACTTTTTTTAAGAACTTCTCTGCTTATATCCATTGCAACTAATTGCTTGCTTAGGATAGTATTTACGCTATACCGTTATAGAAGGTATCTATCTGTAAACGAATGCCATAGGGACTGCCAAATCTTTCATCGGGGTCTGCTATCCAAAAAAGTCGTAAGCTGTTTGAGCAACCACGGCAGATAAAGGAGTATCCATATCTTCAAAAGGGGGCAAAGGTCGTGGTTGTTCTCTACGTCTGCTAATAAACGTCGTAAGTTGTTCGAGCAGCCGCGACAGCAGAGCACGCGCGCGAAACCTCGTCCAGCGTTTACGCTGGCTGAAAGTCGCCACAAGTTTCATCGCAGCAGAGCACGAGGCGCACGCCTAGTCGATGCACAAGTAGCTGCCAGTCGGAAACGCAAGCGGCTAACTACTAATCTTATGTCCCTTCGCCTTGCATATTCAATATTTTCATCACTACTACTTCTCCTACTAGGCGTGACGCGGCGTCTTTAGTACTAAGTCACTCTTTCTATATCTACAAGGTGGCGGATTCTTTCGACAACATCTACAAGGCAAAGGCCATTCTAATACTGGCTACATGGTCGAACGCGATACGGTTTTGAACGAAGATGCGCAAGAGACGGACGACCCTGGTGAGCTTTTTATACGTGAGGACGCCTCTCAGTCGCCAATTTTTGCTGGAGACCAAGAGATGGAGCAGTGGCCTGCTTCAGTAGGTGCTATTGAGGAAGATCAAGATGGATATGGAAGTAATCGAAGTCTTCGAGAGCTGAGCTACATGGAGAAGACGAGCGCTGTTGCGGAAGCAGACGTGCCGGGTAATGAAAACAAGGGAAGGGATTTGAATGCGGATGCAGAAAAGGCATCTTTTGAGGACGAAACATCCAAGAACGAGGGATCTCTTTTTAGTGAAGGCAAAGCACTTTCTCCACAAAATGAAGACCTCCAACGAACAAAGCCTTCTCTCCACGATGGTGAAGCCTTTGATGAAGACGAGGTTGTGGAGTCAGCACGTATCTTCTCTGCGGCTCAACAGAGAACCGCACGTGACGGAGAGCAAGCTCTGCGGCGTGAGCTAGCACGGTCGGGAACTCTATTGGCTAAAGATTGCACGGGACTAGAATCCACCAGTTCGTCACAAGTTATGGAGGTGTCGGAAGATTATGCTCGTGTAGGCAATTTTCAGCGATGGCGCCCGGTCCTATGATAGTAGAAACACAACCGCCATTGTCTCAGTAGAGGGCTTCCCTCTAACCATTACCCGTTCGGACACAGTCTTGACCTACGGACGAATCAGTATCCTTTAGCCCTCTATCGCCCTCTAGACGCAAGACCAATCACATGGATCGACACACCCGGACACGAGCTGTTTGAGCTGATGCGAGGTCGGACAACAGCGGTCGCGGACGTTGCTGTAGTGCTATTTTCGGCTCCTATGCTACTTAGATTGGGGCCGGCGCAAACTCAGAGCATTGAATTTGAAACCCAGCAATTGCGCAGCAAAATGCTCGAGTTGCTTTTACATGTCGAAAAGTGGAAGACTCCAGTTGTTTTCGTGCTAAACAAAATCGATCTCCTATCCGCAAACGATACTGGTGCAGACATCTCAGTGGCCGCATCTGAACAAAGAAGAACATTAAAAGTCGAGATGTTACAAAAAGCCCGCACTGCCTTAGCTTCTGAGTGTGGTCGCCTCCGCGCTGCTGGTGAAGTCCAATTCGATTGGGCGCCAAATGCTATGGAGGCTTTGGGAATGAACGCATTGTCAGACCTCCAATCCGTGCAGTCGGTCGTAGATCGCGTCCACGCAGTGGCCCGAGACTGCGGATTGCCGAGTTGCAAGAGTGTCGTGTTGGAAGAAGTGCGGACGTCTTCGAGCAAGAAGGGCGGGCAAGACACTAGTACTAGAGGAGACGCGAAAAAAGAAGATGACTCAGCATCTGCTTCATCAGCTCCGTCATCACGACAAGGGCGAACCAAGGAAAACGAAGCCGATACTTCTAGGCAAGGAGGAGCAGCAGTTTCACTACCGCCTTCCCCAGTGTTGCGCAAACTAGGCATTCCAGAATGTACAAGCGTTACACCTGGTACTGCTGCGCAGACCGCCTGCTACACCCGCCGCACAGATCTCCTGCAAGGGATAGACCGGGCGCCGCAATGTCTCGGTCAAGTCTTGGAAGTGGAGAGGACCGCGGATCGTGGCACTTTATTAACCGTTCTCGTCAAATACGGCGTCTTCCAAAAAGGCGCTTACTTTGCGTGCGGGTCTGCGTTTGGACGAGTGCACACGCTTTACGAGGGTGATGACGTCCTCCGATTTCGGCGGGAGACCGCGCGGTCAGCAAAGTTGATGCGATGCGCGACAGTGAACGTTGCGAAACCTGGGATGGCGGTTCGAGTCATGGGACTGCGCAATGGGCCTTTTCATTACGGAGTGAAGGCGTGACTCTTGTTTTTTCCAAGTTAGGCTCTATCCACCATTTGGAAGTGTGCACCTGCAAGGAGAAGTGATTGGTGCAGAACAAGATAGAGGATTTGTAGAACCTTCACCATAGAGTAGTATCTTTAAGAACAAGTCTAAAGCAGCTACTTCTACCACTAGCCCTTCCATCGACACACATCAGTTGTAACTTCTAATCCCTCGGTGGTGACGTGAGTAATGGCGATATCTTTATGGTCTTCGAGCGAGAGCGCGCTTTCCGTCTACATTTACACCGGTTTCGGATTGAGGAACTGACCAAATCCCAAAGGTCGGGTCCACCTCTGCAAGTTCCATGGGAGTTTGATCCTGTGAACCTGGGAAACCGCGTAGAAGCAGATCTTTCAAGAGGACTTTCTTTAGGGTGGATATATTAGGTCTTTAAATCATGAAGCAAGTGCTGTACCTGTAGTGTGTAGTATGATTTTTTTGCACACTCCTAGGTGCTGACTCTTCTTCAATAGGCTTGCGGGGAGGACTTTTTTACGAAAACTTGTTCGATGAAACATAGGTAGCAGCGCTCTAATTCCCCGTCTAGCTCGCGCTGCCTCTGGAGCAGAGAACCGAGATCGGAAAGACGTCAGGCCAAACGGCGATGAAGATGATACTACTGAGAACTACTCCGACGACGAAGATGCTCTTGAAGGTGAGGATGGGCTAGAATCTACTTCGTTTGATAGTAGTGTAGAAGAGTTTGGCGGGAATTCGCATAAGAGACCAATCTTCAAGAAGGGAAAGTCTCGAATGATGTGCCAGGATGATGATTCTGATTCTGATTCTGGATTGAGTCGCAGTGAGGCTCGTAGTATCTTGGTTGAACCCACAACTGGCACTACGGATACGGAGCGAGGGAGTCTCGGATTTGACGAAAGCCACTCGTTACCGCGTGGTCGTAAGAGTGCTCGACGTCGAAAGCATGCGTGTGGTAGCAGAGAAGGCGGACAGGAACTAGGTGAAGACAATCGCGCTTCTTCCAAGAGTAATGCTCTTCGAGATCACGTCTACTACGCTGACAAGATGAAAAATGCGGGAAGAGACCACCAAGAAGCTGCATCTTCCTCCACTGCGGTTGGTGGGGATGACAGCGTGGACTTCACATCTGAGGCAGGAATAGACACGCAATTGACGTTGTCCAGATGGCAGAAACGTAACGCTGCTAGATGGAAACAGCAAGAGAGGGACGAGCTACAGCTTCAGTCTGAGCAGCTAGCTTCTCGCGCGATTTCGCGACGGGTATTGAACCTACCTCCCGACACTGACCCAGATTTTTTCCGGAAGAAACAGGCGGAGAAAGACAAGCGTGCACAAGCCTTCGCGAAAGAGAAGTACTACGACCCGGAGACTTATAATGCTGATGCGAAAAGAGAGGGACAGGAGTGTCAGGAGGCCCAGGGCCAGGGGGCGATAGTGCTGGAGTCTGACGAGCATGATGATGTCTCATCTAATCGTCATAATTCTTCATCGCAATCGCCGTCTTTTGCTGCGACAATGAGTGGCGCATCAACTAGATCAACTACTCCTGGATCGAGAACTGTACGGGAAGAAGATGGCGGCCATGAGGATACGCTTGATCACGAGGCTCACGAACCAGGAGACGACATGCAAGATGTTGCTGAAGCTGTAGAGGCAGGTGAAGGTCGTCTTCTTGTGCAAGCGCAGGAACTGGCAACGAACGCACTCCCGTCAGCATCTAGACGTCCTGTCATTAGTGTGATGCTGCGATGTAAAAACGTTGGGCTATTTGATGCGGTTCAGTCCGAGTTAACCAGGCTGGAGACAGAGCTGCAAGTTCGATTGCCTATCGTCCATGGCGGAATTGGCCCAGTCGTGCCGAAAGACATTATCCATGCTGAAATTATGAGGGGACGAAATAGTAGTTCACTCGCCCGCTTTCTTCTCAGCTTCTGGCGGCTCATGATTTCCCCATTGAAATAAGTAAAGTCACTAGGCGTCTGTGGCTCATTATTTTTTCTTTGAAATGATAGTCAGCGAGAGTTCATTTTGTTTCATCGATACCTGCATTGTGAGTGTGAGTGTAAAGCACTTTTCTCCTTCATAAGCCTCGAGCGGAAATACGGCTACTCGCCAGTATATGCGCTTTTAACGGGTGTACATTCGCAAGCGATCCAGCACGCAACTCTGAAACGTATAGAAGTGCGCAAGCATCGGGTCTTGCAGACACTGATCCAGGACATCAGGGACCGATGCGTGAAAGTCCAGTGGAAGGTGACAAAAGCGAAGACAAACGATGAGGTGAGATGCTGAAGTCTCGCAGAAATTATCTCGTTGTAGACGATAAGTTGCAGTCTCGTAGTAGATCATGATGATGAATACTGAAGATGAAGAATACCTAGCGAATTTGACTCAGACGGACCAGCGAATGCGACAAAGGAGTAGGCCTACTGCTACGAAGAACAAACTGAACCCCTAAAAATCTAAAGACTATCTACATCATACGGACCTTGACCTTTTGCAAATCGTTGGACGTGATGCGACTTTTCATTCTATGTGATTTTTCTTCGTAGACCAGGGAAGGGCAATACGGGACACTTGAATTCGATATGAACCACCGTAAAAGTTTTGCTGTTGATGTGCGGCGATCATGCGTGACTTGCTGAGTGGAAGTGGAACATTTGCTGAGTAGGGCAAGAGCTGGCGGAGAGAGTGGAGATTCGTTTAATAAAGCGGAAGACTGCGAAATAAAGCAAAAGCCCTTAATTCTAGTTGATAAAACAATAGCGAAGAAAAAAAATATACTAGGAGAAGACAAAGCCAATCGGCCTGGTGGTGTCTTAGAAACTGCTTGCATAAGGTTTTTTGACTTCTCGAGATTCGCTGTGCTTGAAAACCTATCACAACGCCAAAAAATGTTCCACCTACTTCCTCTCTTTGAAAACGTCGATAATATCTAATGACAAATCCAAGCACAACGCCGAACGCATTTATGATAAGCACAGCAAAATAAACCATTCCTTTTCCCGCTTGTGCCATTCTTGAGCCTTCTCCGTTGCGTTTGCGAAGGAGGTTCTTATAAGTGGAAGAGCAGGAGGCTTACTTGGTTACGTGCGTACTCTCAGATTCTGCCGTCTCTATCTGCGTCAATCTCTTCTCTGTGCAACTGAGCAATGAAACTCTGTTTTTCATCTTCGGTGTTTTTTGCCTTTTCTGTCAGTCATGGTTCACGATCTTTTGTGAATACACTTGTTTCTGTCTGGTGCTGAATTTCGGTTAAAGGAGATACGGATCGACAGCTGCAACTGTGTACGCTATATAGTACATACTTACTTTCATTGTCATCTTGATCTTCTGTGAGTCGTGTAGATTATGTAGTACAACATACAGAAATAGATGTGTTGAACTTGAAAAAAATTCTTGAGAAGATTTGACTTGCCTCGTCTTATAGCCCCATTAGTGTGAAGATGTAAACGCATGTCGATATTGTTGTTCCTTCGGTAAATTATCAAACAAACCCAAGGTAGTACAACTCTTCAATACAAAAACTCGTTGACCTGGCAATCGCACTCCGACGAAGGCGCTGGCCCAATAGCGGGCACTCTTCAACTAGAACTACGACAACAAGAGCTATCAAGATGTCGATGATACAACACGATATACATCGGGAGACCACGACGGAGGGGCCTCCAGGAGTGTATTCGAACGGACTACAGAAAATAGCGGAGAAATGGACTATCATGAAGCCATTGGTCGGTCCTGGCGGGAAAATCCGTACAAGGACGCAAAGCAAAAACAGAAAAAGTAGCGTCATGCCATTGTTATGATTATGTTGCAGCTCGTGGTTGTGCTTGACGAATAAGAATCTTCCTGCTTATTTGAATGATTATACATCGTCATTTTCGTTAGAAGTTGGTCATGTACTACGTAGCACTCGTGATCATAAGCTGCCAGAAGCGCACACGGAACTGCACTCTTTTCCCTCTCGTCTTGTTTAAGTACTCAACTTCCCCGGCTCCTCTTCCCCATCCTCTTCTAAAATGCGACCAAAAGGTGTTTTCGATTCAATACAGCTACCCTATAGAGGACAGAATCGCTGTGAGTTACGGAGATGGCGAAATCAGAGTGATCGCGTTGAAGGATGGAGACACACAAGTCTTGAATCCGAATATTCGGAAGGCAGGTACCGTGGTACTAGATGTAACTTTCATCTGGTACTAGATGCAACAACTTTAGAGATGCTCAATACTCGTGTTGAAATCGATTATATTGAACAGTACTCACACTCAGGTCAAGATGGTGGAGAGGATGATAACCTTAGAATGCTGGTGACAGAGAAGGTTCGATACCCAATCACAGCAGTGCGATGGCAGGGAGCTAACAGCAAAATGTTGGTATTAGTCTTTGTCTTTGTCTTGTTACCTGGACATTTTTGTTCCGAGTAGTGTGAGGCTCGATCATTTCTTCAAGGGTAAACTCTAGCAACAGAGCCCCTCTTCACCCTGTGATGTCCTATCGTAATCGTAATCGGAAAATCCCACTCTTCGTGTGACCTGAGCTCTGCACGACCTCCACCTTCCACCACCAAATAGATTTCGACCTCACCCGGAGATGCCGGTTTAATTCAGTTCTGGGACACAGCGAGCGGTCGAGAACACGCCCACTTCATTTAAGGTTAGGTTAAAGGTGCTTTTGTTACCGTTTGTTATGGCTCTCCTAAGGGGGACAACCATAACAAGCGGGATAAACGAACACCAAAAACCTACCTCTAATTCATAGAGGATGGGAATCGAGCGCAGGTGTTGGACTTCGCAAAAAAAGGAACCAGCTTCGCGAGTGGTGGTTCCGATGGCATCATTAGAGTCTACGACTCTTTGAAGGTACTTATGGCAGTCTGCACTGAACTTTGTGCGAGATTAATTGTATTGTGTTGTACTTTCTTATACTTCTAGGTAGTTTTCGTTTTGTCTCCTGGAGCGGGAGTTTTGTTTTCTTTACTGCTTGTTTGCACGATCAGTAGACTGCGCACAGCTGTTTGCTTTTACGAAGCGCAACAAAACTGCAAACAAATCTATATGAGCAGGTATGTAAGAAGCTTGGTGGAGATGCCGAGAAGGTTGGTAGAGGACACTCTAGTGGTGTCATCGCTTTGCGGTTTCATAATACAGACGTCAATTAAGGCTTTTATCCGTGATCCATATTGAGGGGCATCTTACTTTGATTGTATCCTTTTATTTCATGGAGAACATAGATGATATTTTTAATATTTCATCAAAGTAAGATTAAGATAGCCATAACATGAACATGAACTTCAAAGATGCCTTTCAATTTCATTTTCAAGATGAATAATATAGGTAACGACCACCGGCTCTAAGTCAACCTTATTCTGTCTGGTGGCATGGATCGGCAGATTTTCTTATGGGATATAGCCGCCGGACAAATATTAAAGAGATGCCACGGACCTCGACTTGGACCTGATGTTATGACGATCTTCTTCTTCAGGCGATCTTCAGGCGATTGACATTGATACTGTACTGATTCGATTAGTACTGTAGTTTGACAAACTCGATTCAAATTGTTTATGTATTTTTCTCCTCTTTTTCCTTCCAGCTTTACAATCTTACACAAGTGGTATGAGGAATATGCGAAGTAGATACCTCCACGACCGAGGCCCATCTATACCGACTTTCATTCATTTTCGTCTAACCCCCGTCTCGACTACGGTATGCACGGATTAGAGGTTGTTTCGGGGTCAAATGATCCCCGTGAGGCCATCCAGCTTTGGGATATGAGCGGCAAGGGAAATGAAATGACCGTTGCGAAGCAGATCTCTTTTTTGAAATTAAGGTACTACTGGGTGCAGCTTATTGTTCAAGTTCATCCATTTTTGGGCACTTACCTATAGGAATACGCGTAGGTGCTTAATAGGCACTCTACTAGCAGTGGTTTAATAAGAGAGCAGACTTGAGAACAAGGACCGGTAGCAACATCACTAAATACGAAGTGTAGCTCGACTGTGTAGTCCTACAACTCGTCCTCTGCTCTAATTAGCTATAGGTGCTCGACTACTTTCAAGTTCATCTCTAATAATAGAGCGGACCGAAGCTGCACCGATGGAAGGGACATCATCCCCAGGACCGAAGGCGAAGATCATAGAAGCCTCAATACGGGAGCCTGCTCGCATCACTATGCCCGTCGAGGATTTACTGGAAGGCAGCTCTCCAAAAAATAAAGAAAAAGAAGGAAAATTACGTCAATGTGTGTCTGTTTCTGTTGCCGTTCGTAGCTTTGATGTCGTCCTCCATCTACATTTATTTTTGCAAGGACAGGGTTAGCAGTAGTACTTCTGTTGTACATTTGAATTCAAATTCGATCATGATTTTTAGCAGGACTAAGGGAGGAAAGCAGGACTAAGAGAGAAAGCTAGCAACACCAAAACCCTACCTCTAAGAACTCAAGACGAAGGCGAGAAAAAAGATGAGTCTTCGTCTTCAACGACGACTGTTATGATGAATTTGATTAATGGGTACGATCTGATGTATCTCTAAGCAACGATTAGTGGAGTCACTAACCCCCAACAAAGCCAGATGACCTTAAATTTAATGTCCCCTCCCCGTATGCTAACACCGATACTGTAACTCATTCGATTTCAATCAATTATATTATAATACTCCTGAGACTCTCAGGCTGAGAAATGATGATGAACTTTGAACTCAATGATCAAGGTATAATTCTACATAGAGATGAACTGCTTCACCTAATAGGCTATGTATTGATTTCAACACTAACATCGCCGCGAGAGGCCTTTCTAAAGGAGGTGATGCAACAACGGCAGGCAAGAAAGAGAAAGAGGGCTCTTCAAAAGTGGAAGAAACGTCGAAAGCAGGAGAAGGTGGTTCGAAGACAGATGCTACCGCTAACAAGAAAGGTGCCGGTAAAGCAGCTGCTAAAAAGACAGAGGAGGAGGAAGATTATGTTGGCAACCAATGCTTTTGCCTCATGTTGAAAAATCTGGTGAATTTAGGTTCTATCTTGTTAGATCATGACCTATTTCTACTTGATTTTTCGATGAACATCAAGGTTGGTCTACTCCACAGAATCCTCAGAGGAATATCTCGTCCAATTCCACGCTCTTGTTCGTTCCTCTTCAAGAACGTTCTCTCTTCTTGAACTCATCTAATTTTTGTTGCAAGGGACGCCCACTTGTGTTACGAATCAAGGCGTGTCCTGCGTTCGCTTTTCCGGTCGAGCCAATTACGTACTCGTTACGTCAGGGAACGTCTTCCGTATCTTATGAATGTTTCCGTGCTGGGTAACTTGATTCTTCACTGGCACTTATCTCACGCTTCATCCGTCATTTGTAGGTACATTACACCTGCTGCGTTATAGGTTTTTCCTTGATTACAGTTTTTTCCTCTGTACTGTAGGTACATTACATGATCTGCGTTAGTACTAGTAACCTTGTAGGTGATGTACTTCCCGTTCCCTCCATGACTTATACTGAAGGGAGAATATTGGCTGCTCTAACCTTGTATCATCGCCACACCGGCGACGCTGTGGCTGAACATCGGGTAGGGGAGGACGAGGAAGAGCCCGACAAGCCTGGCGATGATTCTTCTGATTATGTTCTTGTTGAAGATATCTAGACGTGGTAAACCGACTATTATACCAGTTTAACCTTAACGCCCGCCCTCCCCAGAAAGAACGATTTTTACATCTAATTGCACTAGATGACCGATTACTTCCAGTAATATAGCGTCCACGTCCACCGGGTCCCTTGTTTTATTGTTCTGTGTATGTTGTTGACTATGATTGAAGATCTTTCTCTGAGTTGTTCTTTTTCTAACGGTTGGGCCCTCTGAGACAGCGAAAGGTGACAATTACTGCGATGGAGCTAGATGAAGAGAACAACACAGTGGTTTTGGGCGATAGTCGTGGTCTACTGCACGGCCTAGAAGTGTCAGAAATCCTACATCGTGACGGTAACGAATCGAAGAAGCGCTCCAAGGAGCAGGTTGGCGCGCCACGACGTAAGAGTGAGAATACCGATTCAAAGACATTGTTGACGCTTTGAAGAGATGAAGAGGAGAAGAATGAACTTCAATGGTTCACGCTTTGAAGAGGCTGACGCTTTTAAGAGGAGGAGGCGGAGGTGATAGATAGATTCAAAGACATTGCTGACGCTTTCAGGCATTGATGTTGACGGGGATCGATGAGGAGACTGTCACGGGTGTTTGTAGGCACGACAATGCGACAGGGATCCTCATCTATTATAGGTGAGGAGGTGTTGATCATAAGGGTAGGGATCTTGATTGGTATTGGTGAGTGCGGGTGATGTCAGGGATTTGACTGCCTTTCTAACACCTTGTCATGCACACCCGCGACTGCTCTACCTGGACCGACGTACTTGCATGGAAGTATCAACATAATTTGTTAGTGATTCATTGAGGGAAAAAAATTTCAAACCACTGACATTAATAGGATAAGTTTTTAGAAGTAAAGAGTAAGAGATTGACACAGCACCCCAATCAGTATAACCATTCCGAATTCATCGAATAGCACTCGTAACACGAAAAGCTCCCTGTGACGTATTTAAAATAAAAGGATCAATAAGTCGGTGCTGTTCCCACCGTAGTTAGAGGTGAAAGAAAAGCACGCGATCGTGATGTTGTTGACAAAATTAAAGTCCAGAAGATATAGAAACTTTTAGGATTTCAGTTGCTGTTGAGTAGTCAATTGGTCTATCGAGCGATCTGAAATAGGCAAGATCTCGAAGTCTCAAATTATAGGCGAGGAACTCTCAGTCTAGCATAAGCGTGCGCTGTTATTCAACTTGCTTCACTTGAGAACTGAGTGATCGGCTTGACGAGTCGAGCCTTCCCCAGTCTTTTAGAAGGAACAGATAGCAGGGCGCCTGCGTCTGTTTTCCGGCTAATGAGCAAAATCCTCCTTCGTTGTAGGTCCTCATCTCGTTCCTCCCTCGTCTGTTACCATGGATCAAGAAACAGGAGTGGTAATCTGTGTGAGCTCATGGAACGCGAAGTGGACTCATGGCGACCCGTGAGATGCCAAAATGAGGAACCTTGTAACGAGACCCCATGCCCATCTTCCTGCCTGGTCTTGCCTCTAGGCTCCCCAGTCCTAGTTAGGCGATCAGCTTTCGCCTCTGGTTGATTTGGTTCGTCTCCTCCCAAATGTCGAAGATCGTTCGAAGTGTTCCATTGCAGCTAGGTTGTGTGCGTGAGCCTTATTGAGATCAGGGCGCGGCCTTCTCCGTTCGGCGCTAGCCAGGTGCTCAAATAAAGGAGAAGAGGGACCAGCGAGCTTCATCGTGGTTGGTTTAGGTTGCGATAGTAGTCAGTTGGTCTATCGAGCGATCTGAAATAGGCAAGACCTCGAAGTCTCAAACTATAGGCAAGGGGCTCTTAGTGTAGTCTAGCATAAGTGTGCGCTGTTATTCAACTTGCTTCACTTTTTTCCCCCCTCCCCTCCCCTAGTTAAGAAACTACGCACCTGATGCCGGGACGCTGGGAAAGGAACGCGTCGGCAGAAGCAGTGAGCTGGTCAAGGAAGAGGCTGGGCAAATCTTTCGAAGATCAGCTAGCTCTATTGGAGAAGAAGCCCCTTCCTGCTTCTTCCTCTACCGCAACGGTGACGGCGGGTGAAGAGTTGCCAAACCTGGGCGAAGTCGTTGAGCTCGCAGAAGGTGTCCCACAAGCCTTTTCGGTAGGACCGCCAGGCAGACACCGAGCAAGATACTAGCCAAAGCCTGCCGCTACAAGGAGGAGACGAGGAAGCTTCCAGTTTCCAGCAAGTGGCCGCCTCGAACCTTCTGGAAAGCCCCCCCGGTGCAGGCCACTCCCCAAGCAGTAGAGGCTGCGCTCTCGGATATGCAAGAAGTTCTTTCGCAAGAAGCGGGGGAACAAGAGCTGGCGCTGGCGGTGCCGGCCGCCTCCTCATCTTCTTCGTCGAGCTCATCTGCTACGAGTTCGACAGGGCCAATGCTTATACCTGCAGGGCCACTACTGATAGCAGATCACGCAGGGAGGTTTACCATCTTCGGGCTCAACTTCGTCCAACAAGCTGACTGAAGCTGGAGGGAGGACCTTTTTCAAGCATGGAAGGAATGCGCAGACGGTGGCAGGAGCAGGCCTTCCGCCGGGTGCAAGACGCTTAGGCCCCGGGAATCTCTTAAATTGGAAGGCAGCCCTGAGATTCATGAAGCAGGCCCGCGAAGAAAGCGCAGCACTGATCCCGCCCAACCACCCAGCGAAGCCACTACTTCAGAAAGCAAGCGGGTTAGACGCCTTCATGGCTCAACTAGATAAAGGGACGTCGCCGCTCGACGAACAAGCAAGATTGGCAGGATCCACGTTTAAGGCGTATCCCTTTGCGTTTTGGAAGTATGTGGAGCTCATGTGGGCCATCAATCTTGATGCCCACCCGCGGTTTTTGTCTCCGGAGGCAGACAGTAAGGCTCTTGGCGCAAGCTTTCCAAAAGTGTGGAGATTTTACAAAATCCAAAGCACAGTATGCCGAAGACGTGAAGCGTTGCGCAGAGCTCACGGCGAGCTTGCACGCGCAGACGCTGAAAACCTTTTCGCAGGTGCTCAGTCAGACTGTACTGCTTTGGAAAGCCAAACCTATCACGGCGCAGAGGCAGGGGGTTAGGTTCGCACACTTGTTAGTGATGGCCCTCGTGTGTTCTGAGGAACCCTTGGCGAAACAAACTAGAGGCTTCGCTCGCGGGAGGCAATACTCGGCAACTAGCTTTCTTCAATTTTGCGTCTTTGCTTGGTTCTTCGTGATGAGGCTGGGTGAGGTGTCAACAGCAACAAGGAAGATGCTCCAACTCCAAGGCTGGGCGCGCCTGGTAGTGGCATCGGCTAAGAGCAAAAACCTGGCAGCTGCGCCCCAAGTAGTAGACTTGTGCTGCTGTTGCGATAGCTGATAGGGCGCCAGCCTTAGCCTCTCGGCCGGTAAAATTCTGCCCTCGGTGTTGCTGTAAGGGCGAAGTGTATGCGCTATTTGCTTTTACGCAGTCGCGGGCGCTTGCAATTTTATTGGGGAAACTGTTGCGGTTCGCCGGTTTAGGGCTGGGCCAACGCGGGACCTCGGCGCTCGCGCAACGTGGTTCATCAGTAGCAGAGCACACTTCGTCTTCGCCAGTAGCTAGTTAGCACACAAAAGCCAAAGGTGTGCAAGGACATGGACAAGGCAAAGAAAGAACTTAACTCACAGTCAATGAGAATTGGAGGAGCCAAGTCAGCAGTGGGCGCTGGGCTTTCCAATGAGAAAGTGAGTATAGTTGGAAGGTGGGACTCTTTACAAAGTGCAGAGCGGTACACTGGCGACGGGGGAGCCTTACCGGACTCGGTGGCTTTCGCGTGGTCATTTCGAAGAGCAAAACTGTTTGCGTCGCCAGGAGGCCAGCGCGGGTCTTCATCTTCCTGGTCGTTGATGAACTGAATTGCTTGTCTTGGTGCCTTGCAGGTTGCTGAAGTGTGTCTTGCTTAAGGATGCCAGACGGCGGAGCATTCCACTTTCCCCCCCTTTTTGTTCTGATTCCCCCCCTTTTCTTTTCCGTCCTCCTGTTGTTGAAGTTGAAGCCTTCTTACCTCCATGGCCAGGCTTTTCTTTGTTTCAGTTCCACTTAGTCATAGTCTTAGTCATTTACGTAGACATAGCATTAAAGTCCACTGGTTCCTTAGTCACATTAGCCTTAGTCTAGTCAAATAAGTACAAGATGGCAGAAGCAGCGCCGCAAGCAGCTGCTTTAGCAGCAATGCAGGTGATGGGCGAAAATATGTTGAGGCAGGCAGCAGTCCACGAAAGTGAAGGGCTGGGCATTGCGACAGGCGCGCAAATCGCGTCGGTAGTGAATGCTTGCGAGAACATCCGACACAAATGCACTTCGCAGCAGTATCCGCCTGTCTTACGGCAACGAGCGTCGAGGACGTATGAGAAGCTGACCCACTCCCCTCAGGCTCTGAACTTGCATCCGATGGCGCTGGCCGCTGCGTTGGGATGTGCTGACATCCTGAAGGATAGGCATGCGAGTGCAATCATGGGCGCGGTGTCCAGGGCGATCACTGGGTCGCTTGATCTGAAGGCAGACGGGATGAAAGCTGGCGTCAGTAGTGTCTGCGAGATCTTCATGAGTACACTGCGGAGCAATTTGCAGGGTCTGGCCTTGGTTGAAGCGGGAGCTGATCTTCACTCAGCAAAGGCAACTCCGGGCGACAATAGCGACGAACTTTCTCCCGGATTTTGTGCAGCAGATGCAGGGCGAAAGACGTAGATCAGCTACGGAAAAAGCCACCAGCAAAGCTGTAGAGCGAGCAGCACGCGAGAAGATGAAGGAAGTTCGTGACGGGATGAGCATGAGGCCCAAACAAATGGAAGCTCGCACTGCCATGATTAGAGGAAAAAAGATGATCCCCCAAACGACCAAAAGCTAGCCTGTTCTCAACCAAGTGTAAAAAAGACTAAGAAAAAAGGATCGAAAAAATGAATCAACTCAAGTAAAGAGATTGATCTGGCCTCTTTTCAGAAGATAGAAGATTAAGCTCCCCTATAAGATTGGGGCTGATGCACACGCCTCCCGAGGCTTGCTAAGTTACTCAGGAGGTGTGATGACATTGATTGTAGTCAGACTATCTCGCAGCCAACAGCAAAGAAGAAATGATCCAAGTCTTAGACCAAAATGCTTCATAAAAGCGGTCGAACACCTCTGAGCTACAGTTCAAACAGCTACAAGGGGACAACAATAATTTTCTTTGTCGGAGATCGATGGGTGAGGATCTTGTGAACGTATACCAACTGTAACAAGAATGGATCCAATCTTCTTCCTGGAATTTTATCGTCCCGGGGTCATACAAGAGATGACCCTATAAAATCCGTCAAGCTAAATCATTCTAGATGAAAGAACAAGCAATACGGAAGACGACAGCAGACAAGAACTGTGGTTGTCAAAAACAAATAGAGATATACCCGGTAAATTAGCGCTCCTCTAGGAGGTACTTTTTTGCTGGCTGACCTCGTCGGTAGTCACGTGCAACTACAAACGAGGTTCCATGACATGACATATATACCTGCTACTTACTTCGCTGAAAGTGACGGGGAAACAGAACAACTGAACACCCAGCCATATATATATATATATATATATATATATATATATATATATTTATAATTCGACGCATACTGGTCAAGAATAATCGCAGTCTCTATCTTTAATTGGAATTATGTCGCAATCATCTTTCGTAGGTTTTATTGAAACAAGGTAAGCAAACGGACACAAACAAACATACAGGATGTCTTCTTTCACAACGAGTCTAACCTGCTCGCAATGGTTGGGGCAAACGCTTGGCGGTATGCTTCCCGCCACAAAAAAAACGCGAAAAAACCTGCAGGACTACATCAGTCAACCTGCTAAAGGTCCCCGTGTCTTGATAGAACAAACGACCCAACCTCCTACAAGCTACAGAGGCGTTGTGCGCGACGCAGGAACTTTCGACGAGCCTGAGGAGGAGATCGCTGAAGTCGCTTCGAACAAGAAGAACGTTCGGGTCGTCGAGTTTCGTGGCGTTCCCTTCGCGACTGCCAAACGCTTTCAAAAGCCACAGCTGCTGGGGAAGAATAAGACAGACAGAATGAAGACTATGACAGCAAAAGTTAGGGATGCTAAGCTCAATAGTGAAGCCGATAGGCTTAAGGTGGAGAAAGCTCTTGACGATGAACAAGACTGCGGTTGTGGTGAAGGTGCGATCAAAGATCGCACAGGAGAGTGCCAGGAAGCCGCCCGTCAGATCGAAAGTTGCGAAAAGCTGGTTACCGAGGAAAATCAAAACGGAGAAAATGCCAATGGCGGGAGTGATACGAGTGACATTGTAATCGACTGCACTACCTTCGGCCCAGCGTGCCCGCAGAACCCTCCTGAAGGACTGCGCGTGCTCCTATCCGGCGAGAGCATTGCGGCGTTGGTTATAGAGCATCTCTTTCCCCCCCTGCCCGAAAACCAGTCTTACAATTTTGGGGCCCTTGACGAGGAGGAGTGCTTAAATCTTAACATTTACGTGCCTGTGGAGATCAACATCCTCCACGAGACGGACAAGAACGCGAAATCTTCTCGTTCGGCAGCATCCACTACCGCATCTTCTGACTCATCGGGAGCGCATGGAGCAGACGAGGAGGATGTCGAAGTAGATGAGAAGATGAAGAAGCCCACTGAAGATCACGGCATCAATGATTCCGTGGCCTTGAAGATGGCGAAAAAGATCAAGACTCAGAAATTGCCGGTGTTGGTGTGGATTCACGGAGGTGGCTTCTTCATGGGGTCGAATGTCGATGGTGGTATGTACGACGCTTCCAGCCTCGCGAAACAACTGAACAGTATTGTCGTCTGTATCAACTACCGTCTCGGCCCGTTCGGTTTTCTTCATTTTCCGACACAAAATGTCACCAACTTGGGATTGCACGACCAAATTTGCGCGCTGCATTGGGTGAAGGGAAATATTGCTGCTTTTGGTGGTGATCCCGACAGTGTTACAATTAGCGGCGAATCGGCCGGGGGGATGTCCGTTTGTGCTTTGGTTGAAGCACAGAAAAACTTCGAGTTAGTTGGAAAAGCTTTCAGGAATGAGCACTATCATGCTGACCAGGAGAAAAAGGACCACGAAGATCACGACCAGGAGCAAGGCCACCAGGAGCACCGCGTGATTAAGAAAAGCGTGGTCGTGAAGGAAAACGTAACAAGTGGGCTCCTAACTGCTGCTGCTGGAGGACATGATGCCGATGCTGACGTCGAGCTGCTCTTCCACCGCGCTTTCGCTATGTCTGGTGGGCGAGGCACGTACACGGACGTCCAATGGCGCCGTGTGAGAGCAAAATGGCTAGCATCTTCCGTTTTCCAGAGTCATCCTCTGAATAAGAAGCTTCTCTCGAGTTTACCATTGACAGCAGCTGCGATCGTCCGAGCGTTTGGCAATGTTGAGCAATTAGCTGAGGAGAAGGAAATACAGGTACCTGCAATAAAGGCATTTCAATTCCAAATCAATAGTTGACTCACGACAGGAGAGACAGACTAAAAGCAGATAAGTATATTTTATTCTTTCAGGCTGACGCTGAGTGTTGTGTCTGTTCATGTTTTAGTACTTATATAATTTCTATGCAGTCCTATTATGTTTATGCAGTCGTTGTCGTAGACAAACGAACTGAAACGAAAGCCATCCAATTCAGAGTCATATACATATTCTAGTCTAAATAAACTCTATCCATTTGATCTGCGCCTTCGAGTTTGAATCAATTTGAATATTCAAAGTATTCAAAAGTCTAACGAATAGATATGTGACAGGTTGTTGTTGAAGAATTCCTGCTAGCGGAGTTGAAGCGGCTCAGTCCGCAGGACTTGCTCGCGCTCACTGACCCAATCAAGGATGCGGTCAGTCAAGATTTATGTTGCAATTGGCGACCGGTTGTCGATGGCGAGACAGTGCAAACTTTTTCCGCAGATTGGGACTTTCCGGCTGGTCGTGGTACTCAAGATCAAAGAAATCGCGCCGCTGTTCCGCTCATCATTGGGTTTATGAACAACGAATTGGAGGGATTGAAAGACTTCGCTGGTCGCACTCCAAAAACGAAAGAAGAAGCACTAGAGAAAGGCCTCGGTCAGCATTTCCTCGCGATTACTCCTGCAGCAGTGATGAAGGCAGCAGTGCGCTACTACGGCGTCGAAGACCAAGTCACTAGCACTACCAAGAAATTGTCAGGCGGGGAGATGTTGAAGTCCGCTAGTGCCACCTGCTGGAGGTCCTGGACTAGTAAAAAGATTAAGTCAGCATTGTTTTATGAACCCGAGGTCACAGAAACCTCCGAGAAACTACTTGGAAACATCTCCCGGAAAACTTCCCTAGAATCTTCCCGGAAACTTTAGTAGCTTCCAGGAAACAACTAATACTGCGCAGATTCTTGGAAGTTTCCGCGAAGTTTCAACTATCGGGATCCGCGTATTGGATGGCGTCTAATTGCTCTGCACAAAGCGACGAGGGCGAGAAGTATCTTCTTGTTCTTCTGTAAAAACTCAAACATCGAAGGATGTTCAGCATCAAGAAGATCTTCCTTCGTCAGAGTCATTTTGGGAGGAACGAGCGGAAAGACTGTGGACTTCAGTTGCTAAAGCTCTAGAAAAGAGATCAGATAATATGGCGCCAACTGTGGAAGAGGTGCGGGATGCCCTTGTCAACCTCTTCCAATTCGACGAACCCGAGTTTGCCTTTGCGGTCTCTCACGCTGCCTCTGGTAATGTGCAATTTTAGCATTTTCTGAATTTCTCTGATAGGGATCGCATGAAGATTTAGCCGCTATCAATTCGCTCTGTTCGATTCAAACATGAAAAACGACAGCAATAAGAATTAAACAAAATCTACTTAAATAGGAACAGCTGCGAATACGTGGCTTTACATTTGCCACCATTGCGAGAAAGACGCTCACGGGGACGATATCTTGCTTCTCTTTCATTCCTCCCTTTGTTGCGAATGCAAGTCTGCAAGGGAAAACTCATTTCGTGAAAGAAGTGAAGAAAAAGTTGACTATAACCTTCCGTTGAAGAGCGAGGAGGGACGCCGGAAAGCGTCGCCAGCTATCAAAAGTTACCTCCACATGCTTCGGAACTTCGTGCATCACGGGGACCCCAATGGCCAACAAGAGGAAGAAAAGCTGCCAGTGCACTGGCCCTCGCTGGGGGAACAAGGTGGAGGATTACAATTAGAAAATCCGAAGTTCCTTCGATTCGGCCGTCGTTGGAAAGAAGAGCTGGACGATCCCAGAACCGAATTATTGGAAATCCGCAATCTGAAAGAAGATCGCGAAGAGGTTATCGCGTGGCGGCAGCTGAAGAAAGAAATACTTGACAAGCTCAAGCAGAACTGTTGATGTTGAACTGGAGGGACGATACCTAAAATGCAGAAAGATGGGTTGCTATTTGTTTGTTTTCATCTGTTGTAAAAAAAAAGAACTGTCTGCAGAAAGAGTGTAGTGCGATCTAGTAAATTAGTTTGGCGGTTGTCCTTGCCCTAGACTGACGCAGAAGTTTAGAGCCATAAAAGCTAAACGGGCGCGATCTACTAGGTTTGGCGACGTCCTTGACAAAGAAGATGAACAGCAATTTAGACCATAAGGCAAAGCACCTCGTATTGATCATGAAGATTGATGACGACACGGAGTTAAGTTGTTCTTGTTTGAGTGAGTGCTTTATGTTGAGAGGAGTCGGCCCTGTCTCTCTATGGTGCCCCTTTCGCTGGTTGATCTGTAAATCTGTTTATTCTGTTGGCCGATCTATTCCCAGTCTATTTGAAATCTGTCTCCCTCCGTCCCCTCATCAGCCTCAATCAAAAGACCTTGTTCCCCCTGCAGTCTGGATTCCCGAACTCGCGGAACTGTGTCGGTAGTTTTAGCTTAATAAAACAACTACTCGAGTCAACGCCACACAATAGAGACGATTATGAGGACCCAGCTTGGCAATAGGCCTCGCTGGGCACCTCCTGGCAATGCACATCCCAAAATGTAGCTTAGTCTGGAACTCAACTTGGATTTGAAGAATCCTTCCCGCCCCAACTCATTATTAGGAAGTTGTTGTAAGAAGTAGCAAGAACTTCGACGTGACGAGTTACAGTACTCGAGTCTTCTTTTTCATCATTGACAATGTCCTTTGTAGATCCATCGAAATAAATTATCCGTTTTCAAAATTTATAGATCATATTTATTGAGTATGAGTTTTACCCACTCTTCCGTATCTCTTGGCAAGGCATTCATTGTAACATGATTGCCGATTTTTATATTGGAGAAAATTCAACTAAGGACTGCAAAAATCCGGACAAAATTCAATCCTTCCGGGCATGACGCGAATCCGCAGAACACTCGCCGCCTACTGCGCTCCCTCCTGGAAAACCCTCACCCAGTTGCGAGCCAAGAACCTCGGGCACCCTCCAAATCCCCGCGCCCCTCCAGAATCCCCCAGCACA